GCATTTATACACACATTTATATATACATTTATTTTCTTTTTTTCACTCACAATTGTGTATTGTATTTTAGTTTAAATATTTTAAACTAACTATATGTATATTTTTGTTGTTTTAATATATTCAATTATTTTATTTAAACTTTTTTAAATTATTTTATTAAATTCTTTTTAAATAATAATAATAATAATAATAATAATATATTTTTTTATTTTTATTTTTTTTTTATTATTTAATATTTTTTATTTTTTTATTTAATTTATTCACACATACTCTCACACATATACTTACAGACACACACTTAAACAAATATATTTGATATATAGATTATAACTTTGTTTTATTTTATTTATTTTGTTTAAATTTTTTTTATTTGTTTTTAAAAAAAAAATTATTTATTTATTTATTTATTTTATTTTATTTATTTTATACTATTCAATAATAATTTTTTAATATTAGCATATTATAAATATATTTTATTTTTATTTTTAATTTATTTGTTGTTTTTTGGTTTAAATTATTTTTTATTTTTTATTTTCTTATTTTTTTTTTTAAAATTAAATAATTTTATCCTATTTTTATTTATATTGATTATAACTAATAATAAAAATAATAACATTAAAATATTTAGATATTAAAAAATAGTAATAATTATATATAATAGTATAAAGTAATATATAAAAAAAAAACTGTAATATCTATAGGAAAATAACTTAACCAAAAAAAACAAAACACAACCTCATAATAGTACAATCAATGATAATATAAAACAAATATTAATAAAAAAATGACAGAATTAAAAAATGAAAGTAATAATAACAATAATGGCGTAGATAAGCCAATACTTGAAGAAGAAACAAATAGTATTTGTGAAGGTGAACAAAATAATTCAAATGTAGTTTTTGGTTCAAAATATAAACATAATTTAAGATCAACCAGTTCTATTGAAAAAACACCAAATAAATATAATGAAATTATAGAAGTAAGATAATCTTTATATACATATAATATGCAATAGAGAATAAAACTAACATTATAATTTTTAGTTATTTTTATCATCAGATTTAGAATTGGTATCATCATTATGTTCGACTACATTAGTAAAAGAAACAGTTCCAAATAATGTACATATATCAGAATATTTAATATTGTTCTTTGAATATCATTGTAATTTAAAATCATCATATATATTAAAATGGGCAATTGATAGGGAAATAGATAATACAAGTAACTATTTTTTTTATAAATAACAATAATAATACCAAACATTTATTAATAAATTTATTTATAGCAAATTCCGCAACATTGTTTAGAGGATTAAGTACAGCAACAAGATTAATATCAGCATTTTATAAAAGAGTTGGAGAAAGTTATTTAAAATATTTATTACAACCATTTGTTATAGATTTATGTTCAAGAAACTTTTCGTTTGAAATTGATCCAGAAAAAGCAGGCAAAGGTGTTGATATCCAAGCAAATTTAGAAAAATTAATTACTATTACACAACAATTATTAGATAAAATATTAGATTCAGTCGAACAATGTCCTTTGTAAGTGTAATAAAACAATATATTTAAATATAAATATTAAAATTTGTATATTAATGTTTTTTTTTTTTTAAAAATATTAATTAGACCAATAAGACATATTTTAAATCACACACAAGAAAAAGTAGAAAAGAAATTTGAATCAATGAAAACTACAGTTGTTGGTGGTTTTATTTTTTTAAGATTTATTTGCCCTGCAATTGTTGCACCAGAAGCATTTGGATTAATACCAAAAGAAGAAGAACCAACTCCTGAAACAAGAAGAAGTTTGGTTTTAGTATCAAAGTTATTACAAAATTTAGCAAATGAAATGCCATTTGGCAATGGAATAAAAGAAGAATATATGGCCTATTTAAATGACTTTATTATTGCAAATTCTGAAAGAATTCATGTATTTTTTGATAGTTTGGCCGAACCTGTTGTTGGAAGTAGCGGTAGTGGTAGTGGTAGTGGATCCTCAAATAATAGTAGTGCCAAAAGTTCACCACCAATTAAATCATCCAACAGTGTAAATAATTTAAGTAGTCTCAATATAAACAACCCGGCAACAGCTCAGTCAAGTGGTAGTGTTTTCGAAGAATCAAATAATAAATCGAGTGCCTCTGAAGAATCAATTATCGACAATTTAAATGTATTAATTGGCCAAGTAATCGATCATAGAGAAAAAATTGAAAACTATATAAATTCAGAAATACGAGATGGCTCAGAGGTTGTAAAAAGATTAGATTTAGCACTTCAATCAGTTAAGCAAAAAACATTCTTTAAATCAATGTTGCCATGGATTAGAGGCAAAGATGGATCCTCACCAAATAAACTTAAAAAGTCCCCATCTGCCAACAACGTAGTTTCAAACTCGCAACATATTTTACATTTACAACAACAAGTCGAAAAAGAGAAAAAACAATCACCACTAACTCAGTCTCAGCAAGTTGAAACTACTGGCGGTAAATCGCTCGTAAAGAATCATCAATTCTCCCAATCCCATACCAACATAGATGAAATATCCGAAATGAGGGATCAAAAAGAAATCGATATTATAAATTTGATGGCCGAGAATACAAAACTAAAGAAAGAGGTTGAAGAATTAAAAAGAAAAAATAATTTACTAAATAAACTTCGTAGCGAAGTAGACAATGAAAAAGCCGAAAAGAGAGAATTAAAAGCAATCATCAAAAAGTGCAATGAAAGATTAAAACAATTAGATCAAGTCGATTTAATCAGTGAACTCTCACCATATGTTGATGATCCAATTCATCCAGCCGCTGACTTACAAACTTTAATTGAAGAAACTTTAGGTGTGGGCAATTCCAATCCAAAAAAGAAATCAAACTCCTCTCTTGGTATCTGTAAAATAAAATCCACATTAGACTCTAGCAATGGTTCTCTAATCGCCCCATATACCGCTCACTCATTATCGTCATCTTCCACAACCATTTCAAACTACCCCTCATCAGTTGCCACTACCCCCATTGTTGTAAATGATGCATCATCATCGCTCCAACCATCACCCCAACCCCATGCACAACCAACATCATCTGTACATTTAAATCAGTCTACATTTAATATTCCACATTTAGATGTTTCAGGAGATTGTAATAGCAGTATCTGTAGTTACCATTTAAAAAAATCATCGACCAATGCTAGTATTTCAGAGGCTTCGTTAATGACCGAAATATCAGAAAATGATGACCCAAAAACAGGTAGCAACATTTCAATTAGCCAACCACGTGGTACCAATTCACAAAACAACAACACTGTTAACCAAAGTAGAAGAAACTCCACTACCTCCGAAATATCTGTTATAAGCGAAGCCATTGATACCTATGAACACCAAAATAGAATTATTCAAGCAGTTGTTGAGGGATCTGAACTATTAGATGATTCATCCTGTGATCTTTTAGAATTCTTAAAAGAGGTTGCCAACAATAAAGAATTACAAAAGCAAAAACTAAAGCAACAACAAGAAGAAAAGGAAAAAAGAGGTTCTGTGTTCTTTAAATTCTCTTCGAAATTTGGTAAAAAGAAAAAACATAATACTTTGACAAATATCGCTACAACTTCGCCAACAATGCAACCAATTAAAGAAGCAATACCAACACCAACTCCTGTCGGTATATAAAAAAAAAAATTAAAAAAATATTATCTATTAAACTGTACATATACTATATATTCCAAAAACAAAAAAAAAAAAAGTCTATTAAAAACCTATAAAAAATTATTAATCAAATTATTTTTGTAAATAATTTTTATTTTAAAAAAAAAAAAAAACAATTATTTCTTTAAAATTTATTTCTTTATTTAATCCACTTTATTTAATTTAAAAAATAATTATGATTATAACAATAAACATGTAAATGAATAATAAAATTTCGATTTCTAACAATAGATTTCTTTTAAATTATATAAAATCAATCTGTTAATTTAAAATAAATAAATTTTTACTAATACTAATTTATCTGGTTGTTTAGTGCATAATAAATAAAAAACTCGAATTTACTTTTTTTTTTTTTTTTTTTTTTTATTGCTTTATATTTTTTATTTTATTTTATTTTTATTACTATTGTTTTTTTTTATATTAACAAAATTTTATATATTTCTAAATTTTTAATAATTTAAACTCTTTCTGATGGGAAAATAGTTTTGTCTCTTTGTTCATCCCATTCTGAAATCTAAAATTAAAAAAAAAAAAACAATTAGTATATTATTATTATATGTTAAACTATTATTATTATTATTATTGTTATTGTTATTGTTATTGTTGCTGTTGTTGACATTGTTGTTGATATTGTTGTGTCTATTTAAAAATGAATCTTTATTCATTGATATTAAAATAAGGTATCTTATTTGTATACATTGATTGTTCTGAAATTTGTTTTTTTAATTATTTCTGTATAGATAGAATTGATGAATCTTTTTATTTTTATTTTTTTTTTATTTTTATTTTTATTTTTTTGTTACATACCCAAGCTTCTGGACATAATGATTTCATTGAGTTGAAGAAAGTTTGACATTTTGAGTCGTCACCATTGTAATGTTTAACACAACCGTGGAAATCAACATAGTTAGCCCAACAATGTTTAGTTTGGTTTTGATTTGGGAAACGTGGGTTGTATGGAGCAGTTTTTTGTTCTTCCATTTTATTTAAATTATATAAAGTGTGTGTTTAGAATGAAAAATAAAGTGAAAAAAAAATTGAAAAATTAAAAAAAAAAAAATTTTAAAAAAAAAATTAAAAAAAAAAAAATTAAAAAAAAAAAAAAAAAAATTTTTTTTTTTTATTTTAATCAATATAGAAATTCGGTTTATTGTGATGGTATAAAAAATTTTAATGAAATATCATAATAGATTATTGGTTTTTTCTCTATTTTATATCCTTTTTTTTTTTTTTTTTTTTTTTTTTAATATATGTATATTTTGCATTATCAAATAAACAAAAAAAAAAAAAAATTTACTTTAAAATTTATTTATTTATTATTTAAAAAACAATTTCTAAATTCATCAGAAATTTTTGGTGGCTTAAAACCTTTCTGTTGTATGATATTTAAAATTGAATTATTTACAACGATTTGGCTGGAAACTGATCTGCCATACATTGTGTAGTTATAAGGTCTAATATTAAACTCTCTGACTGGAAAATGATGATATTTGAACATTTTTTTATATTTTTGTATTTCGTCTCTTTGTACATAAAAGGTGATGGAGTAAAGGTCAATTGTGGATGAGTAGGGTTCTTGGGTTAATAGTTTTAAAGCATTGAGATCTTCTTCAGAACTATTGTATCTTGTGGTAATGTTTCTGATGGTTCTATTATGCACCAAAATATTTCTGATTACATTATCGAGATCACCCTCTATTAGTTCCAAATTTTTAATAGTTTTATTATGAATCATAGCCTCATTGAGGAAATGGGAACTGGTAGTAATTTTTAAAGATTCAACTGAAAAAAATGGACTTGTAAAAATTGTTTTAAAACCATTAACAATTTCTAACTCATTTATATATTTTTGTAAATAATTAAATTCTAAAATCTCCAGTTTTTTAATAGTTGTATTTTTTGATAAAGTTTCGACCATTGACTTAAAATCTTGATGGATGGTTTCAGAATCATTGTATTCCATATCCTCGTTTAAGCCTGGTGATTCTATTCTAAGCTTTTTTAATTTTGTATTTTGATTGTTGATCATCGCTACATACTTTGGATAGGAACACTCCGAAAGTCCTAATGCAGTAAGTTGTGTCAAGTTAAATAATGGTGAAATATCATCATCCACCAAGATACCATACAATCTGATCTTTTTTACTCCAGTTTTTGTTGCAATATCAACTAATGCTTTTTTTTCTTCTTTTGTAAAGTTATTACCATGCATTGATACCTTCCTTATATTTTCATTTTTGAAATTGGTTACAAGACTTTTTAAATCAAAGTTCGGATTCTGCCTAAAAATAATATTAAGCCTTGCATTTTGTGGGCATTCAAAGTCAGGATAAGATACTTCAATCAAAATTTTTTTATAAACACTAGTATCAATATTTTTGTTCGTAATATCATATGACGAATAAACTGCGACTGAATCTTTGAGTGGTATTAATTTACCAAATTCTTGTAGTGTTGGGTTTTTATAATCTATTAAGTTTCTTAATAACTTGAAACTACTAAAATTTAAAAGTTTTTTTAGAATTGATGAAATAATATTATACAATGATTTATTGATTGTTGCATAACCAATAACTTCATTATTATTTATACAAATACTAAAGTCACGGGATGAGGGAATTGATGGTTTTCTATAAAGATATTCCAATATGCAACTGAATACATAGTCATATAGATAGTTAGGAAGAAGGGTCATTTTAGTTTTAAATAAATAATTTTTATAAAACAAAAAAATTTTAGTTTAAATAAAAAAAATCTTTTTAAAAAAATTATAAAAAAATGATGAAAAAAAATTTGGAAATTTGTAGGATAAAGTAATTTTTTATTTTATTTTAATATAATATATACATTTAGTTTAATAAAGACATAACCATTGAGTTAACAGTGGCCATTTGAGCACCATATTTAGTGGCATAGTTTTCCCCGGCAAATCCCCACCAATCGAAGCATCCTTTTGGATTTAAAACACTCATCATTGACTGTGGATATAAAATAATAATGTTATTTGCTTCGGCTATTTCATTGTATCCAGTCTTTGTATAAAATGAGTCACCGATATTCGCAATGGTTTGTAAACATCCATGAAAGGCAACGTGAATAGTACATAAAGATTTATCATTTTTACATTTGGTTGGAATATATGCAAAAGCCTCACTATTTAATGAAGCTGTTAAAGTTGTAAATCCAATTGGAATAAATGAGGATTGGTCAATTGTAATAATCTATTTTAAAATTTTAAATTATTAGTTATTCCTATTTTTATTATTTTTATTGTAGTATATATGTACATACATTATCAGGTGAAGCATTAACTGGGTCTTGTAAATTTGGATAAAATAATGATAAAAATTCGAATGGTGAATTATAATCACAATTGTTGATATATTGTGGACCTAAAAAAGTGCAATTGTTACCATAACCATTTGTGATGAATGCATGTTCTGATTGAATGTTAAAAACTGTATGAATACTATCATTCTTTAAGAAATTTTGATAGTATTCAACTAATTTGTGCATTACACCTGGATGAACAACTGTATCATTCATACCAGAGTAGAGCCAAATTACACTATTCTGTAGATTTGCTGTATCATCGATTGTAAGTGTATCTTGTGCATATTTGGTAGCAATGATTAATTCATCAACACTAATTAATTCTGGTGTCTTCATACAATCTATTTGTGCTGTAATTGCATTTCCTTTGGCACACCAATAAGGCCCACCTGCGAGAACTGCTGCACCTCTTACCAATGATGAAAATGCTATATGATATTGAACTGCAAAAAATCCACCACTGCTAATACCACTAACTGTGATTTGATTATCTATTGATAAAATTGGTAAAATACAACAACTAAATAATAATATTACAAAATATATAAAATTTTTTTTCATTTTTTTTTTTAATTTTTCTTATTCTAAAAACAAATTAAAAAAAAAGAGATTGTGTGAATATATACAATAATAAAAACCAAAATAAATAAACCAAAATTTAAAATTTTGGTAATAAAATAAAAAAATAAAAAATAAAAAAAAATAAAATATAAAAAAATTTAAATAAAAAAATCAAAATAAAATTTAAAAAATAGAAAAAAGAAAATGTAAATATCTATTTATTAGAAATAGTAATAATAATAATAATAAAAACAATAATAATACAATTGTTTAAAAAATCTCAATATTATAAAACTATTATACTAAACTTTAACTTTATCAAAGCAATAATAAATAAAAAATAAAATAATGTAAAATATAATTATAAATTAATAAATAAAGAAAACAATGAGATCTAGTAAATTAACCAAAACTTTTTTTATTTGATTTTTTTTATTTGTAGAATTTATTTGTAAATATTTTATTTATAACGTTATTTTATTATGTATTTTTTTTTTTTTTTTTTTTCTTTTTTTTTTTTTTTTTTTTTTTTGAAAATTTTCTAAAAAAATTATTTTTTAAAAACCTTTAAAAAAATTTTTTTTTTTTTTTTTTTTTTTTCATTGCCATAAAACCGAATTTGTATGTATATAAAATAAAACCATAAAATTATTTATTCCAATTATGTTTTGGTGATGATAAAAATTTGCTACTTCTGCAGCTATTTGATGAAATAACAATTCATACATCAAGATCTCTGATAAAACATAATTGAAATAAACATTTTTTGACAAGTAAAATATTTATTTACCTCATACTAACTATTTCTATTTTAATTCTACAGTGATCCGAAATTGTTTCATCCTTGAGTCTGCTCCTTTTTACGTCTTTTAACTATAAAAAATTAAAATGAAAATTTATTTAAATAAAATTATTTCTTTAAAAAAAAAAAAAAAAAACATTTTTTTCTCTTTTTTATCTTTATCTTTTTTATCTTTTTTATTTCCGTTTCAAAACAAATATATTAATAGTTTTTTATTCCTTTTAAATTTATATTATATTTTTTTAATTTTATTTTTTTTAAAAATAAAAAAAATTTCATTTTTAATTTTTTTTTTTTTTTAAATAATTTTTTATTTTCTATTTTTTTTTTCATTTTCTAATGTTTTATGAACAAAATAATAAATAAAGATAACTGGGTTTATCTTTTCCTTTTTAAAAAAAATAATAAATAATAAAACTGTATATAATATAATATAAAATAATTTAAAACGATGGAGCATTTATCAACCCAATCTAACATTCAACCACCAATAAATGATATATCCCATCCATTACACCAACAACACCAACAACACCAACAACACCAACAACACCTACAACACCTACAACACCAACAACACCAACAACACCAACAACAAACATTCCAGCAATTACCACAACAAACAACACAACAAGAACAAATAATAAATACAAATAATTATATATTGGCCGAACAACAACAACAAATACCATTGCAGCAACAAATATCATCACTACCATTACAACAACAAATACCAGTACAACAAATACCAGTACAACAAATACCAGTACAACAAATACCAGTACAGCAAATACCATTACAGCAACATATACCACTATCGAAACCATTACAACATATACCACCACCACAACAACAAAACGAAATATTAAATAATCATCATATGCCAACAGTAACACCAGTTGCAACAACAGAGACATTAGGGCCAGAGAATATAGATGTTGGTAAAATTACAGCAAAAGAAGAAAAAGAAAGAGGTATATTAAGATTTGAAGTTATTACAAACGATAGTACATCAAAGAATTTAGAACTATTAATAAATTTAAAAAATGTATTTTCGAAACAATTACCAAAGATGCCTAGAGAGTATATAGTCAGATTGATGTTTGATAGATTCCATGAATCGCTACTTATCATAAAGAATAATAATGTTATTGGTGGTATTTGTTTCAGGCCTTTCAGAGATCAAGGGTTTATAGAAATTGCATTTTGTGCTATTACATCAAGCGAGCAAGTTAAAGGTTATGGTTCATTTTTAATGACTCATTTAAAAGAATATAATAGAAAGACTGGTATTTATCACTTTTTAACTTTTGCTGATAATTTTGCCATCGAATACTTTCAAAAGCAAGGTTTTACTCACGAAATTACTTTGGCCAAAGAGAAATGGAAGGGTTTTATTCAAGAATACGATGGTGGTTCGTTAATGGAGTGTGTAGTTCATCCAAATGTAACATATTTAGATATACCATCAATGGTGCGTAGACAAAGAGATGTTTTAAATGCTAAAATTAGAGAGATTAGTACCTCCCATTTGGTTAATCCTGGTTTAAAATTCTTCAAAAATGGTGAACGCCGTATAGCCATCGAAAGCATTAGAGGCATCAAAGAATCAGGTTGGATTAACAATGTGGACGAAGCTCAAATTCAAAATCTTCAAATTCAATTAGGAAAAGCTCTTGTAGAAATTAAAAATCACGAAGATTCATGGCCATTTCAAAAAGCAGTCTCATTAGACGAAGCTCCAAACTATTACAACGTAGTTAAAGATCCCGTTGATTTACAAATGATCTCTGATCGTTTAGCAGCAAATAATTATTATATTACAAAGAATATATTTTTGGCCGATTTAAAAAGAATGTGCAACAACTGTAGAGAATTTAATGGTGAAGGTACAGTATATTTTGAAGTTGCTGATCGTTTAGAAAAATTTTGTAAAAATTTAATAAATAATATAAAATAAAAATTTTAAATATGCTCAATTTTTGAATTTATTTAGAAATTAAAAAACAATACCGAAAAAATAATAATTAAAAAACTTATAATTTATTTTTATTTATTTTTATTTTTATTTTATTTATTTTTATTATTTTTAATTTTTTAATTTAAAAAAAAAACACATACAACCACTTTCCTCACACACCCATATTCATATACAAATAATACACATAATAAATAATATACATAATAAATAAATAAATTTACTTTTCTTTTATTATTTTTAACCAGAAAACTCCTTTTATTTTTTTTTTTTAATTTTATTTTTTTTTAATTTTTTTTCTAAATTTTTGATAATAATATTTATTTTTTATTATTTTTTTTTGTGTGCACTAAACATCACAATACACAAAGTTTTATAGTAATTATTTTTTTTTATTTTTTTCATTTAAAAATATAATTATTTTAAAATCTTAATATTAATTCTTTTTTTTTTTTTTATAAATATAAATAAATACACAAAATATAATTTTTTGAAAAAAAAAATTATTTTTTTTAATTTTATTTTTTTTTATTTTTTTTTTTAAAATTTTTGCAAAAAACTAGTATTATTTTCAAATTAGCTCAGAAACTAAATCATCATTTATTTAATTTATAAAAGATTAAATAAAATACACATATACAATCAAAGATGATGAAATTTTTCGATTCAATCTTAAACTTTTTTAAAAGTTTATTTTGGAAACAAGAAATGGAGCTAACTCTTGTAGGTTTACAAGGCAGTGGTAAAACTACTTTAGTTAATGTTATTTCGGTAAGTTGCAATTTATTTTATTACAAAGATCAAAAAACAGCACTAATAATTTTTTTTTTTTCTAATTTAAAATTAATCTTTGTTTTTATATCTATTTATATAAAACATAATTGTTTTTTATAAATATTTTCAACAAAACAATTTAATTAAATCATTTATAAAACGAATAATATTAATAATCAATAATAAATCAATAAAATCAAATCCAAATATAAAAAAATAAATAAAATATTATGATCATAATTAAATAAATATTAGAGTGGCGCATTTATTGAAGATACAATTCCAACTATTGGTTTTAATATGAAAAAGGTTACAAAGGGCAATGTTACAATTAAATTATGGGATATTGGTGGACAACCAAGATTTAGAGGAATGTGGGAAAGATATTGTAGAGGTGTTAATGCTATAGTGTAAGTTTATAACGATGAAATTTTACTATATTAAATTTAGATATTTTTTTTTATATTTTTTAAAAAAATTATAAAAATAAAGATACTAATTCTATCCTTTTATTTCTTTAGCTATGTTGTTGATTCAGTTGATAGAGATAAATTCGAACAATCAAAACAAGCTTTACAAGATTTAATTAATAAACCACCATTAGCAAAGATTCCACTTTTGGTTGTTGCAAATAAAAATGATCTTCCACAATCCGTTGGTGTTGAAGAGATGATTGAAATTTTGTAAGTTTTTTTTTTTTAATAATTATCCATTGCTTATAATCAAACATTTTAAATGTTTATTGGTACTAACGTTTATTATTTTATTATTGTTATTACAGAGATTTAAAGAATATTGTTGGAAGAGAAGTTTGTTGTTATTCAATTTCAGCTAAAAATAGTGTTAATATTGATATTACATTAGATTGGTTGATCAAGCATAGCTCAACTGTTAAAAATTAGAATTCGATACATATTTATATTATAAAAAAAAACTAAAAAAAAATTAAATAAAAAAAAAATTAAAAAAAAAAAAATATATAATGGATACAATCAGTTTTAATTTGGTTTTGTAAAAATATAAATTGTATAAATATAAACCAAACCAAAAACCAAATGTCCAATAATAACAAAATTTCTTTTGGTTTTTTTATTTTATTTCATTTAATTTTATATTTTTTATATATATAGTTTTATAATTTATTATAAACCTATATATAGTTTTATAATTTATAAACAAATAATTACCAAAAATATCATATTATATAATGCACAAATAATATTAATGGATAATCAAATCACCTTTTTGATTATTTTTGCGCACTTTTTTTTTTAAAAAAATATTTTTTAAATTTTTTTTCGTCCCATAATTCAAGCGAAGAGTGATTCGTTTTTTCTAAAATTTTTGTCATTATTAAAAAAGCGTTTACGAGAAATAATAAATTTATTTATTATTTTGAGTATTCCGGATACTATGAAGAAAACTGCGTGAACGAGAGTTTCTTAAGCGTCGAAATTAGGATTGGGACTAATAGAGTTCTTCTATTCCAAGACTTTTCTAGATTCACCTTTGCAGAATCTTTTTAATTGATTCATTCTCTGAGTATCTCTTTAACAATGTAATTAAAATAAAAAAATTCCATCTAATTTAATTATTATAATCTAAATATAATGGTTGTGATAAGTATATTTTTTATAATATTATTTAGTCTTTGTTGCATATGGTTACTATGTTACGTATGGTCACTATATAAAATTATTACGCAAATGAACAAAATAAAAAAATTTGTGAATAAAGAAGATAAAATTGAATTTTTTTAAATATAATATTTTTTGTTTATTTAATATTCACTTTTTTCAAATTTCTTGATGCTTTGTGGAAGAGAATCTAAAGTTTGCTTAAAGGTATTAGCATGTACCTTTAATGAAGCGACAGAATTTGGTAATAAATCTTCAGTTATTTTTTGATTAAAACTATAATGAAGACCTAAATGAGTGCATGATGAAGGAATAACATCTTTAAGAGATCTGTTAAAGCAATAACCAAATTGTAATGACTGGACTGAATGTAAGTCACCAGGTTGTAAGTCTTGATTAAAAGAGTGACTGAATTCTAATTTTTTGATACTATTTGGAATGATTCCGTGGGATACAGAGTGATTAAAAAGACCTCCTAAACAAAGCTCTGTTACTGATGGGGGAATGGAGTTATGCTCGAGTTTTTGTTTAAATAGAAAACCTAGTTTTAATGAGGTGAGGGTTGATGGAAGAACTGATGGTGGTAAAGGGTGATCGAATTCTGAGGAATTGAAATTAAGTTCCTTAATACCTTCATGTAGTTGTCCAGGTAAAATTTCATGGTTAAAGCAGTTTGAAAGTGTTAGTGATGTAACTGATTTTGGAATTGTATTTTCAATGAGTTCATGGTTGAAATGGTGACCAAAGCTAAGTGTTTCTATTGAGTCTGGAAGTGAAAATGGTTCGATAATTTGGTTTAAACCATCTAAAATTTTAACAGATGAAGGAATGTCACCTGGTTTGAGTATTTGTTTAAAACCTTGACCAAATGATAGTTTAGTGAGTGATGATGGTAATATTCCTGTAACTGGTTGATCGAATGAACAGTTAAAGAACGAGAGCTCAGTTAAGCTTTCTGGGAGTTGTTTAGGTAAAATAGGTTGATTAAATTGACCAAAAATAACCAGCTTTTTGATTTGTGGTAGTCCAACTAAAGGTTGGTTAAAGAGAGTGTGAAATGAGAGTTCAACAACACTATCTGGTATATCACCAATATTGAGTCTTTGGTTAAAGCCATAACCAAATGCAAGTTTTTCGACGAAAGATGGAATTATACCGGTAATTGGGTGGTTAAATGAACATTTTGTGCCAAATATTAAATGGGTTAAACTATCTGGAAAATGAGCACGTACAAGAGGGTTTTGGACTTCACCATTGAAAGCTAATATGGTTAGATTCTTTGGGATTACTTCAGGGTTTTGACTAAACGGACCTTGGAAAGTAAGATCGGTTAATGAGGATGGAAGGTCACCCACAGAGAGAACTTGGTTAAAATAACGAGGCAAACTAAGTCTTTTAATAGTCGAAGGAAGTACACCAGAAAGTGGAAAGTTAAAAGGACAGTTGTAGTCAAAAATTAGCTCTGTTATGTTTGAAAGTTGACCACCTAAAATTGGTTGGTTGAACCATCTATAGAATGATATCTTTGAAACACTACTTGGAATTGCTTGATTTAATGGTTTGTTATAGTATCCTTTGAAATTAACTTCTACTACATTATCTGAAATTAATCCTTGCTCGATATCTTCATCAAAATCAATATCTATAGCGGAAATATATTCTCTTTGATCATAACAAACCAATTCTGTTTTTGATTTAAAGAGAACTTTTTTATTAATTTTAAATCTTTGAATTTCTGTATAAAGTACTATATTACGAAATACTTTAAAGAATAAATTATCCCCAACTGTTATAATTTTTCTTTCTTGATTATCCATAGTTTTTTGTAAAAATAAAAAGTATTATAGAAATCATTTTTAAAAAAAAAAAAATAAAAAAAAAAAATAAAAAAAAAATAAAAAAAAAACATTTATTTATTTATTCAAGTTTATAAAAAAAATTTATAAAAAAAAAAATAAAATGAAAACTGTTAATGTCTTGAAAATTTACTTTGGGTATGGTTTTTTTTTTCGAGCTTGGTATCCAAGAGGCACACTAAAAATAAATAAAATTGTTTCAAAAAAAAGTTTTTAATTCTTATCAACAAAGATAATGAGGATTAATATTACTTTTTTTTTTTTTATTTTATTATTTTTCATTTTAATAAGTGTTATATCTCTTTTAAAAATTACAAAATATAAAACGTTTTATATACAATTTATTATTATTAGTTAATTATTAAATCATTATCATTATTAAATATTAATTATTTATTAATTATTTATTATTAATTATTAACTATTAATATAATATTTATTATTATTATTAATATTATTAATTCTTAAGGCCAGGGGTTAAAGCTAAAGATTGGGTTGGATCGAGTGCGTGGTTTCGTAGTATTTAAACTGGTTTCGCTATATAGTTCTTTTAATGAGTTTGATTCGATGGTTTCTATTCTTGAGCGATTTAAATGGCAGTTGAAGTTCATACACCTGTCTATATTATCTCTTTGTTTTTTTGACATTGATCTAAGAAAATCTGAACGGTGTCTTTCTAAATGCAATATAAAATCTTGAATTGAGTTTGACATATCACTATCTAATTTCTGTAATGGATCACAATTTGCACCCGTAATATGTTTTGCAACTCCACATACCCTACAAACTAAAAATGGTAAAAGATCTTCATTTGGATTCTTTTCTAAATCAAAATTAAATCTTTCAACTCCAATGGATTTGTCATCGAGATATAGACTTTGATAGTTTTTAAAAGTGATGGTTTCTTTTGGTAATTTTGAAAATTGTAAAGAATCTGTTTGAATTAAATATTTCTCTTTTTCTTCAATTGATTCGTTTTCTTCTCTGTCACGAGTTTTTTCTGGTACAAATTCTTTAAAGTATGTGTCATCATCATAGTTAAAGTCATAGTCATAGTTGTAAAAATATCCTAATTTAGTGCCTGGAATCTTTCTATCACCTATATAGTTTTTTTTTAACGTGTTTTTATCGACAAGGGAAAATATCATCAAGTCCCTTGTTTCAAAATTTAAATTCTCTATGATTTCTTTCTCTTCAATTCTTTCTTTTTGCTCCATTTCATATTCTTCCATTTCATTTAAATCATTTAAATCATTTTCTGTTAATGTCCTTCCTATTAAAAATATAAGTTAATATTAATAATTTTATTTTTTTATTTTTTAAATCCATAATTATACTTACTAGAGAAATATTGTTTCATATCAGATTTAAGTTTTTTAATTTCCTTATTTAAATCGTTTTGATATTTATCAGGTTGGTTGTATGGTGTTGGTGGAGTAAACTTCATTGTTGTTACATTTTTTAATACTAAATTTAGGGTTGGTTATTTTGATGCAGATATAATATTAAATAAAATATTTTATATTACTTACAAATGGTATTGTTTTCATCATTAATATTGTTTTTGTTGCTTTCAATTTCCTGAATTTTTTCATTCATCTCTTTGTCTAATGCTAAAGTATAAGTGGGATTAATTTTTAAAAATTCTTTAACATGTTTAAAGACTTCATCTTTGAAATATAATATATCATCTTTATGATAGTCTTTATAATTTTTTTCTAGCTTTATTTTAAAAATAAAAATATTAATATTTTTTTTATAGAATAATATCTAATATTATCCACTTACATAATTTTCTAATTTTTTATAGTTTATATTTTTTTTCTCTTTTTCGAAAAGCTGTGTGGTGTACATTACGGTTTTAAATCTATAATACATTGGGGAGAAATATTTTGAATATGGTGCATAGGGTTGGAGAAGTTTAAACCATTCATCTCCGATAACACGGATCCATAAAGACCATTCTGACTTATCCCCATATTGTAAAGAGTACTCTGAAATTTCCGCTACAATCAATTGATTTATATACTTTGAGTTGGGTGGGCTTTTGATGATGCCTTGAATGAAAAAATGCTTCTCTGAATTGATTTGATCAATATAAACATATCTGTCAGGTGATGGTTTAATGTTTGTATAACTCTTTTTATTTGTTGAATAGTAAATTTCAAATTGTTCTATATCATAAAGAATGTCCTCGTCTCTTGCATTTTTAAATTCATTTCTAAAGATTAATGAAATATTATTTCTATTTTTTATATCTTTGTAAACACTGTCTGCTATAACATCGTTAGAATAGTCGGGATATTCAAATTGTCTAATTTCTGGCTCGGGGTTTTTTCTTTTCCTATTATCAATCATTTCTGAATAGTTATATTCTATTAGGTCTGGAGTTAGGTTATAATAATATTGCATATGGTGGGAAATTTTTTAAAAAAAAAAATAATTAAAAAAAAATAATAAAAAAATTTTTTAAAAAATAAAAATTAAAAAAAAAAAAGAAAATTTATTTGAATATTTCTATTTCTCTTTTTAATTAAATAATAAATAATAAATAAAAATATTTCAAATAAATTGAAAAATTTCATCTGATAGCCTTTTTTATTTATTTTTTTTTAATTTTTAATTTTTAATTTTTAATGTTTTTTTTCAAAACAATAACTTTTTCTAAGTTATATATTCGTTAATTATGTGGTTATTGTCTATTTTTTGGGAAATTAATTTTTCTTTTTTTTTTTGTTTTGTTTTTTTAATTTATTTTTTTTTATTTTTTTTTTTAATTAAATATATATATTTACAAACATAAAAAAAAACAGAAAGATATTAATTGTTTTTTTTATTATAAATTTCTAACACACCCACACAACCACATTAACATAATTTTTATACTTTTTTTTCTTTTAATTTTTTATTATTATTTTAAATAAATAAATAATTAATAATTATTTTTTAATATTTATTATTTTACATTTTAATAATTTATGAAGATAATACAAAATAGTTTAATAATATAAATATTTATAAAATTTATTAATCATTTTATATATACATAATAATATTTATTTAAAATATGGTGTTGGACTCTGTCGATAAAGGTCAACATGATTTTCAAGATAGAAATGAAAATTCAAATAATTTAAACAATAGTAACAATACCAATAAAATTTTTGTAATAAAATCGGTTGATATTTATAATACAAATAATAATTCACCTCCCAATAAAAGTCCCTCGCTTATTCACCACCCACACGATAAAATTATAAAAAACGATTATATAGAATTAAGTAAAGAAGATGAAGAGGAAATAACAAAGATATTAGAAAATACACCAAATTTAAATAAAGAAATTACAATTATAAAAAGCCCAAATGTTGCAAATAGTTACGAAAATAGCAATGATAATTATAATATTGGCGCAAATAGTATTAATGAAAAAGAATTTTTAATAATAAATAATTTAAATAGCAGTAATTTAATATTTAATAATAATAATATTAGCAAAGATGGCGCAAATAGTATTTTAAACGAAAGTAGTGAAAAAAGTTATTTAAATTTTAATAATTTCAGTAACCACATAAACAATCATAATGACGAAGAAGAATTTGAAAATAATATTAGAAATTTAAAAGACTGTAATAATATAGAAATGGATTATATAGATTTGGATGCTTCAAACAATATACTTAGAAAAAGTTTAAGAAATCTTCAATATGAAAATCCACTAGCAAGAAAAAAATCAAATCGATTTAAAGAATTCTTTTCAATGAAACTCTTAAAAACGATATTTTTGGTTTTTATGATATCAAATCTTGGATATAGTTCTTTTTTTTCATATACCTCACCAGAAGCTTTGTCTCATACTTTTTGTAAGTAATAACATTGCTTATAAATATTATTTTATCATATATATTAACCCAAGGTATATTTTGATTCATTTTAGATAATGTCTATTCATTATCTTCAAGACAGTTTAGTAGCTTATTTACATTATACGCAGTCCCAAATATAGTAATGGTATTTTTAAGTGGTATAGTGGTCGATATACTGGGTCCCGATAGAGTTAGCATCGTTTTAAGTGCTTTTGTAGTATTATCAACATTGATTGGAGCATTGTCACCACCAAATTATGGTATAATGTTATTCTCAAGATTCTTATTGGGCTTTGCAGGTGAATCTCTAATTGCTTGTAGTAATACAATGATGTCCAAATGGTTTTCTTCAAAAACTTTATCTTTGGGAATGGGTGTATTGGTTGGATGGATTTATTCAGCAAATTTTATTAGTTTAGTAGCCTTACCAGCTATTAATAAAGCATATGGTTTCAATGTCTGTCTATGGGTGATATTTTTTGTTTCAGTATTTGGAATTGTATTAAATGCCGTCTATTTGGTATTAAAAAAGCGTTTCAGTGATGTCAATAACAAGCATGAAGATGGCCAACAATTACTCTCAATGGATTACCTTGATAAGAAAATAAATCAACAGCTACATCTACAACAACAGCAAAAATATAACAATCAGTATGATGAAGATAGCGGTATAATTTTAATAACCGATTTAAATAATGATTTGGAAAGTATAGGAAATATAAATTCAAATTATAAAGGACTTCACAGCTTCAAACTAAAATTCAGGGAATCGACTAGAAAAGTAGTATCAATTTTTAAAGAGATTCCAATTAGAATGTGGATTATTGTTGGTATTGTCTTCTTTGGGTATACAGCATTATTTGGATTAGCTATTATCGGACCAGATTTTTTAAACCAAAAGTATGGATACAACGAACAAAAAGCAGCTTTAATATTATCAAGTGAACATGTTTGCAGTGCTTTATTCTCCCCAATATGTGGTGTTTTTATCAAAAAAGTATCAAAAAGAATTGCTGTACTATTACTATCTTTAATATTGTTTGGAGTTGGTTTGACTTTGTTGTTGGTCACCAATGTATTCCCACTCCCATGGATTATTATTTGTGGTATAGGATATTCAATTTTAAATACAACTATTATTTCATCTCTACCTTTATTTGTACCAGACTCAGTTATTGGAACCTGTTATGGGTTTGTAGGAACAGCTTATAATTGTGGTCTTGTAGTATTTCCTGTATTATTAGGTGCTTTAAAAGAATCCACCGGCAACTATAATTTATCAGTTGGAGTTTTAATTGCAAATAGTTTTATTGCCGCTTTATTGGTGGGTTTATTAAAATATTTTGATTTAAAATCAAAACCAAATGAAAGATTAGATAAATTATAATAAAAAAAAAAGAAAAAAAAAAATACTTTAATAAAGTACTAATAATTTATTTTATTTTATAAATTATTGCTTTTATTTATTTTAATTAAATAAATCAGAAAGATCCTTTTGATTATTATTTTCAATCCAAGAAGATGAACTAACTTTTTGAATATATAGTTTTTCGGGTAAATCGTGGATTGTTTCTTTTTTAAGTTTGGTTGAATTAATCTAGATATAAAATAAAGTAAATAGTTTTATTAATAATTTATTTTTATTAACAATTATATATATAAAAAAATAAAAACTTACACCAATAATATCATTTAATAATTTTCTGAACAATGCCTTTTGAGCTTTTTCGGTTTTATTTTCAACTAACTCTTGATTGAAGCTTTGGAGTATTTGGGGGGTAATATTTGGTAATTGGAGTAAAACCTCTTGTGGGAAATTTGAAATTTGATAGTATTTGATATAGATTAATCTTAAGAGAGCTATAATATCTGGAGTAATTTCTTGAGTTTTATTTAAAATTAAAACTTTAATACATGAACCAAAAATTTCTGAAGCAATAAGCTTAAAGAATCTAGGATCAGATTTTTCGAGTTCGACTAATTGGCAACATAAAGCGATCGCCTTCTTTATGATTGAAAAATCGGCTGCTGAGATACACGATGTGAAGCTATATGCAAGTGGAGTTGTGATATCAGGATTTGTTAAAATATATGGCTGAGCAAAAGCTATTTGAGCAAATGATAAGAAATCCAAACAAAAATCTCTTAGGATTTTATCGTCAATAATTTCTGTTTTTTCATCCTTTTCGATCTTTTGTGATCTAGTTGCTATAATTTCCCAACCCTCTTTAATTCTGTTAAAGAAGATAGAGAATACTAATGGTAAAATTGGGTCAAAGATTTGTGATTGAAGCTTGGATGGACAAGTCTTGATTAAATATGCTAAAACATGTTTGATAATTAATTTGAGGTGTCTATTTTCGACAAATTCTAAATAGGAGAATACAGAGTCATATAAAATATTTGCAATTTCTTTGATGCCATAAAGTTCATCAGAGTGAGTGAAGCCAAAACCAATAATTTCATAGGAGCCATCTCTTATGGTGTCGAGGAGATTACGGACATATGTTACATTTTGTGATTCTGATTTAAGATCCTTGCTATAATCCAAACCTAATAATGGATTAGTAATGGCATCATCCAAAGAATAAATAGCCGATAGTGATGGGTGGATCTTGGCCTTATATACTGGATCCCAAAGACGGTGAATGGTACGAATTAAAGTTACTAAACCTGGAAGAACCTCTTTGATGAATGATGAGACTGGCCATTTACCATAATAACTAATACCATTAGAAATGAATGGAGCAAAGTTTTCATCACTTGAATTGGTTGGAATTGTGCATTTCTTCCAAAACATTTGAATGGCTGCAATGACAAAGTATAATGTTTTTCTTCTATTAATGAAAATTTGATCAGTATTGCCATCATCTGGTAAATTAAGGCCAAGGTTTTGGATAAAAGAATCTGGTGTTTGGATTGTAGCGACCATATCTGGTGATAACCATAATTCAATAATTGGACCAAGAATTTCTTTATTAAAAGCTAAGACTTGTTGATAGGTTGGAAGACTATTACTAAAAACAATTAATAAATGAAAGAGCATTACTTTTTCGGTATTATTTACTGCATCTTTTTGGAAAAGTTCCATAATTGATTGATAGATTGTTTGGCTGTATGGATTCATTAAATCACCGAGGGCAATAGAAATTGAAATTAATGATGAAATTGCCTTTCTTCTAGTGTGGAGTACTGAATTTTGAATTGATTTACTAGGACTATCTAAACCTGGGAATGGGATTAATACTATAATTTTATTTAATATAAATTTAATTGTATCTGGATTGGTCTGATAGTATAATGTAAATACTTGTAATGTATCGATTTGAAAAGCTGTGACATTTGGTTCCTTTTAAATCGATTATAATTAGTATCTATTTGATGATAATAATAGTAAATAATGAAAATATTATTATGTAATACTTACTAATGAATTAATTTCAAAAAGTAATTGTAATGCTTTTTCAGTTTGTTGGGTGACTACTTGATTTGTTTGAAGTGATTTGTTAAAGAAAGTTGGGCCGCATGGTAAATCCTTAATTGTGGATAAAACATTTTCTAAAAAGTGAGAGTGTGATTCTAAAATGAGTGCTTGTTCGTGAGATAAGGCTAAATTGATATTTGATTTTAATGATTCTAAAATTTCAATGATTTTATTGATGATGAAAAGATAGGCAGTATCATGATATTGAGTTGTAATGATTTTTACGATTTCATGGTATCTATTTCTAACACCACCATAAAAGCTTGACCACTCTTTACTTGTTGCAAAATCGATTTGAGAGAATTTTGATTTTTCGTTGTCGGATTTCTCTGGATCGCCAATTCTAACAAATTTTGATAAAATAATTTCTAAAATTTGTTTTACCAACTCTTCTTTATATGAGACTTCTAAATCAACTTTGAGTAATGCTAACCAAAATGGGAATGCTAAGGATGATAATAAAATACTTGGATGACCAAACATTTGCATCATTAATTGTAAATAACCGCTATAATTGGTTGGAATTTTATGTTTACTATCATATGCATTTAAATGAACTGTACCTAATAATGTTAACGCCTTTTAAAATAATTAATAAATTTATATTAGCATATGCGAAATAATATTTTTTAAATTTTAAAACTACTTACTTGTGTAATTCTTTTGTGAAAAGAATAGTCATCATCGAAATTTGAAGAGTTTTTAATTGCATTGAAAAAAATTTCCATCAAGTTGAATGGTGTGTTTAATAATTCGATTCTTTCATCTGGACGTCCTTTACGATTTAAGAAAAGTATAAGATTTTCGCAAGATCCCATTCTAAAAGGAGTATCTAGTAAGAGTTGGCAAAAAATATGATCCAACTTGTGATCAAAGATAACTTTTGAAGGAATCCATTCGATATATGATCCTAAAGTGTTTAAGAGGACGTTGATTAAATGAACATTTTGTGGATTTTTGATTTTTTGTTGCTCGTTTTGTTTGTATAAAGTATATCTAGATTCCAATAGTTTAAAAAAGAATTCAAAAAGTGATGAAACTGCTTGATTGATACCAGCCATTAAATCTTTTCTACGTTGATCTGATAAGACATTGGTTGTTGCTGAACCTTCAATTATATCATGTGGTAATTGACCGAATGTTAAAAGTACAAGCTCTGTTTGGGTATCTGATATTGCTGAAATTTCAATGAGTGAACTTAGTAAATTCATCCAACGTTGGGGCCAATCTCTTTTTATAACTTCAACAATAATGGTAACTAATTTCTCTTTAATAAACTTTTGTTCTTGTGCAGATATTCTTGACATCATTTCTAAGATTTCTTTTTTTATAATTTCTCTTTCTTGATCGGTTGCTTCGTACCATCTAGTCTTTACCAATGTCTCTATAATATGTAGAGCATAATGCTTAACAATATTATTATTGCTAGAAGAAATAATTACAATTGCATAACTGTGGGCATTTGGTCTGTTTTTTACCTCCTCTAAAAATTTTTGGGATTCTTCTCTTTGTTGATTAGTCGATGTTGTTCCATGTAATAATGATAAGGCTTGTTCAATTTGATTTACAACTAAACTAAGTTCGTTATTCATATTTTATTGATATATTTATTTTTATTTTTATTTTTTATTTATATATTTTATTGTGCTTGTTTATTTATTTATTTATGTATTGTTAATATATTTATGCTTATTTATCTAAGTTTTCAATTTAAATACCAATTTATTAATATAATGAAATAAAATAAATGATGATAATTGTTTGAATAATTTAATAAAAAAAATTTGAAAAAAAAAAAAAAAAATTTTGCACTTGCGAATTTTTTAAAAGAAAAAAAATAAAAAAATTAAAATAATTTCATAATACTTCTAATTTCTAAAAATATAAATAAAAAACATATAAAAAGAAATGAACCATTTAGTTCATTGTTTTATAATGATGGTGAATGTATTGTTTTAAATGATTTGAAAATGTGGGTGTGAAAGTGGGGGTTAATTTTTAGTGAATATAAAAAAATATAAAAATTTTTTATAAGAGAGCATAGAGGTTAATAAACTACTTTTATAATTTTTTCTTTTTATGGGAAAAAAAAAAAAAACCTTTTTTGAACTTAGTTTAAAATAGATTTTGATTAATATTAATTCTTTAAAAAAATTTTTTTGATTTTTTTTATTCTATTTTTTTTTTAAATTTTTAATATTTTATTTTTTTTATTTTATTTTTTAAAAATTTTTAAATTTTTTTAATAATTAATTATTTTTTTTTTATTTTTTCTTTTATTTTTATATAATAATTATTTAATATATGAACACCACACACATTATTAATAAATAAAAAGAAAAAACAAAAAAAAATTTATTATATTTTATATTAAAATATATATTTATATATATTTATATATATATTTATATATAAATAACTCACACATACACACATAACATAATTAATATAAACAACAGATAGAAAAAAAAAAAATAGAGAGTTCTATTTTTTTTTTTTTTAAATTTATTTATTTATTTATTTAAAAAAAAGAGAATATAAAATAATAATAATAGAAAATAAAGAAAAAAAATCCTTAATAGTTTTTTTTAAATTATCAAATTATTTTAATTAAACAATTTAATAATTTTATAAATCAATAAATAATACATAAATAAAAAAATCAATATTATATGAATAGCAATAATAATAATAGTAACAATAATAATAAATATAATAATAATAATAATAATAATTATAATAAAAGTAATAATAATAATAATAATACAAAAATCTTATTTATTTAAATTTTTAGTTATTTCAAAACTAAAAAAACCATCTCAAGATATTAACATTAACCATATAAAAGGGGTTTATCTGTATTTGTGAGTATACTGGTTTTTATATATTATTTTTCTTTGGGAAATTTAATTAAATTTTTTAAAAAGATAAAAATTTTTTTTTTAATTTTTATAAATTTTTTGGATAATATCAAATCATATTAACTTTTTTTTTTTTTTTTTTTTTGTTATTATGATCATAATCTTTAGATAATATCAAAAACACTAATAGTAGGATTAAAGTTTTTTTTTTTTAGCATTCAATAAATAGTAGCAGAAAAAAAAAAATTAATAAAAATCAAAATACACAATAGTAATAATAATAATTATACATATATAAACAAACAATGAAAAATGAACAAATGGAACAAAGAAAAATCATAAAGGACTTATGGGTGCAGCAATCATTTCAGTTTGGTGAAACAGTAAATATAATATCAATGATATGGTTAAGACAATGGAAGAATTATGTTAAATATGACGAATCCCCATTAATAAATGGAAATGGCAATAACAGTGAAAATGGACATAATGAGCAACAACAAAATGGAAAGGGTGTAAATCATCATCACGAATTTGAATCACCAAAGCCAGAAACTATTGATAACAGAGAATTACTTGAAGGTATTGATTCAGAAGGGAATCCAATAATGGATAGAAAGTTAAACGAAAAAACAGATTTCGAGATTGTACCAAGCAAAGTATGGAGTCAGCTTATTCAGTGGTATCAAGGAGGTCCAGAAATTAAAAGAACTGTTATAACTTTAGGTTTTAAAGATGAACTATATGTCGAAATCAAACCATATTTAATAAATGTAAAATATCACACATCACTAATAAGTGAAATACCTTCAAGGAATCAAAACCAACAGCAACAACAAACACCATATTTATATTCATACCAAAGAAGTTTAAAATCAACTCTAGCAGAGTTAAGAGAAACTATCGCAAAAAATGAAAATATCAATCCAAATCATTTAGAATTTTATAAAAACTCCACCAGTGGAAAATCAAAACCAATAAAGAAAATAACGATGTCTCTAGAAGATCTAAAGTTTGAGGATAAAACCGATTTAATACTACACTATCAAACTGAACAAACTCAAAAAGGTATTTCAAAGCTTGGTAAAAAGATTACAGGTATTTTTAAGAAGAAAGGACATGGCAGTGGAATGGGTGGAAGATCTTACTCTGATCCATCATACTATACTAATGGCGTGAATGGTGGCGGAAGCAGCAGCAGCAGTAGTTCTACAAGTTCAAATTCTAACGAAAGTTCACCCACTTTTGAAAATATTGATCCAAAAAGTTCAAAAGAGATTGTACTTTCAAATAAAATTTGTGGTTTGTCAAATCTTGGTAATACTTGCTTTATGAACTCTTCACTACAGGTAAATATTTTCTATTTCCATTAAAAATATTATTTTTACCTAAATAGAACCAATTTTAATATATTTTTATAGTGTTTAGCACATACTATACCTTTAACAGAATACTTTTTATCAGGAAAATATGCTTGTGATATTAATAAAACAAACCCATTAGGTATGAAAGGTCAAATTGCAGAGATTTATGGAAAATTAATGAAGGATATGTGGACAGGTAGCAGTAATTGTGTAGCACCAAAACATTTGAAATGGATTATTGGTAAATATGCACCTCAATTCAGTGGTATGTCACAGCAAGATTCACAAGAATTCCTATCATTCTTATTGGATGGTCTTCATGAAGATTTGAACAAGGTATTAAAGAAACCATACACTGAAGAGAAAGAAGAATCAAAAGAGCAAAGAGAAGATGCAGTAGTAGCAGCTGAACACTGGGAAAACCACATCAAAAGAAATCAATCAATCATTGTAAATTTATTCCAAGGTCAATATAAGAGTACATTAACCTGCTCTAAATGTAGCAAAGTTAGTATCACCTTTGATCCCTATATGTATGTTACTTTACCTATACCAGTTCCAACTGAACGTCTATTCGATGTCATTCTATTTAGACGTAAACCAATTGAACAACTAGGACCGGATCCAAACGGAATCTATTGTTTAAACAATGCAATGGCACCAATTAAATACTGCTTAAAGTTACCAAAAAGAGAAGATGTCGAAACCTTAAGAGTTGAACTTTCAAAGATTACCGGTATCGAATCATCATGTATTGCATTAGCAGAGACATTAAAAAATAGAATATATACTTTTCTTAATGATCAAAAGAGTTTACTTTCAATTAAAGATAAAGAAGTTACAATTGCATACGAACTACCACATGCTGGCGAGGATATTTCTAGAATCCATGTTATGCATAGAAGTAATGGTGATTTAGCTCTTTTACCATATGTATTATTATTAAAATACTCTGAAACCTCGCGTAAAGATTTATATAAAATGGTTTGGGAACGTGTTGGTCACAGAGTTAAAAAGGGGTGGCGTTCAGCATTAAGACAAAAATTAAAGGAACAACAAAATTTAAATTTAGAAAATAATAGCAACAACTCCTCTACAACAACTGTAAATGATCAAGATCAAGATAATATTAGCAATCAACAAGAGCAACATCAACAACATCAACAACAACAACAACAATTCGGTGAAAAAGATAGTCATCATAGCACCTTTGATGATAGCCAGTTTGAAGAAGATGATGCCTCATCAGTTACAGATGATGATTTATTCGAATCAATCTATCCATTCGTTTTAAAAACCACCAATGGTAATGGTAATCATTGTGATCGTTGCCCAAATGGTTGTACTGGTTGTGCAGTCGAATGCGATGATAAACCATTAACAATTTTATATAAAACTCCAAAATACTGGCGTGAAGGTTGTAATAATATAGCTATTGATTGGAGACCAGAGATTATCAAATATGTCGATTTTATTGACCATGACGATCCAACATCACCATTCACAATTCAAGATAAAAGCATTCAATTAAAATCAGAATTTAGAAATGACATAACCCTCTACGATTGTCTATCAATCTTCACAAAGAACGAAGAACTCAAGAAGAATGATACATGGTATTGTCCAGATTGTAAAGCTCATATTGAAGCAACTAAAAAATTAGAATTATGGAGCGCTCCAAAAATTTTGGTTATTCATCTCAAAAGATTCCAATACACCTCATACACTCATCGTCATGAAAAAATCAACTATTATGTAGACTTCCCACTCGATAATTTAGATATCTCCAAATTAGTATTAAACAAATCTTATCCACCACCAGTTTATCAACTATATGCCATATCGAATCATATGGGTGTAATGGGTTCTGGTCATTATACTTCTTGTGTTAAAAATAAAGATCAATGGTATTTAATTAGTGACTCTTCATATCGTCCAATAGATAAATTAAAAATTAAAAGTTCAGATGCCTATGTATTATTTTATCAACTAAAATCTCCACCAACTGGAACATTACAACAATAACCAATTAAAAAATAAAAAAATAATAATCGTATTTATAAATGATAATATAACAATAATATTTTTATAGAATAATAAAATAATAATTATAAATAATACCATTAAAATCACAATAGTTATTATTGAATTGCATAATTAACAGTAATAATATTGTAACACCTTTCTTTTAAAAACTCTAATAATATTAAATAAAACTTTTCCTTTCTTTTATTTATATTATTATCATAAAAAATATAACAATTAGACCTATAAATTACAAAAATTTAGATACATTTTATAATAACCATAAGAAAAAAAAAAAAGATATTTTGTTTTAGTTTTGGTTTATTTTGGGTTGTTAACATTACAGTTTAGTTTTTAGTTCTAGACAAAATTTTATTTAATTTTTTTTTTTTTTTAAAAAAAAAAAAGTATTTATTTTATAACATATTATTATTAAATATGGGTATTATTATTATTATTATTATTAAAAACTACATTGGATTATTTTTTTTTCTGATTTTTTTTTTTTATAGTTATTTTTTTTTAAATTTTTTTGTTTGTATTATAAAAGTATTATTATAGAAGAAAAATAGATAAAACAAAGAAAAGATAAAAAAAATAAAAGAAAAGAATTGAAACCATCTTAATTGTCTGATTGAATAGCTTGAATTTGTTTGATTAAGAAATTCTTTTCATCACTAAATTGTTCTTCTTCTGTTTATTTTTAAAATAAAAAATGGGCGTTATGTTAATAAAATCGGTTTATGGTTTCCATAATACTATACTATTATTATTTGTAATTACCTTTATCATTATGGAATTGTGTTAAGAAAGTGATTAATCTTTCTTTATTTTTAGTTAAAATTTCAAGAATTGGTTTAGTTTTATTTGGATTGGCAACAAATACTTTGAATACATGGAAAGCTTCATATTGAATACTCTTTGATTTATCTCTTAAAAGGTTCATCATTAATTTAAGATTTGCAGCAGAGCTGATATATTTTGTCATAATATTGAAATTTGAACGATCTAATAAAAGTTCACCTAATAACTATAAAATTCGAAATAAAAATAAATTATTAATAAATTTAATCTTGAAAATGAAATTTTTAACTATAAACTAAATTACTTTAATAGATTGTCTTCTTGTAACATAATTTTGTGAATTTAATAAAGTTGTATATCTTTCAAAAACCTAAAGGAAAATAATAAAAATTAGTAAACCAATATTTGTGCATGTATATGCAAATAATAATAATAACTTACTTGATCATAATTTTTTTCTAAAAAGTCTGCGCTTAATGCTTTATGTTTGGTTAATAATTCTTTAAAGGTAGCAAATGTATCAGAGGCGACATCAAAATTTGAAACTTCGACAAATTCAAAGAATTCCCAAAAGTTTGGTGAGTAAATTAAACTTTTTGCTAATGATTCATGTTTGATGCATTCTCTAAGCATTGTACCACAATTTAATGCAACGTCTTGTTGTTCGTACCTGTTGTTTTTACAATCGAAAAAAAAAAAAAAAAAAAAAAAAAGTTAATAACTTTTGATTGCTTTACTATCTCGTTTCTTTTTTTCTTACCCCTTAACTAATGAGTCTAAAATATCTGTATTTTTTGAAATAAATTCTACAAATGGTGAACGTGAACCATTTTTATATCTTAATAAAATGTTGAAAATTTGGGCAACATCCTTTTTAGCTTCAAATTCTAATTTACCGAGATCTTTAATAATGAGGGGAATTAAATCACCTGCACAAATTTCATTTGTTAAAGCACCAACTGATTCTTGATTTGGTTCGTGTTCACCATCGCCTTGTAATACCTTTTTAATTTCTTGAAGACATTTTGAAATTTCTTCTGATGCCTTTATTTAATTAATAGATTTTATTTTTAATAGATTTTAAATTTTAGATTTGAATATGGTATGATTATAGTTATTATTAATTTGATTTGATTTGATTTGATTTGAATTGGTTTGATTAGATTAATTTGATAAATTAAATTGTAAAATATGAAAAAAAAAAATATTAATATAATTTTTCTTTTTGTGATGATATCGTTAATTAAAAATACTGTACTTTTTCTGTTGTTTTTGAATTTGGTCCTGATTTATCCATAGAGAATAGACTCTCCTTTATTGATTTAACCAATTCGGTTGGAGTTTTTTGTTTTTTATTAAAAAATATATTCATATTTTTATGTATATATTATATTGTCTATATAGTGGTGCGGTATCTGTGTGATCTTTTTTTTTTTTTTTTTTCGTAAGTTTTTTTATGATCTTTTTCTCTAAAATTTAGTTTTTTATTTCTTTTGTAATTTTTCTTTAGAGTATGGTGTTTTTGATATAAATATAACTATTTATTTTCTTCTTATTGTCTAACACCTTTTTATTTCTTTCTTTTTCTTACAAAAAAAATAGAGGGTGGATGATAGAGTGTTAAAAAAATTTTGATGAAAAAAAATTTAAAAAAAATAAAAAAAAATAAAAATAAAAAAAAATAAAAAAATTTTAAAAAATTTTTTAAAAAAAAATTTAATTAAAATAATAAAGATATAAAAAAAAAATAAAAAAATAATTATAATTAAAATTTAAAAATAGTAACAATATAACCAATATTAATAAAACTAAATGTTGTTTATTCAATGGTTCAAAATAATTATATAAAAAAAAAATATATAAAATAAATAAAAAAATGGGTTCACCAAAAATAAAATAAAATTAAATAATAATTTATAATAAAAATAAAAAATGATAATGGTACTACAATTTCTTAGGGGTGCATAATAAACTTAAATAAAAGGGAAATAAACAAAGATATAAAGTTTTTTTTTAACCCAGTTAAAAAATCTTTTTTTTTTTTTTTTTTTTTTTTTTTTTTTTTTAATTTTTTTTAATTTTTTTTTTATTAATTTTATTTTTTTTTCAAATTTTACAATAATTTTTTTATTTTTTTTATTTTTTTTTTATAAATTTTTTAAACACAACAACAATAATTAATTCTCAAATATGACAGTAAGTAGGCACAAATTTATACAACTACGCACAATAGATTTTAGGAAATATCGACATACATAATCTAAATTTATATCAACAATAGTAATTATTTTGTAAAATGTGTTAAATATTAAAATTTAAAATTTTTTTTAAAAATAATTATTATTTTATCTACCATTCCTCAGTATACTTTTTTCGTTGATATGACCTGTGGTGGTTGCTCAAAAGCTGTAAATGCTATCTTATCAAAACTTGGTATGTATATTATAATATTGGTTATTTGTTACTTCTTTATCGATAATATAAAAAAATAAAAATAATAATAATAATAATAATGATAACAATAAAAATATTTATATAATTTTAAATAACTGCCATAATTAAACAATAGAGTATTAATGACATTATAGGAGAGTTAATAAAATATAAATAATTAAATGAATAAATTTATAAATTTAATAAATAACCACCGATAACATATTAATTTTTATTTTTAAATTACTTTTATTTAAATATTTTTGGTTTTTTAAAATAGATGGTGTTTCAAACATTCAAATCGACCTTGAAAACAAAAAAGTTAGCTGTGATAGTTCAAAACTCAATGCTGAAGAACTTTTAACAAATATTAAAAAAACTGGCAAGAAATGTGAAATCATTGCTTAAACCACCCAGTATTATATAATTAAATCAATAATTGCCACAATTTTAAAAAAATAATTAAAAACCACAAATATTGTACTTTTATTTATTTAATTTATTTATTCTCCTTCTATACCCCTTCCTCTTCATTATTTATTAAAAATATAAATTCATATTGCTTACCAATACAATATGAATCTTTATTTAAAATTTATTTATTTCCTCTTCCAAAATTCATTTTTATTTTTAAAATAAAAAGAATATATTAAAAAAAAAGTTAATTGGTTATTTCATATGAGTATCATCCAATCGAAATATAAACCTTGTTATTAAAGATCATTAAAAAAAATAATATTTGTTTTTTTTTTTTTTAAAAATAATATTTTATTTATGTGTTTTATATTTTATATTTTTCTAAACTTTAAAAAAGATAATGTTCTTTATCTTTTTTTTTGGCGAAAACTGTACAATTTTATTTATTTAATTCTTTTTTTTAATTGTTTAATTTTTTAATATTCATCGGTGGTTGATTCTTTGTTTAAACATTTCTTCATTCTGTGTTGAAAAGTTTGTTCTACCAAAAGGTGAAAACCAAATTTAATTCTTAATAATAGCATGCTTTCCATTTTGACTTTGCAATGTATTTTCTGTTTTTAATATTTGTGTATATTTATTTTTATAAAAAAAAAAAATAATTTTAATATTTTTTATATTTAATTTTTAAGAAAAAAAAAAAAAAAAAAAAAAAAAAAAATCTGGGGGAAATTTTAAATTAAAAAAATAATAATTATGTCACCATATTAAAAACCGATTTCAAATAGTAATGGGACAAAAAACAAAAACTTTTGCACTATATTTATCAATAAAACCAATATCTATATAAAATCATCATGATGAAATAAAAAAAAATAAAAAAAAATACATTTGAATATATTTTTTTTTAACATGGCAAACAACTTTTCGGTCTTTTTGAAAGTGGTATGATGCCATCGAGAAATGGAAATTTTGTTGGATACAAAATGGCATTAATAATAAAACCCAGGTTGTGTTTCTGACTAAGAACTTGGTTTAAACCAAAATTTAAAATAATTAAAGTTTTGCAATTCACTTGAAAAAAAAAAGGAATTCATGCAATGTAAATTTTAAGTAAATTCTTTTTTGACCTCAAGAACTAGACAACTCAAGAGTCGTGTAGCAATATAAATTTTTGTTTTAGATTTGCAAATATTTACAATAGAAAAAAAAAAAAAAATAAAAAAAAAAAAAAATAAAAACACTATTTTTAATTATTTCAATTTTCATATTAACAAATTTATTTTTATTACCCCCTATTTGTTTTTGTTTTTATTTTTAAGTTCCTTAAAATTTCAAATTTTTTAATTTATATGTATAAATATTTTTTATTTTTATTTTTTATATTTTAAATATTTTTATTATATATTTTTCATATAACCATTATAATAATATTATTTTATTATTATTAAAAAAAATGAATAGTTCAATATTTGATAACAATTTCAATATACCAATAAAATATAATGTTTCGGAATTATCATCTGAATTATATGATGGTTATGTATGTCCAATTTGTTTTGAAATATATTATAAAAAAGAAGTTTACCAATGTAAAGAAGGTAAGAACTTGGTATATAGTTTTTATTTTAAATATTTATATATATTTTAACTAATAATTTTCTATTTTTACTTTAATTTTAATATCAGGTCATTGTTCATGTAAAGAATGTTGGGAAAAATCACTTGAAATAAATAAAGAGTGTATGCAATGTAAAACTCAAGTAAATTCATTCAATAAACTATAAAGAGCAAGACAAGTTGAAAATTTGTTGATGAAAACTGGTGTATGCTGTCCATATTCATTCAGAAATATTCTTAGAGTAGATGATAATGAAGAATTAATAAAAGATAATGAAGGATGTAAAGAAATTATTAAATTGGAAAATTTAGATAATCATATTGAAATATGTAGTTTTAGATTTATAAAATGTAAATATCATAAAAAAGGATGCAATGAAAAATTCAGATTCAGTAATGGTGATTTTCACATTCCCCGATGTGAGTACCAAACAATAAATTGTGAATATTGTTCTAATGGTTACTTATTAAAAACAATCGAACAACATAGTCTCGAGTGTCCTTCAAAGTTAGAATACTGTTCTGGATGTAATAAAAAATTTAAAAGAGCAGAAATGAATTATCACTTGGATAAAGAATGTCCAGGGGCAATTATTCCATGTAAATTTTCACAATTTGGATGCAATTACAAAATAAAAAGAGAAAATTTAGAAAATCATTTAGATCAAATAGACCACACAAAACAATTACGTGCAATAATTGATAGTTTAATTATTAAAAATGGTGTACTTTCAGATTGTATCGATGAGTTAGCTAATGGTAAGAAACTTTTGATTTCAAAAATAGAAAATTTAACCTATAATAATAATCTACTTTCAGATAGAATTGATGCTTTAACTAAAGGTAAAGAATATAAAAATAAATGGATTATTTCAAACTATTCAGGAATACATAAAATTGATTCACCTAAATTTGAATATCCTCCAAATTTATTTAAATTATTTTTTTTTAAAAATGATCATTGTGGAGCTCATAGAATCTTTTTAACCTCACTAGATGTAACATTCTCAATAACTTTATTAAACAAAGATACTCAAATGAACTACATTTGTCCAGATGGTAAGTAATAGTATTATTTTATTTCATTGGAATTATAAAAAATTATTATTTTATTTTTAATTTATAAATAATTTATAATATTAAGATCCACTACCATCAAAAGGAAGATGGTACACAATTAATTTCGAATTAAATAAAACAAATGGATATGTAACACAAGATGACAAAGTTGAATTTGAATTTACACTTACATATCCGAAACAAATGCCATTGTTATCATAATTAAATTTCAAATTATCAATTAATTTAATTTTATAGTTCTTTTTCAATATTTTACGCCATCATTAAGTTTATTTAATAAAATAAAAGTTTTTTAACATTTACATAATATATTTCTTTTATTATGTTTTTACAAGGTTTTTTTATTACTATTTAAAAGTAAAAATTTACTAATAAACTTTATATAAAATCTTTTAAAGTTGAACCACAAATGGTTAATAGTTATTCCTATAAAGTTTTTTAATAAAAATATTATTTTTATATAAATATAGTAATTTGAAGAGATTAAAAACTATCGTTCACAAGGAAGATTTATCCAAAAATTAATTTTTTTTTTAAAAAATATAAAAATAAATAAAAAAAAATTAAAACTAAAAATAAAATAAAGACCTTTTTATAATAATGTTTTTTAATAAAAATGACTGTCATTTATTATGCAACACAATCTTTTTTATTTCGGAAAAGAAAAAAATTGTGATTTGAGTTTCTGCTGTTATTTTAGATTTATCAATAAATTTTATAAAATGAATAGAAATGAATAATATTAAAAAAAGTTAAAAAAAGAGATAATATTTATTTAAAAAAAATTAATTTAAATAGGCAAATGATAATCGGTAAAAATAGGGATAATGATAAATCTCTAAAATCAATGTTAGCTAGCTCATCTGGAAGTACTACCTTCTCTGGTAATGAATCAACTTGGTTCAGTAATACCTTAGGGTAGTTCATGTGGTTTCAATCCATGCAGCGGTAGGAACAGTATCTTTATCAATTTTGATCGTTATTAGTCGTCATCATAGAAAATGCTGTTAATTTCTCTATATAAATAAATCTTTAATTGATGAATTGGATATCCAATTTGTATGGATACATATTATAAAAAAGAAATTTATCAATGTAGACAAGGTAAATGGTTTTAAAATAATTTTTTAATTTATGTTTCCAAATATTAGTTTAAAATTGTTCTTGTAAAGATTGTTATGAAAAATCACTTGAAAAGGAATATATGCAATTCAAATTTCAAGTATATTCTTTTTTTACCTCAAGAACTAGATAACTCGAGTCAATTATTAAAAACAGATGAATGTTGTCCATATTCATTCAGAAATATTTAGAGTATATGAAAGTTTAGAATTAATTGAAGATAGAAATGGAAGTAAAAAAATTATTAATTTGGAAGAATTAGATAATCATATTGAAAATTTTAGTTTTAAATTTGTAAATATTTACTAGGGAAGAAAATTTAGTTTATTTTTTGAAAAAAAGGGGTTTCTAAGTTCGGGGTCAATAAGTTCCATTTTTAAAGTCAATTTCTAAGTTTTAGTTTTTTTTTTATTTTTCTAAGTTTTAAAAACAAAAAAAAAAGTTTTTAATTTAAAAGGTGTTTAAAAATCAATAAATTAACAATTAAATCATAATCAATTAATATATATAGTAATGTGTGGTTGTTTCCCCCTTTTATTTTTTTTTTTAAATTTTTTTTAAATTTTTTTTTAAAATTTTTTTTTTTTTTAATAATATACATAAATATTGTTAAGAGGATTTTTAAATATATTTTATTACAATATAGCAGTTATATAATTAAGCGCAATATTTAAAATTAAAAATAAATAAATTTAATATAATTTTTTTTCTATAAATACTTCAAAATTTTTATTTATATATCAATATCAAAATTTATTAATATATAAAAATATAAAAAATTATTATATTTTAAAAAAAATAAAAATAAATTAATAAATAATAACATTAATAAATATAAAATTATAAAAAATAAATATATTTTAATATTAATAACTAAATATCAATGGAAGGAACAAATAAAAGACCTATTACCAGAAGAAATTCAATTGTAGATCTAGATAAAAAGCTAGCAACATCCCTATAATATTAGATATAATTTTACAAATGGTAAAGTATACATATTATTATTTAATTTATTGATAAAAAAATTATATACTAATATCTTATTTTTAATAGATGGTAAATGTTTAGCAGCAAAAAAATATAGAGAAAAAAACAATCTTTCAAATGATACAATAAATACCCTAGATTATCACAAATATTGGAAAGAAAATAGTATTGAAGATCCAACATTATAATCAATTATAAGAAATCTACTTTCAGTTGCTTCTTCGTCCGTTGAAATTGAAAGAACATTTTTGGATGCTAAGTTGTTGGTTACATGTAGACAACAGATCAAATTTGGGTTGGGAAAGAATAGAACAATGTGTGTTATTAAGGGAATGGGCAAACTTTTCAAGAGTAGATATTGTCGAAAACTCTGTCTTTTATAACTATTCAAATATTTCAAAAATGGAATGATTAAATAAAATTGTACAAGAATTTTAAATATTTTTCATACTAAAAAATAATGTAATTCTAAGTTTTTTTTTTTTTTTTTAAAGTTTCTAAAGGGGGTAATAAAAATAAATTTTGTTAATATGAAAATTGAAATAACTAAAAATAGTGTTTTTATTTTTTTATTTTTTTATTTTTTTTTTTTTGTATGGGAAAAAAATTAGTCTAAGTTTGACAAAAAAAAAAAAAATTTCTAAGTTTCCCCCACTCCCACACCCACCCACTATAACCAAATTTAGGTTTACCAAAGTGGAGTTGGAAAAAAGATGGTGGAAAATAACAAATAAATCAATAAAAAATAATAAATAAAAAGATTTTTTTACGAAAAAAATTAAAAAAAAAAATTGTAACATTTTGATTGATATTTTTTCAATCTTTTGGCTTTTTTTAAAAAATTTTCAAAATAGTTTTTATTGGAAAAAAAAAATATATTTCAATTTAATTTTTTTTAATTTTTTTTTTTTATTTGTTTTTCTTTTTAAGTTCCTTAAAAATTTAAGTTTTTTTATTTATATGTCTATTTTTTAAGTTTTAAAATTTTTTTTATTTTTTATTTTTTAAAATTTTTTTTATTTTTTATGTTTTAAAATTTTTTATTTTATATTTTTCATTTAACATTATTTTATTATTATTATAAAAAAATGGATTATAGATTTGGTAACAATTCCACTACACTGAAAAGAGAACCAATAAAATATAATGTTTCGGAATTATCATCTGAATTAGATGATGGTTATGTATGTCCAATTTGTTTTGAAATATATTATAAAAAAGAGGTTTACCAATGTAAAAAAGGTAAAAACTTGGTATATAGTTTTTTTTTAAATAAATTTCAAATAATAATTTTTCTATTTTTACATTAATTTTAATATCAGGTCATTGTTCATGTAAAGAATGTTGGGAAAAATCACTTGAAATAAAAAAAGAGTGTATGCAATGTAAAGATCAAGTAAAGTCATTAAATAAACTACCAAGAGCAAGACAAGTTGAAACTTTGTTGATGGGAACTGGTGTATGCTGTCCATATTCATTCATAAATATTCTTAGAGTAGATGATAATGAAGAGTTAATAAAAGATAATGAAGGATGTAAAGAAATTATTAAATTGGAAAATTTAGATAATCATATTGAAAAATGTAGTTTTAGATTTGTAAAATGTGAATATCATGAAAAAGGATGCAATGAAAAAATCAGATACTGTAATGGTGATTCTCACATTCTCCGATGTGAATACCAAACATTAAATTGTGAATATTGTTCTAATGGTTACTTAAAAAAAACAATCGAACAACATAATCTCGAATGTCCCTCGAAGTTACAAGACTGTTCTGGATGTAATAAAAAATTTAAAAGAGCAGAAATGAATTATCACTTGGATAAAGAATGTCCAGGGGCAATTATCCCATGTATATGTTCACAATTTGGATGCAATTACAAAATAAAAAGAGAAAATTTAGAAAATCATTTAGATCAAATAGACCACACAAAACAATTACTTAAAATGGTAGAAAGTTTAACAAATAAAAATAATCAACTTTCAAATTGTATTGATGAATTAACTAAAGGTAAGGAACTCTTGATTTCAAAAATAGAAAATTTAACCTTTAATAATAAACTACTTTCAGATAGAAATGATGCGTTGTCTAAAGTTAATTATAAAAAAAAATGGATTATTTCAAACTATTCCGAAAATTCTGATAATAAAGAATGTTTTAAAACTCAATTTGGAAATCAAAATGAGTTTCTTTTATATTTTACTAATGGAAAAAAAAAACATATCTATTTTACAGGTGTAAAAAATACACTCTTAATAACTTTATTAAATAAAGATCCTCAAAATAACTACACTTGTCCATTGGATAAAGGTAAGTAATAGTATTGTTTTATTACATTGGAATTATAAAAAAATTATAATTTTATTTTTAATTTATTAATTATTTATAATATTTAGATTTATCAAATAAAGATGCAAATGTGTTCGAGATTGATTTGGAATTAAATAAAGAAAATGGATATGTAACACAAGATGACAAAGTTGAATTTGAATTTACACTTAAATATCCTGAACAAATACCATTGTTATCAAACTAAATTTCAAATTATTCAATTAATTATATATAATCCTTTTTCATATTTTATACCATCATAAAGTTTATTTAATAAAATAAAAGTTTTCACATTTACATAATATATTTCTTTTATTATGTTTTTACAAGGTTTTTTTATTACTATTTAAAAGTAAAAATTTACTAATAAACTTTAAATTAAATCTTTTAAAGTGGACCAACAAATGGTTAATAGTTATGCTGTTAATTAATAAATCGTTTTTAATAAAGTGCCTTAAATTGATTAATCTTTAAAGGATTAATCTATTTTCAAAAAAAAATTCAAATGGATTTGATAAATATTTCATAAAACCATTGATCAGATTCATTATTTTTGTAACAGATACCGTATTTACTTCTGTGAAATCGGACCTTGGTTTTCTTCATCTTGGTGTATGATAATCTTCTTGATTTTCTCTTACAACAACAGATGCAAATAAAGAATGAAATGATACTGAAATAGTACCAAATTTCCTTGTTATTTATATTTTTTTCTTTTATTAAAATTTTATTTTTTTTATGGATTTCATAATAATTTTTTTTTTTTTTTTTTTTTTTTTTAAATTTAAAATTTTGATTTCCCAATTTAAAAAATTTTTTTTTTTAAATTTTTTTTTTGTTTTTGTTTAAAATATATTTTTTAAAAGTATATTTATTAATAATTATAATAATAAATTAATAATAATATTATAAAAAATTTATGAAACTATTAATGAATATATTAAGCAGCAATAATAGTAACAACAGTAAAAATAATGATAGAGAATATTAATAATAATAGTGATGATATCAGTAGTAATATTAGTAATAGTAACAATAGTTTTAATATAGAAAATTATTATAAAATTGTAAATGATTCCATTACCAAATTTAATGATATACTGGATAGTATAATAGAGGATAGTCAAGAAAAACTAAAAGAAAACCAAATTTTAAGAGAAGAGCTATTAAATGTCATACAAAATAAAATACTAAAGCTTGAAGAAAAGGAATCAATTTTAAAGAATCAAAAGATACAGCTATTAAAAGAAATTGAATTGATATTGGTTGAATTAGATTTGCAACCAAACCTATTCACAAGTGATAGTGATATTAAAAATCAGTATGCTCAATTAATAGATAGTTTCAATACAACAAAATTAATATCGAGTCAAATAATATTAATCGATGCATATCATACAAATTTAAAAAATGTATTTTATAAATTTATTATTATAGTTTTTAAAAAAAAAAGATACCAAAAATATTAACATTTAATTTCTTTTTTATTTTTTTAGATATATAATGAAAATAAAAATAAATTAAATAAATTATTTGAACAGTTAAATCATCTATATGATGATTTGGGTTTAAATGAAGATAAATCAGCACTGCAATTCAAAGAAATTGGACTACCATCAAATAAAAGAATTCAAGAATTTGAAATTGAAATTCAAAGATTAAAAGAAATTCAAAATGGTATTATAGATAAACTTTTGGTTTCAAAATCATCAGTAATTAAATTAAAAGAAGAGTTAGAGCTCTCAAATGAAGAATCCGCGGAAATTAATAACTTGATAAATCAACTAAATAAAATAAATAATAGCTCTGATCAGCAATCAAAGCAAATTAAATCATTGGTACAAATATTATATAAACTAGAATCAATGAATAAAGATCTCAGTAATCTAAAGAATAAAAGAGTAAATCAAATATCAAAACTATCAAATACAATAGATAAAGATTATATTCAATTGGGCATTGAGAGTAATGACGAGTTTAGAATTAAATTCCAAAAAGAAAAAGAGTCAACTCTTAAGAAACATTCATCTGTATCACCAAAGCTAATTAACTGCTTATTGGTGGAATCCGAAAGACTTTTAGAATTAAAAAAATTAAAATTTAAAGATCAATTTGATTCAAAATTAAAAATTTTAGAGAATCTCTGGGAACAGCTATGCATACCAAAAGAAAATAGAAATTTAAAAAGTATAATCAATAACAATAACAATAATAAGGAACAACAGGAAGAGCAACAAAATGATCAAGATAGTCAAAATGATAAAAATCAAGATAGATTGGATATTGAAAATAATAACTCATACTACTATAATTTAGAAACATTAGAATTGGTAAATAAAGAGATTGAATATTTAACAGGTTTATTGGCATCAATGAAGGTAATATTGGAAAAGGTAAAAAGAAGAGAATGGATTAAAAGCGAAATGAAGAAATTTGAAAATAGCGCAAGTGATTCAAATAGGTTTAAGGGTAGTTCAGTTCGTTTATTAGAGGAAGCTAAATTCAGAAAGACTATATCAAGAGAATTTCCAAAATTAACTGAAGATTTAGTTAGAGAATTGGCAGAATGGGAAGGCGCAAACAACAAAAGATTCTTTTATTATGGCGAACCTTATTTAGATTTAATGAATAGCGAAACCGAAAGACCAGACTTTGATTTGCTTCATTTGAAGCTTTTAACAAAAAAAGATCATATCAGCGAAGGTACAAGTAATGGCCAAGCTGCAGTCTCTTATGTAAATATTGATTCAACAACTACTAATTCAAATAAAAATACAACAACACCAAATACACCAACTCAACATAGCAAAAAACCAGTACCATTAATTAAAAGACCATCACTTTCATCTCTTCCAACTAGCAATAATTCAGTATCCTCCTCACCTAAAGCAGTATCACCAACTTCAAAACTATCCAAAACCTTATCATCCATTAATTTTTCAACCACTACATCCACCACAACCACTAAACCACCCACTCTTAAGCCCTCATCATCACCATCTTCATTGTCAACCTCCACAAACTCTTTGACCAATACTCCATCAAAACTATCATCCTCCTCGCCATCCATTGGGGGCAATATTACACCAATAAAAAAAGAAAGCTCAACCAAATCTTTGCATGGTACTACACCATCAAAAAATTCACAATCCACAACCACACCATCAAAATCATCTTCATCAACCACACCATTAAAATCATCATCATCTTCTGTTGGTAGTGGTAATATTACCACACCACTAAAAAGAGAATCTTCAATTCCCAAATTATCAACCCCAATAACAAATAAAAATTCGAAGAAACAATAATTTAAATAAATTAGAAAATTAATTTACAAAATAGGTAAATACAAAAAAAAAAAAAAATTTCATATTTATAAAAATTATTTTTTCTTTATATGAGTATGAAAAATTTTTTTTTTTTTTTTTTTTGAATTTGTTTTTTTAAAAAAAAAAAAAATTTTAATTTTTTTTATTTTTTTTTTATTTTTTAATATTTTAAAAAAAAAAATTTTAAATTTTTCATTCTAAGCTGTTCAATTATTTAATATACAAAAGAAATAAAAAAAAAAAGTAATAAGGAAATAGAGAAATTCTGTTCTTATTTACTAATATATATAAAAACAAAAAAAAAAAAAAAAAAAAAAAAAACAAATCAAAATTTTTTTTTTTTTTTATATATATTAAATTTATAATTATATATTTTTAAAGAAAAATAGTGTATATTGGAGAATAATAAACAAAATAAACAATAAAATAGTTAATAATAATAATAATAATAATAAATAATAAATAACAACAATATAAATTAATGGTGACAATACATACAGATGAAATTAAAGATGTCTGGAGTTACAATCTGGATGAGGAGATGGAAAAGATAAGGAACCTTGTAGATGACTATAACTATATAGCAATGGATACAGAGTTTCCTGGTATTGTAACAAGACCTGTTGGCAATTTTAGAAGTACATCAGATTACCATTACCAAACCCTAAGATTAAATGTTGACCAACTTAAAATTATTCAATTGGGTTTAACTTTTTGTGACTCGGAAGGTAATTTAGCAAAACCAACAAGTACATGGCAATTTAATTTTAAATTTAATTTAAAGTAATTACTTATAAAATTCATAATACATAATTAAAATATTAAATAATAGATGGTTTATAATAATTAATTATTAATAATAATTATAATTATAATGATAATAATAATAACAATAATAATAATAATAATAATAATAATAATAATAATAATAATAATAATAATAATAATAATAATAATAATAATAATAATAATAATATTTAATAATTTATAATTTTTTTTTTCTAATATTAATTTAATATAATAGTGAAGATATGTATGCTCAAGATTCAATCGATTTATTATCAAGAAGTGGTATAGAGTTTAAAAAATTTGAAGCCCATGGTATTGATATTTTAGATTTTGGAGAGCAACTAATGTCTTCAGGAATTGTTTTAAACGATAACATTAAATGGATATCTTTTCATAGTGGGTATGTAAATTAATTACTAAATATCTAAATTTATAGAGTATAATTTATCTAACCTTTTTTAATCAGTTATGATTTTGGTTATTTATTAAAATCATTAACATGTACAGTATTACCACTTGACGAAGCAGATTTCTTCTCGTTAGCAAGAACATATTTCCCATGCATTTATGATATTAAATATATAATGAAGAGTTGTAAAAATCTTAAAGGTGGTTTAAGTGAATTGGCAGATGATTTAGATGTAAGTATAGTATTTTAGTTTTTATTGGTTATGGTATTATACTAACATTATTTTATCATAAATGTGTGTAGATTAAAAGAATTGGACCACAGCATCAAGCAGGTAGTGACTCATTATTAACATGCACAACTTTCTTTAAAATGAGAAAGATGTATTTTGAAAATCAATTGGATGACTCAAAATATTTAGGTGTTTTATATGGTCTCTCATCATTTTCACAAGATGGCACACCAACAAATCTTAATACCACCAACAATCCTAATAATCAAAGCTTTCAAGGCCATAATCCAAGCTATACTTCAATGCCACCAAATCCACCAACATATTTCAATTATCCTCCACCAACCACTCCAACTCGTTCACACTATAATCCTGCCGGTCCCTATTCACCAATAAATGCTCAAAACATACCAAACCAAAATTATTCAAAAAACTTAAAATAACAACACAATAATAATATAAACAATAATAATTTTAAACCATAAATAATAAATAATAACAACTCAAAGAACTATATGTATCATAATATTACCATATATATATTACATTTTAAATATAAAAAATTGTACAAACAATAACTTAATAAAATTTAATCCAACTTAATTCACCCTAATCATTTAAATAATAATTTTTACATATATCTTTATCCCCATACTATTAAAAAAAATATATTCTTTCCATCACAAAGTATATTGTACAAATAAAATAAAAATAAAAATTTAAAATAACAATAGAATCTTTTTTTTTTATATAATTTGTTTATTTCTTGTTTATTTAGAAACTCTTGAGGAGTTTAATAACTCGAAGGGGTTTTGATTTGTGGAAATACCAACCTTTTGGTCTTACTTTGCAAACATTTTTTTTAATTTGCTCTATTCTGAAACCGAGTTTGGAACTAGGCAGAATTGAAAATATCTTTAAAGATCTTGGACTAGAAAACAGATCGAGGAAATCTAAAACTTGAATTGTTATATTTTTATAAGTTAGGTGTGGTATTGCATGTTTGTGTAATCACTGGTCTAAAAATAGAAATGATTTTTCCTTTGGGTGAAAATTAATTTATATTTTATAAATATTAACTGTGTGTTAATTATAAATTGAAGAAAAAAAAAAAAAAAGTGTGGGTTTGAAATATGTGCTTTATATTTAGATCCCACTTTTCAATTATTATAATACAAAACAAAATAAAGGGTTTATAATTATTTTTTAAAATTTAAATTATTTTTAAAAAATTTTTTAAAAAATTTTTTTTTTTTTTTTTGATTATTATAATTTTTATTTTTTTTTTTATTTTTTATTTTTTTTTTATCAATTCGTGCAATATAAAACTAATATTTTTGTTTTACAATTATTCACAAAATCATATTATAGTTTTTATAAAAATAATTATAATATACGCATTTTTTTTTTTTTTTTTTTTTTTTTTTTTTTATAATAATTTATTAGATATATTATTCAAAAACAAAGAAAACTTGTATTATTAGAAACAACCAACAAAAATCAAAAGATATTTAAATTTGTAAAACAGTATTGGATTTTAGAGCTATTATTATTTCAATTTAATAATATTACACATATATAGAAATAAAAATGACAACTTTAAATGTTCCAAAAGAAACTATGAGCAGAAAAGATCCAGAAAAGTATTTCACTATTATCGAAAAACTTGGTGAAGGGTAAATTTATAATAATTTCAACGTTTTATAATAAAAAATCGATTTTAACCTTTAATCATAATAATACATAATATAGTTCATATGGTTCAGTATATAAAGCAATCAATGCAGGTACAGGTATAGTTGTAGCAATTAAAAGAGTATCAGTCGATAATGATTTAGAGGATATGGAAAAAGAAATCAACTTTATGAAGCAATGTAAGAGTCCATATATTGTTACCTATCATGCTAGCTTTAGAAAGGAAAACGAAGTTTGGGTAATTAATGATAATAAATATAAAAAAGTAAAGTAATTGGAACCAAACAGTTTATTAATTATTTTATCGATTTATTTAGATTGTTATGGAATATTGTGGTGCAGGTTCAGTTTGTGATGCAATGAAAATTACAAATAAAACACTTTCAGAAGATCAAATTGCAGTTGTTAGTAGGGATGTTTTACAAGGTTTAGCCTATTTACATTCGGTTAGAAAAATTCATAGAGATATTAAAGCTGGTAACATTCTTATGAATCACAAGGGTGAATCAAAATTAGCAGATTTTGGTGTTAGTGGTCAATTAAGCGATACAATGGCAAAACGTCAAACTGTCATTGGTACACCATTTTGGATGGCTCCTGTAAATATTCATTTAGTTATACAAAGTATACTTTTTTTCATTTTGTTTTTACTAACCATTTAAATATAAATCATTATAGGAAGTTATTCAAGAAGTTGGTTATGATTATAAAGCAGATATTTGGTCATATGGTATTACATGTATTGAAATGGCAGAATCAAAACCACCATTATTTAATGTTCATCCAATGAGAGTTATTTTCATGATTCCAAACCCATCAAGACCACCACCAAAATTAACCGAACCAGAAAAATGGTCACCAGAATTTAATGACTTTTTAGCAAAATGTTTAACTAGAAAACCAGAACAAAGACCTTCAGCTGAAGAATTATTAAAGCATCCATTCATCACCAGAGCAAAATCACATTCACTTTTAGTACCACTTATTGATGAGCAAGATATCATTATCAATGAAAAAGGTAGAGAAGTTGCCTTAGGTATCGAACAAAAAGATGAAGAAGAAGAAGACCTTGAAGATGAAGATTCAGATGATTCAGATATTGACAGAGTAACTAATCAAATTCATTTAGATGTAGTTTTTAAAAAAGTATATTAATTTTTTTTTTTCTTTAGGGCACAATGGTTCCAAGAAACAACTCTGGTGACGAAGAATATGACACAGGTACAATGGTTATCACTGATAATAAAAACTCTTATGATACAGTTGTTTTTAATAATGATGATGAAGATACAGGTACAATGAAATTAAAGAGTACCATGACAGCTAAAAAAGGTTTTATTCCAGATTATATGAACCAATTTAAAAAAACAGATGATGATAATAAAGTAAGTAAAACAACAAAAAAAAAAAAAAAACAATTCTCTCAATATACTAATCAATATTATTGTTATTTTTAATAGTATTCAAGTCACAGTTTAGATGATTTGAAAAAAATGTTGGCAGATTTAGAAATTGAAAGAGAAAAAGAAGTTCAAAAAATTCACGATAGATTTTCAATTAATCGTCAAGCTTTATTAGCCGTAATCGAAGAAAAAAAAGCAACCACCACAAAAAATTAAATTTATTTATTTAATTTAAAAATAATAATAGTAATAATAATAATATAAAAAAAAAATTAAAAAAAAATTATATATATCTCTTTTACCAAAGAAAACATTGTAACAATAAATTTAGCCTTTTAAACAAAAAAATTGGGGTTTTTTTTTTTTTTTTTTTTTTTTTTTTTTTTTTGCAAAATCATAATTTTTTTCTTGTCTTTATTTGAAAATCTTTAGTTTCACATAGGAAAAAGGAAAAACACAGAAGACTCCACCAGTATAAAAAAAAATAAAAATAAATTAAAAAAAAAATAAAATAAAAATAAAAAAAATTATTTCGAAAAAAAAAAAATAATTTATTTTTTAAAAAAATAAAAAAAGAAAATATTCCTCCAGAAGAGATCTATATACCATTTTATTATTTTTGTGTTTATATTATTAATTATAATCTAATAGTAATAATAAAATTTTATAATATTATTTTATTTTCTTAAATTTTTAATTTTTTATTTTTTTTAATTTTTTTTTAATTTTTTTATAATTTTTATATTATTATAAAAAATTTAATTAAACAATTATACACTTTTTTATTAATACGACTATTTAATAGAGTTAATAAATATTAAGTTATCTTTTTTTTTTTAAGTTTTTAAGTTTTTATTTGTATTATACAATTTTCTATTTTTATATATTTCTATAAATACATTTTAATCAAACACCCCTTTGCTTAACAATACATACAAACCCACACTTTCAACAAAAAAACAAGTAGAGCAAAAGGAAAGGAAAAAACACACATACACACACTCAACTTATTTTTTTTTTTTGTTTAGTTATTATACACACACACACCAATAACACACTCATTACACCAACACATAGGAGTGTCAAATAATATTGCCAAAATAAATTTAATAATTATAATAGCAGTAACATAAAGTTTTTTTTCTCTTTTTTTTTTGTGTTTTTTTTTTGTTTTTTTTTAAAATTTTAAAATTTTTTTATTATTTACTTTAATAATATTCAATACACATAATTGTTTTCATATTATATTTAATAATATACACACATTTTCTCTTCTTTTCTCTATCTTCTCATATGTATTCAAATTTAATAATAAATATTAGAAATACCACAAAAAAGAAAGAATAATATATATATATATGATATAGCATAAATAAAGATGGACGAAGATTTAAATTTAAATATATTTTTTAAAACAATTAAAACCAAATATACAAAGATTTTCAATTTAATAGAATCAAAATGTTATACATTATGTATACCTCAATTCTCCTCATTATATGGAATGAATTTTACACAGAAGATTGTTGGTAAGTTATTAGTTCCCATTGTTGATTAGATTAGTAAAGCAACAGAAATATTGAGTACTAATTTATTTTTATTTAGAATCACATGTTTTTATAGAATCAAAATATTATCAAAGTGAATACGAAACATTAAATAAAGATACACACTATATTATAGATAATGGTTATATTATAGATAAAAACAATAGTTCCAAAAAGGTTAAAATATTATTTGATGAACTTTGTTATAATAAAGATTTTAAATCATATAGATTAATTTGTATAGAAGAGCCTTTAGTTGGTAGTACTGGTGTTAAACCATCAATTTCATTTTCGCAAAGTGACATGGATTTAATAGGACATCATTTTTTTATTCCAAAACCACAAAAACCAACATTTACACAGTATGTAGATAATTATATAAATCTCCTCTATTCATAAACTAGAACCATTTTTCATGTTAACACTTTTTATTTTTATTTATTTTAGATCCAAAGATTTCTTTTTATTAGATAAAGGATTAACAACCATCACAACCATTGTACTTAATAAAGCAAATAAACAACTAGAAGATTTTGAAATGAATAATTCAATTTTATGTAAAGAATCAGTAGAGAATGTAAGAAGAAGTCTTTTATTAATTCACGAAAAAGTTTTAGATGATTTAGTTTGTGCAAATGCAGAATATAAACAACTTCAAACTAATGAAAAACAAATGAACAATTTATCAATGCTATTGGAGAGGTAGGTTCATTATTAAATTTGTGGAAATAAAATCATTAACTAATATTAATATCTTTATACATATAATAGCTATATTATGGGAAAATTACAAAATAAAATCTATGAAGAATTAAAGATAATTTACGAAAAAGAAGATAGTCAATTATACGAAAAAATGTTATATTTATCAAAGCAATCACTTGGCGAAATTGGAATTAAACAGGAGTTTGAAGCACATTTAATTAAAGCAAAAGAAGTAATGTTATCATTTTCAAGTGATTTACCCACCACCTCTAGTGAAATAGACGAAATAGCATCACCAGTAACATCATCAACTATAACATTATCATCATCAGTACCATCACCATCAGTAACACCATTAGATAAACTTTTAACAATTATTCAAGCATCAAAAGAAATTGAAGAATCCATAAAGATGAGAACATTATTGGAATGTGTTGATGAAGACAATGTTTTAACTATTACAGGTGATGATGCATTACCACTTACAGCATACCTTTTAATTCAAGCACGTCCCAAACATTTAATTTCAGATTTAATGTATTGTTCGAAATTTATATTTACTGAAATTTTTAATTCCTCAATGGGATATCATCTTATCAATTTAACAGCGGCAGTAGATTATATCAAAAGATTTGATATCCTTTCAGACAAAACAATTACATATAACGCATCAATTAACTATAATAGCACTGAAAATCTAGTATCTGTAAATTCAATAAGTATAAACTCCAATGCTATGTCATCACCACCATACCAATCACAAAGCAACAATAATAATAAAAATAGCAATAGCAATAATAGCAACGAATCCGATGAGGCTGCACTTTATAATAACCTTAAAAAAATTAGCATTACAAATAATAATAATAATCAATTTACATCCACTCCAAATTTATTTAACAGTTTACCAAATACCACCAAGAATGATAAGTACTCTACTATTTCAATATCCACAAAAAATATAGCAGGCATTCATGGCACAACCACAACCATTAATAATAACATTACAACAATAGATAATAATTATAAATATTCCAAAGCCCCCACTGTAATTAGCTTAAATGATGAAGATGATTTAGGTGATTTTATAGGCCGTTTAAGAGAATTAAAAGACGATGTAATCGTTGCATCAGAATTTAAATAAGATAAAATAAAATAAAATAAAATAAAAACCATATATATATTTACACATAATTAAAAAAAAAAATATAAAAAAAATAGAATAGATTTCTTGTTTTTTGTATATAATATTTATTTTAGTGTTTGCATTCATGTGTATGTTCGTGTTCTTTTGACTCACCACTATTAATACCGACTGAGGTTTCATTCAAATCATATTTTAAATTTTCCAAGTGTTCATTAATTGATTCTATATATTGATTAAACTTTAATTTATTTTCTTTGATTTGTTTTTCACATATTTCTATATGTTCATAAAAGCAACTGCCTGCTGTTGGTTGTTCTGATACTTGGTTTGATATTAATGATTTACTATTATCAATTTCAGTTTTTAAAACTTGGTCTTCTACTGTCTTTATTTTTAAAGGAATTATAATATTAATAAAATGTATCCTTTATATAAATTATATTTAAAATATTTATATTTACCAATAAAAATTTAGATTTTTCTAATTCTCTTATTTTTGAAATTGTTTTTGACCATTCAGGATTTGATGTTGATAAAGAATTTTCAATTTGAATAATTTCAGCACCCAAGCTTGAAAGTTGTAATGTGATTGATGTACATTTTTTATTATATTCTTCTAAATCTTGATCTTTGGAAAAGGTTTTAAATGCTCTACATTTTTTATTTAAACATTTTAATTAGTAAATGTAAAATGTGATAGTGGTTAATATTGTGTGGTGTGTGTGATCATATATTATTTATAATATAATGTATATTACTCTGAAAATTTATTCGAAATGGTAGCTCTTTGTTCCTGTAAGTTAAAAAACAATGCCAATTTATCGGATGGTGCGGCTTCTGTTAATAACTGTTCAAACTCTTTCTTTTTTGTGTCTGGGGATGACATATTTATTTATTTGTTATGGGGGTGTGATGTTTTAATTAATGAAAATTTAAAAAAAAAAAAAAAAATAATTGTTTTTTTTTTTTTTTTTAATTTTTTAATTTTTTTTAAAATTATTTTTAATTTTTCATTTTGTTAATATTCATTTCTCATTAAATTATTACTTTTTTATACTTTTTTATATTTTTTTTTATTGTAATAGTATATAAATATGATTGAAGTTACATGTAACGATCGTTTAGGTAGTAAAGTCAGAGTTAAGGTCAAGTAAGTTATATTTCATTCTAATATATATTTAATAACCCTATATTAATATTTTTTTTTGTAGCGGTGATGATACCATTGGTGATTTAAAAAAAGTTTTATCAGCTCAAATTGGTATCAAGGCTGAGAAAATTAGATTACAAAAATCAAATATTATTTATAAAGATCGTAAGTGATATTATTATTATTATTATTATTATTAATTATTATATTAAAAATAAAGTTTATTAATTATATTTAAAAATTTTTAATTGGCCAATCATAGATATTACTCTTGATGATTGTAAGTATTATTTTAATAAAAAAAGTATAATAAATAATGTACTAACACTATACCTATAATTTATAATTTTAGATGAAATTCATGACGGGGATGGTCTCGAATTATATTACAACTAAAAAAAAATAAAAATAAAAATAAAAATAAAATAAAATGATCGAAATTATGGTTACATTTTAAATATAGATAATCCAATAATTTTTTTAAAAGTATTAATCAGGGAATTTATAATCACAATTTATATATAGCTACCCAAATTTCTTTTCTTTTCTTTTTTTTTTTTTTTTTTTTTTTTTTCTTTTTAATTTTAAAACGAAATTTATTTTTCTATTTTTTTTTTATAAAATTTTTTTTTTCTTTTTTTAATTTTTAAATATTAAAAAACTATTCAAAATAATAAAATGAAAGAATTTTTAGAATTTGTTAAATCAAATAATTTATCATTAGAAGATGAAAAACTTTCAGAAAAATTAGACTCATTACTTCCATCAATGAAGGATGAGTTTAATTTCCCAATCACAAAAGATATTGTTGATGATATTAATAAAGCAGATTCAAGCATTTTAGATAAACCAGTTATTTATTTCACAGGTAACTCATTAGGTTTACAACCAAAAGAAGTCGAAAAACAATTAGTAAACAGTTATTTAGCTGATTGGAGAAAATATGCTGTTGAAGGTCATGTTCAAGGTTCACATCCATTCCTTCATATTGATGAAGAAATTCAAGAATCACTCGCTAAAATTGTTGGTGCTAAAAAAAATGAAGTTTGCCCAATGAACAGTCTTTCAACCAACATTCATGTTTTAATGGCAAATTTCTATAAACCAACCTCAGATAGACATAAAATCATTATAGAATATGGCGCTTTTCCATCTGATTTAGTAAATATCACAACACTGTTTTATATGTTTTTTATAAACATTATATATTAACACTTTTTCTTTTATTTTTATATTTCTTTAGTATGTTACAGAATCACAAATTAAAAATCATGGATTTGAACCAGAAACCAGTTTAATTAAAATCAAACCAAGAGATGGAGAATATACATTAAATACTCAAGATATTGTCGATACTATTAAGCAACATGGTAATAGCGTTGCTGTAGTTTTATTAAGTGGTATTCAATATTTTACAGGTCAATTCTTTGATATGAAGACCATCACTCAAGCTGGTCATGAGGTTGGTGCAGTTGTAGGTTGGGATTTAGCACATGCTGCTGGTAATGTAGTTATGCAACTTCACGATTGGCAAGTTGATTTTGCCAGTTGGTGTTCATATAAATATTTAAATAGTGGTCCAGGTGCTATCGCTGGTGTCTTTGTTCATTCAAAACACACAGAATCTTATGATTCAAAGACTGATAAAAGGTAAATTTTATTTAAAACTAAAAGATAAAGTATGATTAATACTAATTAGTATTATTATTACTATTAATTATTTAGATTAAGAGGTTGGTTTGGTAATTGTTTAGCTAATCGTTTCCAAAAAGAAAAAGAATTTTATGCTGAAGAAGGTGCACTTGGTTTTAGAATGTCAAATCCATCAGTTGCCGATTGCACTGCACTTCGTGCATCACTCTCAGTATTTGAAAAAGCAGGTGGTGTTTCTAAATTATCTGCAAAATCTAAAGTATTAACTGGTTATTTAGAATACCTTTTAACCCACAAATTAAAAACCACCGACATTGATATCATCACACCTAAAGATACCAATCAAAGAGGTACCCAACTTTCACTTTACATTAAAGGTATTAAAGCTGCCGAATTAAAAAAGAATCTCTTAAATAATGGCGTTATTTGTGACGTTAGAGATCCAGATGTTATCCGTGTCGCACCTGTTCCACTCTACAATACCTTTACTGATTGCTTTATGTTTATTAATATTTTAAATAAAGAAATGTAATAACAACATATTTTTAAATATAAAAAAAAAAAAAGTTCCTATTTCCTTGAATTAGAAAAAAAAAAAATGCATATATTTTATTTTACAATTTCATGTATTATATATATTGTGTATACATAATATTTTATTTGCTTGTTGTTTAGTTGTTTGGTTGTGGATTTTGTGGTTGTTGTTGTTGTTGTTGTTGGTATTGTTATTTAAGGTGTTTTTAATAATTTAATGATTGTTATATAGATTAAATTTAAGAATCTAAGAAATGGGCAGCTAATAATAAATCTACAACTACCTTTTCATTAATTGGAAACTCTGGTAAATCAGTTGTGCTATTTGTATATTTGTGTTTAAAATAAAAGTATTGAATAACTTTTTCTAAAACTGGTGTTGAAATTTCTCTAAAACGAATTTCATTATTTTGATCTTCCATAAAATTTGAGTTATCTTTAATATTTGAATAAACAATGTTAATATTGGTCTTTCTTTTTTTTTTTTTTTTTCTAATTGCTTCTATTTTATATCTTACCACCACTTAACATTGATTTAATGGTACCTGAAACATATGACATTTTTCTAGATAACACAAATTCGTGACCGGATGAACTATAAAGTCTTAAAACATCTTGATTTAAATCATTGGTATCAGTGTTTTCACTCATTTTTATTTGTTATTTATATTTATTAATTTTAAAAATAAAGATTAAAAAAAAAAAAATTAAAAAATTAAAAAAAAAAATTTCAAAAAAAAACAATTAATATATAAAAAATTTTAAAAAAATAAAAATAAAAAAAAAAGTTTTTTCAATATTATTTCTATAAAAAAAAAATTTTCTTTAAAAAAAATTAAATAATAAATATTTTCTCAGAATAATAAATATTTTATATAAACTATGTTATATAAATATATATTTAATTATATATTTTATTTTTAAAACAGTCTAAAATGTAAATAATTGTTTTAAAATAAAAATAAAGTGGGGTAAAAATAAAAATAAATAATTTAAAATTTTGTAGTTTGGGAGAATTCAAAACTATTATTATCTCACCCCAAAATAAGCACAATAAACTATATATATTTGTAATAATGATCATACAATGGTTATTTTGGGGGTTGGTTTTTGAATTTAGCAATAAACATGAAAACAAAATATTTTTTTTTTAAAATCAAAAATAACAATAATAATGATAATGTTCCATACAACTAATACTCAATGTTTACCATGGTAAACTATGTGTATAAATAAAGTAAAAATCTATTGAAAATCGTATAACATTAATAACCTTACTAAATATATCAATAAAATTTTAAAATTAAAATAATAAATAACAAAAAAAAAAAAAAGAAATAATAAACTAAAAAGATATTTTTGTTTTGTTTTGTTTTTTATTTAATATAAAATTATAAAATGAAAATTTATATATCTATAATCCTACTTATGCTATTACTTAATTGTTTTGTTTATTCCAAAGATAACATCAAAAATAAAAATGATGTAATATTTACAAATTATAACAGCACCAACAACATTATAGATAATCAAGATAATATAGCCAATGATATTACTCAAATAAAATTAGAAAAACAATTAAAAGCAATTTTTCCAAATATTACGCATCATGATATTGAAATGGTTAGACAAGTAAGACAACTAAATATAACAAAAGTTGTCAAAGCTTTGACAAGAGATGATTTAGGCAATATCATTATAGGCATAATTGCTGGTGTTGAGGTAATTTCAAAGATTGTTTTTTTCTTTATTATGGTATAATCAAACCTAACCCTTTTTTTATTATTTTAGAAATCAATTAACCCATCACCAACCGACTGTGTTGATGGTTTAAGAAAACAAATAACAAGTACAAATGAAGTTATTTTTGATTTTTTTAATTTATATGGAATTACAATTGGGGAGTTTGTAAACTTTTTAAAAATTGTACCAAGTGTAGTTAGAGAAGATATTCAACTTTACAATACTTGCAGTATAGATAAGGTTGTAAAAAAGCTATCATCATGTTTAAATGTAATAATTCACCAAGGGTTTGTATTTCATTTCATTTCATTTTTTTTTTAAAATTTATTAACTTTTTTTTAAAATTTAGTTTCACAACCTTTCTAGATAATGAAAAAAATGTATTATTGGCCCATCTTTTAGATTTAGTACCAATATCAAGAGTAAGTTTATAAACAATATTTATCTTTTTTTTATTTTATTAACGTTCTTATTACATTATTACCAAAGGGCATTGCATCAAGTATTTTATTAAAAAACTATCAACTGCTTGGTGTTCATTTGGGTGAATATTTGGGAATTCTTATTAATGCCCCATAGGCTAACCCAGCACCAATATCAACATCACCCCGTCATTATTTTTTAAGAAAAATAGTAAAAGTTAAACTACACATTATAATAAATTTTTAAACAAATATAACAAGACTTGTTTTTTAATAAAAAAATAATAAATAACGAGACTAGTTTTGAAAAAAAAAAAAAAAAAAAAGGTAAAAAATTCATTTTTTTTTACCTTTTTTTTTTCAATTTTTAGTTTTTATAAATTTTTTTTTTTTTTTTTTTTTTTTTCGTCAAAAACAACAATTATTGTAAGTCTCCATATAAATATTTTAAAAAAAAAAAAAAAGTTAGATGATGAGACAAGGCTTAAGACACCTATTATTCCATACACCAAATAGGAACGATGGTTACAACCTCATGCTGCAGCTGATTTACTTTTTTTTTTTTATATTTAAATCATAAAAAGAATATAAAAAGAAATAATATACTAATTAAATTTAATTTAATATTATTTATTAGGTTCTATTAATTTTTGAGCTTTGAATCTCCCCTGAAGTGCCAAACTCTTTCTCTATTTTTCTTTAATGATTTTATTAAACAAATTAAATAAAATTAATTTTAAAAAAAAAAAATATTATTGTGTTTTAAACACTGTTTTTTAAATTTTTATTTTTATGAAACTATATTTTTGATTTTTTACTTTCCATAAAATAATAAATATTGTATTTATAAAATTTATTTTTAAAATAGCTATGCAATTTTTTAAATAATTTTTTTTTTTTTTTTTTTAATATTTTTTTTGATTTTATTTTATATAATTTAATGTAGTTGAATTTAATATGATCTACCGAATAAGGTATATTTAGTAGCTTTTTCACCACAACAGAAACATTTGGTATCTTCTTTCATTTCTGGAATTTTAACGTGTTCTTGGTCGGCTAATGGAATACAAAGTGATTTGGCAGCACCGGTGAGACAGAAACCTTTTTCTTCTTCGGCTTTATTTTTAGATTCTTCAGAGCTCTTCTTTTTGATGGAGTCTTCACAAGATGGTTTTTCACACCATGGAGCTAAAACAAGATTTTTCTTATCAAGAGCTGGAACGAATTCACTCCATTGAGTGATATTAACAATGTGTTCGTTTCTTTCTTTGACAGCTCTGTTGAAAAGATTTGATTGAACAGTATCTAAAAGTTCTTTAACACCATTGACAATATTTGAAATTTCAACTTTTGATTTTTCAGCAGTATCTCTACGACAACAGATAACACTACCACTAGCAACATCTTTTGGACCAATTTCAATACGAATTGGAACACCTTTGAGTTCCCAATGATTGTATTTGTGACCTGGATTATAATTTGGACGATTATCTAAATTGACACGAATACCAGCAGCTTTGAGTGAATCAGCGATTTCTTTGGCTTTAGTATCGACAGCGGTTGTATCGGCATCTTTGAAGTGAAGTGGAATAACAACAGCTTGAATTGGAGCAATACGTGGTGGGAGTACAAGACCTTTGTCATCACCATGGAGCATGATCATAACACCAATGGTACGAGTGGTGAGACCCCATGAATTTTGCCAAGCTAAAGATTTACCACCTTTATCATTTTCGAATTCAATGTTGAACATTTTTGAAAAGTTTTGACCTAAACAATGTGAGGTAGCAGCTTGAATACCACGACCATTGGTTGGGATGAAACCTTCAATAGTAGTAGTGTAAAGACCACCAGCGAATTTTTCTTTTTCTGATTTAACACCCTTAACAACTGGTACACATAATAATTCTTCATAAACACGTCTATATAAATCGAGAATAGTGTAAACTTCTTGATCGGCTTCTTCTTTATTAGCAAAGGCAGTGTGACCTTCTTGCCATAAGAATTCTCTACTACGGAGGAATGGAACTGGACGTTTGAATTCCCATCTGACAACGTTAACCCATTGATTTAATTTTAATGGAAGATCTCTGTGTGAACGAATCCAATTGGCATAAGCTGGATACATAATGGTTTCTGAAGTTGGACGAATAGCGACTGGATCGGCTAAATCTGAACCACCACTTTTAGTAACCCAAGCAACTTCTGGGGCAAAACCTTCAATGTGATCTTTTTCGGTGGTTAAAGCCTTTTCTGAGACTAATAATGGGAAATATGCATTTTGAACATCTAATTTCTTGATTTCTGAATCAAAGAATGCTTGAATTTGTTCCCAAATTGAATAAGCCCATGGTCTGAGAATATAACAACCAGAGATATCATAATAGTCGATCATCTCTGAACGAGTGATAACATTTGTGTACCATTCTGAAAAATCGTCTTCTTTTTTAACACCTGCACCTAAAAGATTGGATTTGGCATCAGCCTTTTTACCAGCATTGTTATCCTTCTTTGGTTTTTGTTCTTTAACTTTATTATCTGTCATTTTTTATTTAAAAAAAATTATTATAATAATTATAAATGAAAATAAAATAAATAAAAAAAAAAAAATTTGAATTCACGATTTTTTTTAAAATTTTTTTTTTTTTTTTTTAAAAAAATTAAAATTTTTTTTTAATTTTAAAAAAAAAAAATAAAAAAAAATATATATATAGACATAATTCTTTTTTTTTTAATAAAATTACAAGAAATAATCAACAATAATATTATTTGTTTTTTCATAAATTTCAAAACAAAACCCTTTTTTTGGATTTTTTTTGTTATTTTTGTTTTAACAAAAAAAAACTTATCAAAATAATAATTTTTTTTTTTTTTTGTTTATTTTCCCTAAAATAAATTAAAAAAATCAAACTGCTTAATTAATAATATAACCTTGTTTTCATACAATATTAAATAAATCTAAATATAGAAATTATTAATTTCATTTAATTCCCTCTTTTTTTAACAAATAAATTCAAAAATTTTTTTTTTTTTTTTCAAAATTTTTTAATTTTTTAATTTTTTATTTATTTTTTTTTAATATATTTTTTTATTATATTTCAAACATTTATTCATTTATTTTTAAAAATAAACTTTAAATGTTATTATATTATCAAATAATCAAATAAAAATGGATGAGTTTTTAATTGGTAATTCAGGAGCAGAAAAAATATTAACATCACTAAGTAACACAACCTATCCACTTCAATTTATTAATCAATTTCAACAAGAAAATGGGATATCAAAGAAAAGTTTACCAACAGTCACACCAGTTTTAAATTTATTAGATTTGCATCAAGTACCACGTGGAGAGCTTTATTTAAATCTTTTGACATCATTAAAAAAAGATTTATTAAATAAAATCAACACATTGAACAAAAGCGAATTAGAAAAGTTATTGGAAACAAGTTTTGCCTATATCAGTTTTGAAGAGCTTCAAGAAATACCGATGAACGTTATGAGGAGATTAACACCAGAGGTCCCAACAGCATTTTTACTCAAACTATCAGAATCTGAAGAACTTTACGAACAATGCCCAATTGAAGTAAAGAGACAAATTTGGTTAGTTTCACCCCAGTTATTCAAAGACAAAGTTGTACCATTAATTCATCAATACATTGAGGATTCAAATTTAATTCAAGATATGAACGAACAATTGTCAGTTTCATCAAGCTCTGATCCTGTATTATTTGCGGTATCTCACACTTTACCAGCCAAAAGACGTGAGAATAATATAACACTTCAAGAGATTGCCGATTTATTTGGTAAAATACCCGAGTTGTATCAAATGTTCTTAGAGCACCTCAAAAAGATATTTGCAGATACTGGAAATTATTTATTATGCAATTTGCGTGCTGAAGTTCTAATGGCAATACACGATCGTAGTATTAACGAAATTTATGATACTGATGGCTCACATAATGTCGCTTGGTGTTTGGATGCTTGCATCCGTGATAACAATTTAGATAGTAGACGTGTTAAAGAAATTCAAACAAGTTTAAATGCTGTATCAAATCAAAATTCATCAGTATTGGGCGATGTAGCAATGGTATTTGGTAATCCAGTAGCAATCAACTGCATCGTTAAAAATATATTAATTCAATTAAAAGAGGTAGTAAAAAGGAAACAAATACCAAAAGATGATGAATCAATTAAATTTTTAACATATCTTTTGGTGTTGGGCTTAAAGGCACACAAAATGATAAAACAAAATAAATTCAATACACCACATATCAAAAAGCATATTCTTCAAACTTTTTACCCAGTTTTTGCTTCACAAATTTTAGAAGATGTCACACGTGAATCATCAAAATCAACTCTTACAGCCTCAACCTCGGCCACTTCACCAATTTTAGATAGTTCAACTTTATTAGAAACTTCAGAAATTCAAGACTTGGAAAATTGTTTTTTGAAATATGAAGTCTGTAAAAAAGTAAATATAACACATACATAAAAGATTTATTGGTTTGGTCGAATTTTCTCTAATAGTTTATTATTTAATTTTATAATAGATAACTTTAGCTTATATTATTAAAAGGGTTGTAGATAGGGATTTACAAACTGTTGATAGATATTTAAAATTAATTTATAGATTAATTTGTAAAGATAATAATATTAATCTTATAGAAAATGTACAATCACCAACTATTTTATCAGCTTCAACCACTTCAGCCCCAAATTCATCCTCAAATACCGATATTACAGACAGTAGTGGTAATATAAATATTAATGCCAGTACAAGTGGTACAACAGCAACTACAACCACAACTACACCAACATCAACATTAGCAGATGATAACGCTTTTGAAAGCTTAATGAATAATGTCGATATTTATAAATATATTGGTAATGATTTCATTCAATCTTTGGTTTCACAGGTACTCCATATTAAAGAGCACAGGTTAAATATAATTGTTATTGATCAGTTTTTATTCAAGTTTAGATTTTTCCCATTCGTTCAAAAGCAATTGGTTAGATATTTATTAGAGGTAATTATTTTTTTAGTAATATAGCTATTGTTTATATAAATACTAATACTTTTTTTTTTATATATAAATAGAACTTTACAAGAATGGGCCAAAGAGATTTTATAACTTTTATTCAAAAATTATATAATACAATTTTGGTTGTAATTAAAAAACAGCAACAGCAACAAAATCAATCAAGGGTCGATAATAAACAATTGGATGATATTATTCATCTCACAAGAATTTTAATGGATAAGGCTTCACAAAGAATTAATGAAAAGAATGCAGCACCAATGTTTGAATTCTTTAAAGCAAATCAAAAGAGTTCACAATTTTTATCACCAGTTAGCTCATCAACGAATCAACAACAGCAAACTCCTCAACAAACTCCACAACAAACCCCACAACATAGCAGTATTGTTTCCCCAACACTCTCATCTTCTGAATTGGGTGGTGAAACCCCACAACATAATACAATTATATCTGCACCATCTTCAACATCTTCTAATATTGAATCAGTGGATAATAATAATAATAATAATAATAGTAATGCTATGGATACAACATCTGATTCTGGATGGGATTAATTTATATTTTAAAAATAAACTTTTTTTATTAAAATATTATATTATATTTTCTTTATTCTAAAAAAAACCAGTAATATAGTTTTTTGATTTGAAATGTTTTCTTTATTTAAAAAACCGGTAATAGAATCTTCCAATTCCAAATATTCTAAGATACCATATGGATTTTTATTTTAAATTTTTAGGTTTATTTTTTCAAAAATTCAAAAAAAAATATTACTTTTTTTAATTTTTTTTGTAAAAATAAATTTTAAATATTAAAATAAAATTTATTTAAATAATAAAACAAAAATAAATTAAATCAATATAAAAAATGGCTAGTTATAACAATACACATAAATTGCCCACAGAAAGTTATGGCGATATTAAAACATCAATATTAATCGTACCAACATCATTACCCCCTCATTTATTAAACTTAATCACATTAGAAGAGTATTTAGAAATTATTCATCAATTTAAAACATTTTTAGAAAAGAGACCGTCGAAATTTTTAAAATTTTTAACTATTTTTGGTGTTACAGTTCTTCTTTGTTTTTTTATACCTTTAACAATTTCACTTTGTTTAGACTCTAAAATAGGTATTTGGGTAGGAGCGGCGGTGGCTGGATCTTTGCTTATATTGTTTATAACTCTATTGGTTAGAATGGCAAACAAAGTATGTATATTTAAATATAGATTAATTTTAAGTTTACAATATATTAACCATATATTTATAGATGGAAGCCGATTTGGTTAATTATTTTAATGGAATAAATGCTAGATATTATTCAAAAGGGTTCTCATTTTTTAGAGAAATCAAAGTTTATGGAGCAGGAAAAAATGCAAAAAAAGTAACAAATATTTTTGTTCGTATCTATCATCCAGATTTACCTTTACCCACTCCACCTCCACAATATTTATCTTATCAAAATACTCAATCTTCTCCACAAAATCTTGCAAGTGATAATTTTGAACCATATGTTGATGAAAAAACCCTTATTAAAAATTTTTAATAGATATCTTTTTTTATGTATTATAAAAGAATCGTAAATAGAGAAAAAAAAATATGGGTTTAACAAGCAACAATCATTTGGGTACATTGTAAATAGTTAATGTAAATGAACCAATATATTTATTCAAACAATTAGATCTCAAACTATTATTGCAAAACAAACTTAAATAAAAAAAAAAAAAAAAAAAACCAGTTAGCTCATCAACGAATCAAAAAAAGCAAACTCCTCAACAAACTTCACAACATCTGTTTCTGGATGGGACCAATTTATATTTAAAAAATAAACTTTTTTTATTAAAATATTATATTAAATTTTTTTTATTTTAAAAAAAAACCTGGGAATATAAAAATATTTTCTATTTTGCATGAATTTTTTTTTTTAAATTTTTAGGTTTTATTTTCAAGGGGTTGTTCCTTCCGAAATTTTTATTTTTTTTTTTTTAAATTTTTTTTGGAGAAAAAAATATAATTAAAAAAAATAATTTTTGATAATAAATTTTATTAATATGGTAAAACAAAAATACATTAAATCAATATAAAAAATGTCAAATTATAACAATACACACAGATTGCCCTCAGAAAGTTATGGCGATGTTAAAACATCAAAATTAATTGTACCGACTTCATTACCCCCTTATTTAGTAAACTTAATCTCATTTGAAGAATATTTAGAAACTATTCATCAAATAAAAGCCCTTATAGAAAATACACCATCGAGTTTTTTAACAAAAAATATTATTTCTGCTAGTATAATACTTCTTTGTTTTTTTATACCTGTAGTAATTTCACTTTGTGTTTTTGGTTCTACCATTGGTATTTATGTAGGAGGAGCAGTTTCTATTACAGTGTCTTCATTGTTTATAATTCAATCGATAAGAAGGGGAAAAAAAGTATGTATATTTATAGATTAGTTTTAAGTTTACAATATATTAACAAGATAATTATAGATGAAAGCAGATCTCGATAGTTATCTTGATGAAATAAATGCTAGATATTATTCAAAAAGGTTCTCATTTTTTTGTAAGCTTCAAGTTTATGGAAGAGGAAGAAGTGCTTTTATTGAAAAACATATTTTTGTTCGTATCTATCATCCAGATTTACCTTTACCCACTCCACCTCCACAATATTTATCTTATCAAAATACTCAGCCATCTCCCCAAAATCTTCCAAGTGATAATTTTGAACCACATGTTGATGAAAAAACCCTTCTCAAAAATTTTTAATAGATATCTTTTTTTATGTATTATAAAGAATCGTAACTAGAAAAAAACAAAATATGGGTTTAACAAGCAACAATCATTTGGGTATATTGTAAATAGTTAATGTAAATGAACCGGTATATTTATTCAAACAATTAGATCTCAAGCCATTATTGCAAAACAAATTTAAATAAAAAAAAAAAAAAAAAAAACATAATAAAGATGTAGTTTTTAAATATATATAAAAAATTACATAATTTGTAATCTAATGTTGTTTATATAAATATTAATACTTTTCATAAATATTTGTTGAATACTACCAGTTTGTTGATATTCAACATAGTGGTATTATTTCCCCAACTCTCTCATTTTCTAATATTGAATAAGTACATAGTAATAATGATCACGAAATAAGATCCTCCGTGATCAATTCTAATAAGTTTCAGACTTGTGACCATACTCCCCGGAATCATAACACTCCTGACTCTTTATGGGACTAATTTAAATATTAAAAAAATCAACTTTTTCATAATGTTATATTAAATTTATAATCTTTATTCAAAAAAAATAAAAAAGCCTGGTAATAGAAGATATTTTTATTATCCATAGATTTTTTTTTTAAATTTTTAAGTTTTATTTTTTATTTTTTTTATTTCTTTTTGAAATAATAATTTTAAATATTTAAATAACCACAAAATAAAAAAAAAATTAAATTAATAAAAAAATGTCAAATTATGACAACACACACAGGTTGGCCTCAGAAAATTTTGGCAGGATTAAAACATCAATATTGATTGTACCAACTTCATTACCCCCTTATTTAGTAAACTTAATCACATTGGAAGAATATTTAGAAATTATTCATCAATTTAAAACACTTATAGAAAAGAACCCATCGAAATTATTTAAAATTTTAAATATTTTTGGTGTTATAATTCTTCTTTGTTTTTTTATACCTCTTATAATTTCACTTTGTTTAAACTCTATCATAGGTGTTTGGGTAGGAGTGGGGGTTGCTGTATTTTTTTTAATATTATTAATAGCTCAATGGGTAAGAAGGGGAAAAAAAGTATGTATATATATATATTAATTTTAAGTTTACAATATATTAACCAGATATTTATAGATTAATGCAGATTTTGATAATTATTTTAAAGAATTAAATGCTAGATATTATTCAAAAGGGTTCTCATTTTTTAGTAAAACAGTGGTTTATGGATCGGGAAAAAGTGCTCATTATGCAACACATATTTTTGTTCGTATCTATCATCCAGATTTACCTTTACCCACTCCACCTCCACAATTTTTATCGTATCAAAATACTCAATCATCTCCACAAAATCTTGCAAGTGATAATTTTGAACCATATGTTGATGAAAAAACCCTTCTCAAAAATTTTTAATAGATATCTTTTTTTATGCATTATAAAGAATCGTAACTAGAAAAAAACGAAATATGGGTTTAACAAGCAACAATCATTTGGGTACATTGTAAATAGTTAATGTAAATGTTATTAAAACAATTAAATCAAAACTATTATTGCAGAACAAACTTAAATAAAAAAAATAAAAAAACATAATAAAGGTGTAGTGTTTAAATATATATACAAAATTACATAATTTGTAATCATAATGTTGTTTATCCCAATAACAACACTATTCTATTTAATTCTTTTTTTTTTAAAATTAAAGAGCAGTACCTCTTTCTAAATTTTGTCTTGTTTCTAAAGTATATTTGTCATAGGCACGTGAAACTTTCTTGTTGTAGATTCTGTTACTTTCATTTACATAGTTGACATCTTCTTCATCATTAATACCCTTTCTTTTGAAGCTGTTTCTTTGTTCTTGATTCTTTAATAACTCTTGTTTCATTGCATTTATATTTCCACGGGGGACAACTGATGATTTACCATATTCTACAGTTTCTAGAGATTCGGAACTATCAGATACCACTGGTTTAAAGTGTTCAGAATTGTGAAATGATTCCATCTCTTTAACTCTTTTCTTATATGATTTATAAACATGTTCGTCTGTGTAACTATCTTTATCGTATTTTTTTCCTGTTTTCTTTTTAGTTTTAATATCATCTGCAACTATATTTCTTAATTTTTCTTTTTCTGGATCTAAACCTTGCTTTTTCATTTCTTCCTCTTCTTGTTTAACCTTTTCTTTATATATTTTTCTTTTTTCATCAATTTCATCCTGTGCACCTTGGTGAATTCTTTTATGTTCATCTACAACTGTTTTATATATTGAGTTTTTTGAGTTTTCCTAATAATATTTAAAATAATTTTAATTAATATTAAAATAAAATATACTATAGATTATTTATTTATTTATTTATTTATTTATTTATTTATTTATTTATTTATTTATTAAATTAATTATTTATAATATAACATTTAGATACTTACTAATTTCTTTCTTAATTCATAAATTTTTTTTTGTTGAGGTGTTAGATTTTCGGTTGGATCTATATAATGATTATCTATATTATTTTCTTTGGTGAATTTCTTTGGTAGATGTGCATTTTTCGCTTTTTCGTCCTCTTTCGAATAATCGAATGATACCGCATTATATGATTCTTTTGGAATATATTTTTTATTTTTATTATCGTGTAAATCTATTTCTTCTTTTAAAGAATCAATTGATTGGTTTTTTATTTCTTCTTCGGACATTTTTTGTGTATATTATTTTATTACTATTAGTATTATATGTTTTAATAAATATTTTAAAAAAGAAAAATTTAAAAAAAGAAAAAAAAAAAAATTAAAAAAATTGAAAAAATTAAAAAAAAATTAAAAAATAAAATAAAATAAAATAATTATTAACCAATAAAATAATTTTCTTATTTTGATCCTTTCTCAAACATTTTTTTTTTTTCACATATTAAAAATAATCGATATCAATTTAAACTTGTTTTCATGGTTTTTTTTTACTTGATAAAAACACAAAATTATTTTTTCACAACATAATAAATTATTTTAATTAAATCCATACAGAATTAAAAAAATTTTTTATTAAATGAAAAATTTAAATAAAATTAACCCCACGTGCGGAATTATTCTTTAATTTTTTAATTATAATTTTTATTCTTTTTTTAATTCATTTTTTTATTAAACAACTAAATTCGTTTGCTTTTTATGCCAAATAAAAAATAAATATAAATAATTTATTTATATATATTAAAAAATAAAAAAATGGGAAAAAAAATTAAACAAAAAAACAATTTGTTTTGTCTGGATGTATTTGACCAAACTATTGGTGTATCGTTAGAAGTTTGATAAAATAATTTACATTGTAGAAGAAGATGAAAGATTTAAATCTGAAAAAGTAACAGATAAATGGATAATTATGTTAAGTAACTTTATAAAAATTATTGTAAAATTCAAAAAAATTAATAATAAATTTTAAACTTTAAGGGGTTCAAAAATTTTTATGAATATACATCAATATCAGACCTTTGTAGTTATTTTAAAATCTCTCCTCGTACTTTCTACAATTATTATGAAAGAGGTCTTTATAAGCTTTATTATGTATTTTCAAAAATATTGAATGAAAGATATGATCGTTTATTGGTCACTTTAGGATATCAATAACATCCCGTAACTAAAATACCCTATTGTCCAGTTTTCAATTGTGTTTCAGTTGTGGAAATTCAAAAGCCAACCAGCCTCTTTGAAGAAAAAAAAATATTATTATAAAAAAGATAATAGTCATGTGATTAAATTCGGTGTTGAATATAGTTGTAAAACAAAAAGATTAATGAAGGTTTCACATGGTTATCAAGGTTCAAAAAGTGGTACCGAACTTACTAAAGAAATGTACTTAAATAGAAATTCATTGGGTGAAATTGAATATAATAACAACGGAGAACCATCTTATCAGCATAATGAGTTTCCAATTTTAGGTATGTATAAAGCTTATAAACTCAATTTAAAATTACTCCTTTGTTAATTTATATTCCTTTCTTTAATTTATTTTTGTATACACTAAATATTATACAGGAGATAAAGCAAGAGCTGGTTTACAAAATTTTATTGTCCTTATAAAAAAAGAAATCACTTACATAGAATGAAATCCACAACAACTGTAGTCTAACGTGCTTATTTGAGGGATTTCTATAGATGAAAAGATTCCAAATTCTTTCCATCCAAATACCGTGGAATTCATGAGCATTTGGATCAAATATTTGATCATTGGATTTGTTATTGATTTAAAAGAAACTATTGGTGATGGCTTTCGACTACCAACTTGATCAAAATAAACTTGATGAAATCAAAACCAGAAGAAATCCATTACCCCCCACTAATTTTAATTTTTTCTAAAATTTCTCTTAATAAAAATAATAATATTATTATAATATTATAAATTTAAATTCATTTTTTATTGTTTTTTGGTGGGACGAAGTTACATACAATAATAATTTAAAATTAATATACACACCAGCAAACTACGGTTCACAAAGAGGATTGTTTGATAGAAATTCAAGTTTATGGGGCGGTTGGGTGTCAAGGGTGAAAATAAAACTATGTATTTTGCAGGTGATACAGCCGATCATCACTCTCTATTCAAATCAATAGGTCATAGAAGAAGCCGTAAGAATCCACAAAGAACTAACTAGTAAAAGGTCATTCGGAGTACATTGGGGTACCTTTATTTTATCGACCGAGCCATTATTAGAGCCGCCAAAACTATTAATAATAGAATGCGAAAAAGCAAATATTTTCAACAAAAATGAATTTTTTACTTCAAAAATTGGTGAAACTGCAATTATCGAAGATTAAAGAAAATTTAGAAAATATAGGGATATAACAATTAAAGAATCAAATGGATCAAAGAAGGAAAATCAGTAATCAATAATAATCAATAGAAACCTAATAGCTATAACGAAACCATAATAGAACAACAAGGATTATAAAAAGAACACAGAGCTTTGATAATAGTTTAATCTTTTTTTATAAAAAAAATTTAATTTATTTTATTTAGATTATTTCTAATATTTTTAAATAGAACTATTTTTTAAAAAACTTTATTCTTTTTTTATATGTTTTTGTTATTTTTATGAATTTTTAGTGTCTTTTTACATATTTTTATATTGGAAATCGAAATATTTTTTATTTATTATCACAAAAAAACATTTTGCTTTTTTTTTTTTAAAAATTTATTAAAAAAAATTTATAAGAAAAAATTTATTAGAAAATTTTTTTTTTCTTCAACTTTAAGGGTTAAAAAAAAAATTTTCTTCAACTTTAAGGGTTAAAAAAAAAATTTTCTTCAACTTTAAGGGTTAAAAAAAAAAAATTTTATAAAAAAATTTTTACATTTTGTTTAAAAAATTCAATTTATAAAAAAGAAATGTTAATTTTATTCATTAATTTTTATACTAACAATGAATAAACTACTATCATCTCTAATTAACTTTCGCGTAAATGAAGAGTTAAAAAACAGCTATAATATTAGTGATAGGTAAGTATAATACAATATAATACAATACATAAAATAAATATAAATAATAGATTAATTAAAATCATATTAATTAGTTTTTTCTCTTTTTAACTATTTATTATAGATTATTATATATAGTTTGGAATAATATATTTTTAAGAAATGAAATTCATAAACATATTTTAAAGTTTATTAAACATAGTGTTCAACTTCTTGATATATCAGGTTATAGCAAGTTTAAAAATAAATCATATATAACAACACTTAACTGGCGTAGTGATCCACTACCAGATAAAGATGAATATCCACCATTTTTGACAATTTTATATTTGCACGGTTCTTCTAAAATGCTAACTCTAACAACTTTACCAAACACAATTACTACACTCGCATTCGGTACTAGTTTTAACCAAGTAATTCCACCCGGTACATTACCAAATAGTCTCACAACACTCACATTCGGTCATTATTTTAACCAAGTAGTTCTACCCAACACATTACCAAATAGTCTCACAACACTCAAATTCGGTACTAATTTTAACCAAGTAATTCTACCCGGCACATTACCAAATAGACTCACAACATTCACATTCGATTTTAAATTTAACCAAGTAGTTTCACCCGGCACATTACCAAATAGTCTCACAACACTCACATTCGGTCATGATTTTAACCAAGTAATTCTACCCGGCACATTACCAAATAGTCTCACAACACTCACATTCGGTTTTAAATTTAACCAAGTAGTTTCACCCGGCACATTACCAAATAGTCTCACAACACTCACATTCGGTTTTAAATTTAACCAAGTAGTTTCACCCGGCACATTACCAAATAGTCTCACAACACTCACATTCGGTCATGATTTTAACCAAGTAGTTCTACCCGACACATTACCAAATAGTCTCACAACACTCACATTCGGTTTTAAATTTAACCAAGTAGTTTCACCCGGCACATTACCAAATAGTCTCACAACACTCAAATTCGGTACTAATTTTAACCAAGTAATTCTACCCGGCACATTACCAAATAGACTCACAACACTCACGTTCAGTTATAAATTTAACCAAGTAAATATACCCGGCACATTACCAAATAGTCTCACAAAACTCACGTTCGTTGTACTAAAAAAAAAAAAATGAACTAAAACAATGAATTTGATTTCAATAAGTGACTATTCGACCCCAAAGCTATACAAAGCCGTTTTTTCTAATGATAAACTAAATTATAACCCCTAGTTATAACCAAGTAAAAAAAAAAAGTACTATATTAACAATACTACATTTTAATAATACTACAATAAATAAAATAAAATGACACTATTAATTTGATAAGATAGGAATGATTTTAAAACTTCTGGTTTTAACCATTCAAAAAAAAGAGAAATAATTGGTTGCAGCTTAACAATAATCAAAAATATTTGAGATATTATGATTCACTTGAACCTAAAATCTGCCGGCTCATTACCAAATAATGATACCAATAAAACTTTCATGTAAATTTTTACTGGTCTTTAAAGATGATAACATGTAAATCTAGTTTAATTTTTTAAATTCACTTTCATAAGGGGTTGGTGGAACTTTCTTAATTTTATTTTTTTTTGAATATTGTTCCTATCATTGGTATCTCCTGTAAAGTACCTTTATTCATTAATTTTCTTTTGGATTTTTAAACATCACTGAAATAAAAAAATTTAATTTTTTTTAAATTCCTAACCCATACACACCAACACATTTTATATAGAAAATAATATAAATGAATTACTATTACAAATACCCGATATTTTGTTACAAAAAAGATCTCTTTTTATAAGTGTAATTGTAAAATGTTTTTATAAAAACTTATCTAATTTTAATTTTAAAAATTAAAATTATTTAATTTTTTTTCTTATAGTTTTACCATTTGAATATAATTTTAAAAATATCTTATTTTAAATATATTAAATTTGATTTAAAGAATAAAATATATAATAGTTTTTTTTTTTATCTTAAATTATAAGAATTAAAATTAATTTATTTAAAGTAATTTGATGTGGGTTTTGCCAATGTTAAAAATTGTAAGATGACCTTTACCAATATCAATCATTGATTTGTTTTGGGTAGAATGTGGTTGGATTTCAATGTTTTCTTGAATATTACCATTTACTTTTAATTCAAGCTTGCCTAATTCATCACCTTCATTTTCAAATACTAAATTGGCTAAGGATTTACCTTTAGTTGGAACATCTATAAATAAATAAAAAAAAAAGGTTAGAAAATTATCTTTTTCTTATATTTATATTTTTTTAACTTACCATAATGATCACCTGGTCTTAATACTGTCATTTTTTAATAATTTGTTTATTTAATTGAATTTAATAAATAAATAAAAAATTTTATTTTATTTTATAGTTTTTTTTTTCACTTTAGAATTTCATTTTTAATTTTTAAAATTATATAATTAAAAAGGTAATTCTTTATTTCTTTTTTAGATTATTATAAATCAAGTAATGTTGTTATTTACATTTTATTAAAAAATATTATTATTTTTAAACACACTAATCCCACACACTCAAAAAAATTACTAAATAAATATTTTTTTTAATTTTTCATATATTTCTTTCCATATCCCCCACCCCAATTTTTACCTTTTCAATTTTTTTGAACAGTTTATTAAAAAAAAATTAAAATTAAAAAAATAAATAATATTAGATGTTCACTAAAAATTAATGGTTATTGATATGTTTTTTTTTTTTTTTAATTTTTTATAAAATTAGTTTTTTAAAAAGTAAAATTTTATTTATTTAGAAGTTATGAGTCTATGTTGGTTTTCGGCGTCATTTTCATCTAATATGCCTGAGTGATTGTCGTATATATTCATATTTATATCAATTATATTAAATTTGTTATTACAAATAAAATAATAAATTGAATCTATTACTTCAAAGTCATTTTCGTCAATAACAAAGTCAGATCTTGAAAATGAGATGTTTCCTTCTTTTGGTCTGATACTAACTTTAATATTACCAGAAACATAACGTTGGGGAGTTCCAACAGTATCGCAAAGATAATGACGAATTAAAACATTATATCCGTATTGATAGTTGTTCAAATAGAGACCATATTCCCAAAGTTTATATTTTTTATCCTCTATAAAAAAATATATTAATAATCATTTTAAAAAATATTTAATAAATTAAAATAAATTTACCTTGATAGGTTAGAGTTCTTTTGGAACCAATTAGGCTTTCTGGCAAGGCAGCTTTAATTACATTCTCAATTCCATTTTGTTTCCAATAGCCAGATGAGCTTAGTTTTCTCTTTCTAATTTTACTTTTAATATTAACAAAGTGTACAGTCCCACCTTTTAAAAAAAAAAAAAAAAATTAATATTATTTTTTATTATATTTAATAATAAGAGTAAATAAGGTATACTTACTTTCAAAGTTCGATAGTGAATAATCTTCTAATACAACATTGATTAGTTGATTATTAACATATACATTGAATAACTGTCCCAACTTATAATATGCATAAAGTATTAAAATATATTTATAATCATAAGTTCGAATGTGTAGCATTTTGTTAATTATTAGTTTCAAATTGTAATTGGGTAAAAAAAATGACAATTAAAAAAAAATTAAAAATTTCTATTTAAGTTTTTTAACAGTTACAAAACAATGAAAATAATAATTAAAAAAAAAAAAAACAAAAATAAATAAATATAAATAAAAATAAATAAATTTTTTCACCATTTTTTTTTTTTGTATTTTACAAATATCAATTTAGAAAAAAAACCAATAATACAATAAAAGGTAAATCCCATGAAAAAACAAACTCACACACACACATACACACACAAAAAAAAAAAAACAAGTAAAAAAACAAAAAACATTTTTATCATTATACTAATATATATAAATACAATAATTATTATATTATAAATACAATTATTGTTCTATTTTAAGATGAAAATATAAATATATATTTGTTTATACTCTATTTATTTGAATGTTGATACTATCATACTGATATATTATAGTATCACAACTTAATACTCACACCAACACTAACACTAACCCTAACCCTAACACTTTGTTTTTTTTTCAAATATCACCCCTTTTTAAAAGAATTTATACACACACCTTTACACACACTCTGTTGAATGGAAAATAAATTAAAATTTTAAATTGTTTGTAAACCAAAAAAATGTTATTAAACCAATTTAATAAAAAAATAATTATTTTTACAACAGCAAAAAAAAAAAATATTATATAAAATTTAAAATTCAATATTGAATAAATAAGTTTTAAATGGAAAAAAAATTGTAAAAGTGAGACCACTATTTATATGAATTTAATTTTTATTTACAATTTAAATGGGTAAATTATTTTTTTTTTTTTTTTTTTTTTTTTTTTTTTTTTTAAAAAATAATTAATTACATATTTTCATAGAATGGGTTTATAATATTATTTTGTAATGCATCATCAAGATAGTTAAAATTTGAGTTATCACAAACAACGGCATCTTCATCATTGTCATCATTGTCAAATGGGAAATTGTTATAATTGATTTGTTGTTGGTTTTGAAGTAATAATTGTTGTTGTTGTTGTTGAAGTTTTTGAGAAAAGTAATATGAAATTGGCTCTGTGGACTCGGTATTGTTGTACAAAAGTTCATGGGGAGCAATCAGAGAGAATGAGTTTCTATCAATGAAACCAGCAAGGGTTTCGATGAGAACATAGTCGTTTTCGGCAATATTTACAATGTTTTTACTGAAAAATTGATTTTTATCATTAGCTTTGATAGAGATGTTGATATCATGGAGGGTATAACGATGTGGGATATCGCCAGCACCAATTCTGTCGGACAGGTAGTGTCTTAGGATTATTTTATAGCCAAATCTAAGGTTGAATAAGCAAAAGCTATATTCCCAAAGCTTTTTTTTTTTTAATAAAAAATTAATATATTTTTGTATTTTTTTTTTTTTAAATTAAATTTATTTACTTTTTCTGTTTTTAGGCTTTGATTAGTAAATGTTCTTTTGAATGTCTCGATATTACCGTTTATTGGCAAATGGGATGTTTCAACTGATCCCTCGATACCATTTTGTTTCCAATATCCTATTAAAAATATAAAAAATTAATATTTGGAAAAATTTTAAATAAAACAGTAATACAAACCAGTGTTCTTTAGTTTTCTCTTTCTTATTTTACTTTGGACAACAACAAACTCTAAAAGGCCGCCTAGATTTTAAAATAAAAAAATATTAATAAAAAAAATAAAAAATAAAAAAAAAGGTTTATTATAAATTTTTACTTTTAAAATTAAGCAATGAAGTGTTTTCTGATACCAAATTTACAATTTCACCATTTACATAGATGTCAAATAGCTGGCCTAGCTTATATTGTAAATAGAGGACCATAAAATATTTACTATCAAATGTTCTGTAATCAAGCATCTTGTTTTCTATAATGGTTTAAATTGGAATAAGAAAGAATAACAAAGAATAAGATAAATTAACAATATTGTAAAATTTAAATCAAAAAGAAAAGGAAAAAAAAAAAAAAAAAAAAAATAAGAATTGTTAATTTTTGGGTTTTATATTGGTTGTAAAAATTAGAATAGCTAAAATTTGATTATTTATATTATCATTAGTATTTTCTTACCCAATTGAAATTATAATTTATGATAAGAGATAGAAAAAAAAATTTTATTGGGTGTTTCAAAAATTGAAAAAAAAAAAAAAAAATAAAATAATTAAAACAAAAATATTAAAAAAAATTGAAATCAAAATGATATATTTTTTCTTTTATATTCCTTTTTGAGTTTTAATATATGCCAACAATACCCCCTAAAATACAAATGGGTGTGTATAATATATTGTGTTTGAACTAACACACTTACAATTATTTTTTTAACCGCGATAATATTAACAATAACTACACAAACACACAATAATATTTATTATAATGTTCTAAAAATACGGCTTTTCACTATAAATATTTTTTTTTTATAATAACATTCATATCAACATGTTTTTTTTTTTAAAAAATTTTTTTTTTAATTCCAACCACACACTAACTTATTCACACTCACCCACATTCAATTCATATATCCCACCAAAATTTAATTCAAAAAAATAATAATAATTATAATATTTCACACACTCACAAGTATAAATTTCACTTTAAAAAACAAAAAAGTTTGTGTGAGTGTGTTGTTGTGATTCAAAAAAAAATTTCTCCCTCTCTAAAAAAAAAAAAAATAAGTTTTTTTTTAAGATTTACATTGAAATAATGAAATAACTATTAAAAAAAAAACACCACACTATCAAAATGATTTATATACCATTGTATAATTATAGGTTTTATATAGGAGCCAAATCTTTTAACCAACTGTTGTTGGTATTATTATATTTTATTTATTAAATACCATCATGGTGGTTGTTAAATTTATTTCTGTGTAGTTGTGCAGTGTTTGTTGCTATTTTAATTTTTTTTTTTTTTAGCTGTTTTGTTTATAAATATACATTTTATTTTTTTATTTCTTTTTTAGGAAAACTGAATATATTATAATTTGATATTTTCTATTAATTGTTTCTATTTTTATTTTTGTCTCTTTATCTACTATCTATTATCTATTATCTATTGTTTTTTTTTTAACCTCTTTTTTTTTTTTTTTGTTATTTATTTTATTTAATTTATCTATTTATTTATTTATTTATTTATTTATTTATTTATTTATTTATTTATTTATTTATTTATTTATTTATTTTTTATCATCACAATTTAACCGTTATGATTATTATATCGAAAATTGAGATGCATATGAAAATAGTTTTTTATGATTGACCAATAAAAATAAAACTTCGTCATCACTTGGTTCTACCCTCCAATTTAATAAAATTTCCTCTGCTTTCTTTATTGCTTTTTCTGATTTTGAGAATTCACCAATACATAAATAAACTTCACCTAATTTTGCATACTCTCTACCCAAATCGGATGAATTGTTGTGTAATAATCTAATGCTTATATTTTCTATGAATTTTTCTAAATATAAAGCTGCTGTGTAACCGGCTTCGTTTGTGAGGAAATATCGGACCAAAGCATCATAAACATCACCAATTTTTTTACTTGAAACCTTGAATAAACTTCTACGAATTTCCAATGATTTTAAAAATAGATTTTCAATTTCTTTTGAATAATTGTTTTTGTTAAGAGCTTTAACTCCTGCGTTGAAGAGGTTATCAGATATAATAACCTGGGAAGTTAGTGAATGTGCATCGATGCCATACAATTCAATGCCGCACTTATTACAAATAAATACACGATTTTCATAATCTTCATGCTGTTCATAATTTGATAATATTTGATGATTGACAGGAAGTGGTTTCTTTGATTTTATACTGAATGATGATAATGAAGACATTGTTTGTGACGATAATGAATTTTTTGATTCTGATTCGGCCTTATTAATTAATTGTTGGAAACTAACTTTTTCTAAAAGAGTACCTGAACATTGAGTGTTTGAATTGTTTTCAAATGAACCTGGGCATTTCAATTGATCGGGTCCTGCTTTTTCGCTACAAGCCTTACATCTACAAATGAAAAAGTATTCTTTATAAAGGCTTACTATACGATCTCTTAATGGATGTAAAAATGCGCTTGGTCCATAACAACCTAAAATCTCTTCACCTTTTTCTATGTCACAAAGTGATTTAATAACAATTGTATTCCCTTTATATTGAAGATGGGTATTTTGGACACAACTATGATTCATTAAACTGGACATTGGATAAATTGCGTAGCCAATTTTATCTTCAATGTATTTTAGGATTTTATATTTTGTATAAAGATTCTGTGATGGAGACTCTTGTTCTGGGACATATCGGGTTTGATCACGGTATATAAAACCTGGAATTGCAAATGTATAAGTAGTTAACTGGCACAAATGTCTAAGAATGGTTGAAATATTGATATCTTCTGGGAGAATACCCAACTCTTTTTGATAGTAGCCTATAAATCTTTCGATAATGAGTGAATCGAATATTAAACTTAGGAGGTTTTCATTTGAGTGCTCTAGGATATGTGGGTCAAAACTGTTGATCATTTCATAGTTTGGTAAATAAATATTTGCTTGTTCTAAACTAGTTTTATCTTTTGGGATTTCATACAGTTTATCGTCTCGAGAAATTTGTAAGTTTTGTAATTCTGAAAGACTTTCATCAAATAATACCAAATTATTTGAATCAAATTTATTATTTGATTTCTTTATATTTACATTCTTTAATACTGGAGTTGGAATATAAGAAGATGGTCCATTTTCAAATTTATTATTATTATTATTTTTACTGTTATTATTATTTGGTTCACCATATAATTCTCTATATTCCTTGGCTTTCTTTATTAAAATACGAATTACTAATAATGATTCGTGTGAACATGTTAATAAAAATCCTTTATCGCATTCAACACTATGCTGGTTTTTATAATCTTCTTTTAAACAACTATCACCACAATATTGAGCATTATTACAACCTTTACAACTATTAAAAGAAAATATTAATAAATGTTTTTTTTAGATTATAAAATAAATATTACTTACTAAACTGGTACTAATAATTCTTTAAAACAATTATAACAATATAATGAATGGTAATTTCTATCTAAGCATGACACATATGGACGCTCTTGAAAAAGTAATGAATTTTCAGGAATTGGACTATTTGCTTCGGTGATTCTACCAACTTTATCGGATTCATATTTAAGGTCTACTCTAGAATCAACAATTGATTGATATTTATTTACAGTGGCTGCACCTGATACATTTTTTTCTTTTGCTAATTGCTCTTCATATTTTTCTTCTTCATGTAAAGGTAAATTTAATTTTTTGATTTTATATAAATAAGACTCTATTGAAGATATATCGGTACTATCCATTTTTTCGATTAATTTGTGCGCTCTAAGGAAATCTTTTTTAGCTTTGCTATGCTTCTTAAGGTGATAATAACAGATACCTCTACGATAATGTAGCTTGTGCAATAAACGTGCTGATGAATTAATTTCAATACCTCTTGTAGCTTCAGCGGCACCAGCTTCATAATGCTCTAGATTAACTAAACATAGACAACGATTTGAGTGAATGCTGCTAAGAATTGATGTATCTTGATTGTTTTCTAGTGAATGTAAACGTAATGCCTCGTTATATAAAATGATTGCATCGCTAAAGAATCTCTTTTGAAATAATTCATTTCCTTTATCTTTATAAGCTTGACTAGTTTGTTCCCATGAGATTTTTTCCGTTATTTGCATGTATTGAGCTAAAAGATCATTGGTAGATGAATGAATTATAGAATCTATATTGGACATTACTCTAAAATCAGTTAAACTGTGTTGAAATAACGTTTGAACCATTTCCACGGTTTCATTAAGTTCATCCAAAGTCTTGACACTTGATTTTTTAAAACTCTTTGAAACTGCTTCCTTAAAATGGTCTTTTAATAAAGTTAATGGTGGTATATTTCTTGAAAGTATGTGTGATATTTTATTTCTAAAAATTTTTGATGGATCTTTTGTGGTTATTGGAATAGGCACATCCTTACTACTAGCCTCGGCGAGTGGTGTTATGTATTTTGTTTGAAATAGTGGATTATTTGATCTATTGTAATTGTTTGATGGTATTGGTGATGATTGTGATTGTGGAGATGGCTTTTCTTGTTGAACAAATCCAAGTTCAGGTGGTATATCTAATGATTGTAGGTAATCTGGTGGTAGTTTGGAAAGTTCTGCTTGTAGTTCAGCTGTTAGATCTGCTGGTTGTAGTTTTGATATCAATGACTTTAATTGTTCCGACTGAGTTATTGTTGGTAATGGAATATCTGGGATATCAAGTAATGCTGACAAGATACTTTCTGGTGATGAGGATAAAGATGAGGAACTCGACGAAGAAGTCTCCTCCAATGCTTTTGTTTTTACTGGGCAAAGTGTTGGAATTGGTGTACTTGATGTTGTTGACATATGCGATGAATAATTACTTGCTTTTTTCTTTAAACTAAATTTTGTAAAATCGTTTACTAGATCTGCATTATTTGTAGTATTAATTGTAGTATTATTTGTAGTATTATTTGTAGTATAATTTGCATTATAATTTGTATTACTTATACTAGCTATACTCTCTTTAACATTGACTGAACCATTAACAGCATTGTTTTCATTTTGGATATGTTCTAAAATTTCTGAAAATGTTGGTATGTCTGAAAATATACTATTAAGTGATTGTAAAGTGGTTTTATTTTTTTCGTTTATTTCGTTATTTTTTTTTTTTTTTTTCTGATTCCATTTTATTTAAATTCTATTCCATTGATAAATATTAAACAATAAAACAATAATAAATAAATGGGGGTAATGAATCTAAAATTTAGATAAAGTTGAATGAATAAAATTTTTAAAAAAAAAATGAAAAAAAAAAAAAAAAATAAATTTAAATTTAAAATAAAATAAAAAAATTTTTAAAAATTTTTTTTTTTATAAATACACAATCAAGGATTTATAATTGACATTTTAATAAATTTAAATAATTTTTATTACTTTTAGATTTTAAAGAAATAATATCAATTTAAGGGAAACTCCGCTATATTAAACCATAATAATTTTAAAAAAAAAAAATATAATAAATAAGCACAAAATATATAAATAAAAAAATTATTTCTGTATATTTATAAATAGAATTTTATTGATTTGATTTTTTTTTTTTTTTTTTTTATATACATTTTGTTTGATAAAAATTGCTTTTGAAAATTAAATGTTTCAATTGATTAGGCAATACTAATATCGTGTGTGTATTTATAGAACTCTTCTTTATTAATTTCTCCATATTTACGGTCAACATACATTGAAATGCAATGGTCGCCAAACTCTGGGAAATTGAATGTTAAATTCCATTTAGAACTAATTCCATAGAAAATTTTTGCATCTATGATAATTTCTATTTTTGTAGTACCACTTTCTGGGTCATAAATAATGTTTGAGTCATTCTCTAAACCATGGATGGAAATTAGTTTTAAAATGTCAACCCTTGTTAAAGAATTAACATCATCCAAACCCCTATCAGTCCATTCTAAAATTGCTTCTTGCAATTGTTTATTGGTATTGATTTCTTTCCAATTAACTCTGCAGATATATTCCATTTTTTCAAACTATTTTCTTTTAAATCTATTATAAAAATGAGTTTTAAAATTGGTTTTGTATGATTAATATTATTATAATTATGAATAAACTATTAAAAAAATGGATTAATTAAATTATACTATTTGTTTTTTTTATACAAAAAACAATTAAATAAATAATAAATTAAATAAAAAATAAATATTAAATAAAAATAAATTATTAAAAATAAACAATATATGTTGTGTGAGTGTGTTTGATAATAAGTATTTTTTTTTTGTTTATTTTTTTTATGTTATTAAAAATTATTTAAAATAAAATAAATTAAAAAAATATAAAATTATTAATTTAATTTAATTTAAAATTTTTTTTTTTTGAATAATTAGTTTTAAAAAAATTTTATTTGTTTGAAATGGCTATTGTTGCATTTTTTACTATTTATAGTCGTTTAGTAATGATTATTCTAAAAAAAAAAAAATTTTAAATACATACCTTTAAAATTAATTATCTTTGTCTGTGTCTTTTTAAAAACTATAAAACTATACTATAAGAAAATATTAAATTAAATTAAATATTAAAAAAAAAAAAATTTATTTTTATTTTTATTTTTATTTTTTTTTATAATATTATATATTATCTATCTTTTTAATATTTTAATAAAAAAAAAATTTCAAATAAATAAATAAATAAATAAATAATTATGAAAATGTTAATAGATGGGGCAAACTAGTACTCCTTTTGTTTTTTTTATTATTTTTTTTTTACAAATTTTGTGAACATTTTAAAATGATTTTGAATTGAAACTTTATAGAAATACTATTTATAAAAATAGATAAATTAAACAAATATTAAATTAATAATAATTTCAAGAATTAATTTTTTTAAAATTTTAACAAAAAAAAAAAAAATAAAAAAAATAAAAAAAAAATAAAAAAAATAAAAATTTGTTAAAAACACGAAAGTAAAAAAAAAAAAAAAAAAATCCATAATTTACTTTATTTATAAATAAAAATATAAAAAAATGTTTAATAGTAAATTAAATAAAGAACAAAGTAGAGATATCGAAAAGTTAATTAAATCTGGTAAATTAAAAAAAACCAAAATTGATGATGATGTAGAAGCTTTCTTACAAGACGCAGCCAACAATCGTGTTAATAAGATTAGAACCGTTTTAGACGATAAAGAAAAATGCGAAAAACTTTTAAATTCAACCGATGCTGCTAAAAGATCAGCTATTCTTTACGCCTCATATCATAACTATATAGAATTATTTGATTTATTAGCTCAACATGGAGCCGATTTAAATATTGCAGATTTTGTAAGTATATAATAACAATAACAATTATAATAATATTGATAATTATAAAATTTATTAATCATCAATTCAACTTTAAAAAATATAGGAAGGTTATACACCATTAATGAAAGCAATTAAAGTTGGTAATGCAGCAATTGCAGAAAGATTAGTTAATTTAGGTTGTGACATTAATACAGTTAGTAAAGAAGGTTATTCACCACTTCAATTAGCAATTTTAGGTAGTGAAAAGAAAATTATTAAATTATTACTTTCAAAAGATCCAAAGATTTCAGTTGATAAATGCGAATCTGGTAGTATTTTACATGCTGCATGTGGTATGAAAGAAATGGATATCATTGATTCAATTGTTAAAAAAGAACCATTACTTTTAAATACAAGAGATGATAACAATATGACCCCATTACACATTGCAATTGGTAATGTTTCACCCTTATTATTATTATTGTTATAATTAGAAATTATAAATATTAATATAAACTTTTATTATTTAGCTTATGGTAATAAACAATTAGCATTAGAGTTAATTAAATTAGGTGCACCAGTTAATGCCACATCAAATGATGGAACAACTCCATTACATATTGCAAGTGAAGTCGGTGATTTAGATATTTGTAAGAGTTTAATTGAAAAGGGTGCAGTTTTAAAGATCGATACTGATGGTTTAACCCCATTATTAATTGCCAAACAAAAGAAAAATAAAACATTAGAAGACATGTTATCAAACCTTACTCTTGACGCAGAATCTTATAAAAAAGCCAAAGAATCAGCACCAAAGAAGAAAACAAACAATAATGCTGAAGAAAGAGCATCACCAGAAGCATTAAAGAATAATGGTAATAAAGCATTCTACAAAGAAGACTTTGAATTAGCTCTTCATTGGTACCAATTAGCCATTGACGTCGAAGATGTTCTTCATGAAACTCAAGGCAAAGAATTATCAATCGCCCATGTCCTCTACAGCAATAAATCTGCTTGTCAATTTAATCTTAAAAACTATGAAGAATCACTCAAAGATGCTGAAAAATCAATCCAATTATCACCAGATTGGTCCAAAGGTTACTTTAGAAAATACCAAGCTTTAGAAGCTTTAAATAGAACTGAAGAAGCAAACCAAGCAAAACAACAATACGAAAAATTAATTGAAAAAGAAAAACAACAAGAACAACCAAAAAAAAAATAAAACAATACTCAAATAATAATAATATTAATAAATAAAATAAAAAATAAAAGATTTATAAAATATATTTAAATTAAATATAAATTGTTTTTTTGTTTTTGTTTTTGTTTTTGATTTATTACTTTATTAATTATTTTGACCCATTATTCTATTTTTAACAGCTAATTTCATATATGCAATAATGCTGTCGCAGCCTCTTGCAGCTTTTAAACATTCAAAATATTGATCTTCTGTTAAAGTGCCAATTGTTTTTGACATCACTATATTATTTGAATTACTTGAAAATGCGAAAATTGCCATCGCTTTAGAATTGTTTTCTTCGTTGAGATCTGGATCGACTATCATTAAACATTTATTATTATCTTCATCATCGTCTTCGTTCATTCTATCTTCATCTTGATGTTGTTGGCTTATATCCCTAATATTATTATATGACAATGTAATTGATCCAATTAATCCATTCATTTCTATACCAGCATCTAACAATGCTAAACATGCTGCGTTAATTGAGCAACTAACAATCTAATAAATTAATAAATTAATATTAGTACAGAACGTTAACGTGTGTGTGCATTAATAATAATGTAATCTAAACATACTGAACCATCATCTGAATAAACTTGAATAATAACTGAAACTTGAGTTCTTGGGTGTAATGTAGTTAAAATAACAGATTCAACTGCATTTTTAACTAATAATTCTTTTTCTTTATCTAAATATGTTGTGTTACCTAATGCTGGTGTGAATGTAACTTCGACATATGATTTTAAAATTTTTTCTTTACGTGCACTATTAACTTCTATTGGTCCATAAACTGCTGCCAATACTGATGTTTTATCTATAAAGTTATAAATATATTAGTATATTTTAAATTATATTGATTAGGAAGAGTAAATGAATTGGTTACTTTGACTGAATTTTGCTGACCCATCTGCTTTATTTAATAATGACTGTTCTGACTCCATCGACCTTAATTGACCTTGAGTTCTGCCATTTAATCTTCTAAATTCTTGTTTCTTTACCATTTTAAAAATGTATATATGTTACAGATATTTCTTTGTGTTTTTGATTTTATTGAAAAAATTAAAAATAATAATAAAAACGAAAAAAAAAATTAAAAAAATTTAAAATTTAAAATTTTTTTTTATTTTTATTTTTATTTTTTTTTTTCAGATTAAACTAGCTATTTAATAAAAAATGATAATTTACTTTATTTAAATATTTTATTTAAAAGTTTTTTTAATTTCATTTAAATTATTATTTAAAATAATGAAATTAATAAAATAAAAGAAGATGTAAAGAAAATACCAAGAGATGTAACAGTTGAAGCACTTGAATTTGATTCGTCTTCTTCTAGATTAGTTTTATTCTTATGGTTTGAATCTTCTTCAATGGTTGAATCAATCATATCAGCAACATTTCCTTTTGGTTTTTCACTATCGTCATTGTCATCATCTCCCTTGTGTTTCTTTGGTGGTTTTTCATCGGCTTCTTCAGACTCTTCAGACTCTTCAGACTCTTCGTCACTATCCTTAGATTGCTTAGGTTTATTCTTTGGTGGATTTGGTTCGTCATCTTCATCATCTTCATCATCATCGTCATCATCACCTCTTTTATGATCATTACCTCTATGTGGTTCTTTTTTCTTTGGTTTTTCATCTTCGTCATCATCATCATCATCATCTTGTACATCTACTGGTCTAAAAGTACTACTTGGGTGATGTGTGACAGCTGGCGATGTGGCTGCTAATGTTGGTGCCTCTGTTTTCTTTGGTGGCGATGGTGTTGGTGTAGCTTTAGTTTCAATAGAAAGCTTTGGGTCTTTCAAACTAAGGTCAATATTGGTATTGCCAGGTGAATAGGTTTTACCATCAATTGATAATTTTGGTTCTTTAGCGTCAATATCTACATTTACACTCTTTGGAACAATATTAATCTCTTTCTTTAATGTTGAGTTTCCTTTAAATGTTTCTCTTGCTGGTGAAATTGGCGAAAGTTCATCCTTATATCCCTTTGGATTGGGTTGACGATGTGGTTTTGGTGTTGGTTTTTTGGTGACTGGTTTCTTGGTTGGTTTTTTGGTGTTTGGACGGGCATCTGGTACATTAATTTCTTTATAGGTATATGGATCAGAATAGTAGTAGTAGTCATCTGTCAACTCGTCATATTCTGCATTATCATATTCGTCTGGGTAATTGTAGTAATCGTCTTTGAATGCACTAAGATCTTTTGCAAATGCAACTTGACTTGATACAAAAAGAACAAATAATGTTGACAATATTAATAAAAACAATGACGATTTTTTAATCATTTTTTTATTATTATTTTATTTTATTGTATTGTTATTTTATTTTATTATATTATTATAGGCTATAAAACAAATTGGTGTTATTATTATTTAAAATACTATTACAAATTGTTATTCTTATTATATAAATATTTTACAACAAATAGAAATTTTTTCTTCAAAATTGTTTTTAAAAAAAAAAAGGGTTTATAAAATAAATTTCTTATTTATTTTAAAATGAAATGAAAAAAAAGGAATGAATATTTGTTAAAAAAGTAAAAATTAAAAAAATATACTAAAAAACAACACCACATGTGGTGTGGTTTACTTTTTAATTTATTCATTTCTTTTTTAAGCTTTTTTTTTTATATGAAAAATAAAACCCACATTTACCCACTACATTTTTTTTTTCATTGTTTTCTTTAGGGATATATAAATATTTTTTGGGTTTAATTTAAAGTGAAACATTATTATAATAATATAAACAATTATTGAAATAAAAAAAAACCCCGAAAATAAAATAACATTTTTTATATTAATGGTTTTTTTTTTTAAACAATGAAAAAAGATAGGACCGATATTCTATTCTTTCAAAAAAAATCTTTTTGTTAAAAAAAAAAAAAAAAAAAAAACTATATATTGAAGTTTTAATACACTAAAATAAAAAATATTATATTTTTATGTTTTTTTCCAAACTTTAATTTTATTTTCAAAATAATTAATTTAAAAAACTAGGTTAATATATGTGGAATAATAAATTGTGGGTTATATTTTTTTTTTGCATTTCTTAAGAAAGGGTAGAATATTGGATTTAATTGTGATAAAAAGGACGGGTCATAATTTACTTGAATTTCTTTTAAGCAATAAAAATTATAAGAAACACTACCATCACTATTCTCTATTATGGTTGTTGTTAAAATTTCGCCTGGTGATCCATTTATAATAATTATTTCTAGTTGTTTAAAGTTTTCTAAGTTTATGATCTTATTATATCCATAACTTAATACCAAAGTTTTAATTGAATTGTTTATTGGTAAAGAGTCCAGAGTTAATTCTCCATTAAATGCATAACCTAGATCCAAATATTCTAAATTGATTTTATCCACTAAATTTAATTCTTTGGGTGGTTTATTGAAATTTTCAGGCAATGCTAGTACCCTTATAGTCTCTGGTGATGATGAATGGATATCATAATAAAGATCTATATTGCTACATTTAATAACTGTATATGGGCTACTTGCTTTAACTTGATGAGAATAACGAGGATTATTTATTTGAAGAAGTTCTAAACTTTTAGGCAATGATTCTGGTGATAGCTCTTGATCAAAATGTCTACCCAAGATTAGCGTTTTTAAAGCAGCACAGTGTGATAAGGTACCCAAACCAATTTTTTGGTTAAAGGCATTTCCTAAATTAAGATAGGTTAACGATGAAGGGAAAATGCCATCTTCAACTAATGGGGCACCGCCATTGTTAAAATATTTTAGCTTACCTGAATTTGTGGCAAAACTTAAATATACCAATGAGTTGGGGAATATATTTGGGGTGAGCTTTTGATTAAAACCTGATGGGCCATCATTACAGAATATGAGATTCACCAATGTATCTGGTAAAATTGAGGCACCATTCCAATCTACCAAAGATGAAATATTGGTTTGGAGTGTTTTTAGTTTTTTGGGTATTATTTTAGGGTCCATTTCTATGCCTGTTATTAAACCCATATGTTCTAAATTTGGTGGTAATACAGACTCTCCAATTTTTGTTGCCACATATAAACTTAATTTTTTTAAACTATTTGGCAATGGAGTATACAACTCAACCGTTCTAAACTTTAAATCTTCTAATGACTGTGGAAATATATAGGATTCACTGATAATAATGGAACCAAGAATCGATAATAATTCTAAACCCGCTGGAAGGTTTACCTTTGTTTCAAAACTGGGAACTGACATACCAATCTTTAGCCTCTTTAATGTGGATGGAAAAATAATATTATCTTCAAAGAAAACTTTTGATATCGGTTGAATAGAAAGACTCTCTAAATTTTTTGGAAGTAAATCGCCTTTGAGTCTATATTTGTATAAATGAAGTGATAGATCTGTAACTGATTGTGGAATTGTATTGCTATGTATTTCTTTAATAATTTCAGAGTGAACAAAAAGTGTTTTTAAATTCTTTGCAGTGCTAATAATTGACCATTTAAACAAAGTATTGATATGGACACTTTCAACCCAACTTGGTACATTTGAAAAGGATTTACGCATTCCATTAAAACCGATTTCTTTTACATTCCTTGGTATTATTGATTCCAAATTTTCATTGTTAAAACTAATTGTAATGTCATTGAGATACTCTTTATTTTTAAAACTATTAAAAGAATCTAAAGTTTCAAACTCTACACTACAATCCCCAATAACTTTATGAATACGCAACTCTTTAAATATTTTTGAATTTAAATATATATTTCTCCAAATCAAAAAAAACAAATGACTATTATCCATTTTCTTTTATTTATTTATTTATTTTTTTATTTATTTATATTTAATTATATTTTTATTTATTTGTTTTGTTAGTGTGTTTGTGTGATATTTATTTTAAAAAATGATAAAGTGATAAACTATATTTTTTATTAAATTTAAACATTTTAATAAAAATAAATACTATATTTTTTATTACTATTTTTTGTTTGTTTGAAATAAAAAAATAATAAAAAAATTAGAAATTTTTTTGATTTTAAAAAAAATCTTTTTTTTTAATTTTGATTTTGTGTTAAAAATTCTATTTTTTTTTTTTTTGAAGTCTTAACTAAATTTTTTGCAATACTTAGCTGAATATTATTTTCTTTTTTTTTTTTTTTGAATTTTTTGAATTTTTTTCTAATGATAAAAATATAATATATAAATATATATAAATAAAAAATGGTATGATTTATTAAAAACTAAAGTATTTAAAAAAAACAATCACAATAACTAAAATCAATCACACAAATATAACAACCCAAAAAAATATTATATAAAAATTATTTTTAAACAATAACAAAATAATAAATAATAAATAATAAAAAATAAAAAATAAATAATAATAATTTTATAATATTTATTAACCTTTTTTTTTTTTTTTTAATCAACAGGCTAATAATCCAGCTGATGATGAAGAATATAATGAATATAAAATTTTAGTTGTTGGTGATATCGGTACTGGCAAAACCTCAATTACCAGGAGTTTGGTTTACGATACTTTCTCTAAGCGCTATAATCCAACAGTATGGATTAATATAGACAATAATATAAAATATTTTAATTTAATAATCTAATCATTTACCTCTAATTTTAATTTAGATTGGTGTCGATTTTGGTTTAAAGGTTATCAACTGGGATCCAAAAACTGAAGTTAGATTACAACTTTGGGATATTTCAGGTTCAGAAAGGTACATACTAATAAAATAATTAATAATAATAATACGATAAAAGAGATAATATAGACAAATAGATTAGGTAAATTTAAATTATTTTAATTAATATTTATTATTATTATTTTAGATTATCGATCAAGTCACAAATGACAAGAGTTTATTACAATAATGCAGTTGGTGCTATGATTACTTTTGATGTTACCGGAATGAGTACATTCAAAGGAGCTGCTATATGGAAAGCTGGTATCGATCAAGTCACAAATGACTCAAAAGTAAAACCAATTCCAGTTGTTTTATTAGCAAATAAATGGGATTTAGTTAATGAAGGTAAAGATTCTTTCATTAAAACTGAAAATGATATGGATAAATATTGCAAAGATAATGGTTTCATTGGATGGTTTAAAATTTCTGCAAAAGATAATATGAATATTGAAAAAGCTGCTCGTTTCTTAGTCGATCACATTTTAAAGAATGACAACCCCACATTATAATTAATTTTAAAATTATCTAAATATTTCAATATTAAATTCTATTATTTGGTTAATGGTTATTACACCAATTTTATAAAAATATTTGTTTTACTTTTTTTATTTTTTTTAGAAAAATAATGAATTATTATAAATAAAAATTAAATTAAAAAATGATTTATTTCTTTTTTTAAAATTTTAAAAAAAAAAAAATTTTAATTTTTTATTTTATTTTTTTTTTTAATTTTTTTTTTTTCATATTCAAACCTACAACCAACACAAATAACAATACAGAATATACAAATAATTTATATCTCTTCCTTAAATTTAATTTATAAACAATGTCAACAGAAGAAATAAATGATAAATTTAAAAAAGATTTAAATATAGATAATAATAATAATGAAAATGAAAATGAAAATGATAATGAAAATGATAATGATAATTTAGAAAAAGAAGAAGTTAAAATTCAAGAAATCAAACTAAAAGACAAATATAAAACAAATAAGAATGATTTAGACGAAGCAAACCAATTAAAATCCAAAGGTAATCAAACATACACATCTGGTGATTATCAGGCATCATTAGAACTATATAATGAAGCCATTTCAATTTTAAAGAAAGAGGAAGAGACTGGTTACGAAGACGATCAACATGAAACAAACGATGAAGACAATAGCGATAATGAAGGCCACACAACAACCACCACATCAACTACAAATAAAAAACCAAAAAGTAAAATTATTGAAATTAGAGAGAATACTGAAGATGATGTTTTACCATGTTTTGAAGAACTATCTATTCTTTATAGCAATAGATCGGCATGTTATTTAGCATTAAAGAAATATGACTTTGTAGTCAAAGATTGTAATATAGCATTAGAGTACGAACCAACACCATCACCAATTAAAATAAAGATTTTACACAGAAGAGCACAAGCAAGAGAACAATTAAATAAATTAAAAGATGCATTAGAAGACTATCAAGAGATTTTAAAATTAGATCCATCATTTCCACAAGCAGTCCAAGCCAATAAAAGATTACCCCCAAAAATCAAAGAAAAAGAGGATAGAGAAAGAGAAGAGATGATGGGTAAATTAAAAGACCTTGGCAATACTATTTTAGGTAAATTTGGTTTAAGTACTGACAATTTCCAATTTGTTAAAGATCCAAACTCTGGTGGTTATAGTGTTAATTTTAAAAAATAAATAAACCAAACATAAATAAAAAAATAATGTTGTGTTGCGCGCCTATAAAGTCAAATTTTAAATTTTTTTAATACATAAAATACACATAAAAAAAAAACAACTAAATAATTTTATTTTTTATTTAATAATATATGTTATTACATTTATTTATTTGATATTGTTATTAACTTTTCTTTTTTTTTTTTGTTTTTTTTTTTGTTTTTTTTTTAGTCTTTTTTTTTTTTTTTTTTATTTACAGCAGCTTGGACCAGATGGAGTGGCTTGTGGTTGTTTATTTAAATCGACAGCGTCGTTATCTTGTAATGGTTGATTTCTTCTAATGTCATTCTTTAAAATGTGATCGACTAAGAAACGAGCAGCTTTTTCAATATTCATATTTTCTTTTGCAGAAGTTTCAAACCATCCAATGAAACCATTATCTTTGCAATATTTATCCATATCATTTGCAGTTTTAATGAAAGCATCTTTACCTAAATCGCATTTATTAGCTAATAAAACAACTGGAATTGGTTTTTCTTCTGGGCCATAAGTAACTTTTGAATCGATATCAGCTTTCCATTTAGCAACTGCTTCGAATGTACTCATTCTGGTAACATCAAAAGTAATCATAGCACCAACTGCTTCTTTGTAATAAACTCTTGTCATTGATCCAAATCTAAAATAATAATAATAAATATTAATTAATATCATTTAATTTTACCTAATCTATTTGTCTATATTATCTCTTTTATCGTATTATTATTATTAATTATTTTATTAGTATGTACCTTTCTTGACCTGCAATATCCCAAAGTTGTAATCTAACTTCAGTTTTTGGATCCCAGTTGATAACCTTTAAAGCAAAATCGACACCAATCTAAATTAAAAATTAAAGGTAAATGATTAGATTATTAAATTAAAATATTTTATATTATTGTCTATATTAATCCATACTGTTGATTTATAGTGCATAGAGAAAATGTTGTGAACAAAACGCTTGATAATTGAGGTTTTACCAGTACCGATATCACCAACAACTAAAATTTTATATAAATATTCATTATATCCTTCATCATCAGCTGGATTATTGGCCTGTTGATTAAAAAAAAAAAAAAAAGGTTAATAAATATTATTAAATTATTGTTTATTGTTATTTTTTGTTATTTGTGTAAAAAATTATTCGTTAAAAAAAAAAAAAATCTTGATTTTTATTAGGTCCATATTTATTTTTTTATTTTTTTTTTTATTTCTTTAATTTATTTGATCCCTTTGTGGAAAGGAATTTATTTTTTGGGTTGTAAACAAATTATTTATTTATTATTTTGATTATCTTTTTTTTTTTTAAAGATTTTTTTTTTTTTTTTTGTGGGGGTTGTTATATTTGTGTGATTGATTTTAGTTATTGTAAATATTTTTTTTAAAAAGATATTGTTAACAATATTACTATTTTAGCTATAAAATAAATCATACCATTTTTTATTTATAGTTTATATATATTATATATTTATCTTTAGAAAAAGAATCCAAAAAAAAATTAAAAAAAAAAAAAAAAAATAAATAAAATATTATTAAAGAAAATAAAAAAAAAACAATATTTAACGCTGCAAAAAAAAAAAAAAAAAAAATATAAAATAAAATAAAAAAAGAGTTATATTTTATAAAAAAAAAAAAAAATTGAAAAAAAATTATTTAAAAAAAATTATTTTAAAAAATAGTTTAAAAAAAAAGAAAAAGAAAAATAACTTTCTTTGTGATATACATTTTTTTATATTTATTTTTTTATTTTTTTTTTAATATTTATTTATTTACCCATTGGGAAAATGATTTTTTTTTTTTTTTAAATTTTCAAATAGGTTAATTAATCTATAAGTAAACAACAAATAGTAATAAAAATAATAAAAATAATAAAAAAATATATGATAACCACTTTTTTTTTTTTTTTTTTTTCAAATAATAAAAATAAACTAATCATTTCTCTGGTTTTTTTTTTAATATTAAATTTTATTTAAAATGTCACAATCTAAATTTTTGAGTTGGTTTTGCATTTATAAAAAAACTGTTGTAGATTTGAGAAAAAAATGTGGTCAAAAAAAAAAGGAAAAGAAAAATAAAAGTAAAGAGAATTTACTTTTGAAATCTGATCGCTGGAAGTAAAAAAAAGGGTGATTTAAATCAAAATAAACTTTGAAAAATAACTTTTTTTTTTTTTTTTTTTTAATTTAAAAAAATTTACAAAAATTTATTTATTTCCCTTTAATGTTGATTATTGATTGATTGATTGATGAAAGTTTGTTTGTTTGTTTTTTAATTCATTTTTTCTTCTTCTTCAACCAAAACATCTTTAAGAGTATATTTATGAGTTGTGGCTAATGGACCTTGTTTAATAGAAGAGACTGGAGTAGTGTTTGCTGGGAAAACATATGCCAAGTTATTTCTAAATTTACGTTCATTTGGAGTTTGGTAGTTTCTTAATACAGTGACACCAGAGTTTTCAATGACAGTAACATCACAATTACTACCTGAACCTAAATCATTAAAAATACCACTACTAATAGCTTCAGCAACTAAATCAATAGCTTCTTGTTTCTAAAATTAAATATTAATAGGGTTAGTTTTGAGAATTTAAATTTTGAGAAGATATTGATTGTGTTATACATACATTCATATTTGATTTATATTTTGCTTCAAAAACAGCCATAGCAGCTAAAGAACCAGAACCCATAGTAACATATGGTAATTGATCTGTACTACCGTGTGGATAAATAGTGTGTAATGATGGACCATTGATATCGATACCACCTAAAATTAAAGCTGCACTGACGTGACCTTGATATTTGAATAACATTTGTTTTAACATGGTAAGAGCTGTAGTAACACGTGTTTGTCTACCAGTTGATAATTTATGTAATTTTAATTTGGAGCTGATGAGTGCAGTGGCATTTTCAGTATCTGCAGCTGTACCAGCACCACAACAAAAAATATTATCAGCGATATAATGAATCTTTTCACAATTTTTATCTGCAACAATTGGACCTTCAGTAGCACGAGTATCTGCACCTAATACTACACCACCTTCGTATACTACACCAACAATTGTAGTACCTGTTTTTTTAAAACCTTTCATTTTCATTCCAGTTTTATCTAAAACATTGTTTCTATTTAAATGCATTGTATAAGTTTTTTTTTTTATATGTTTGAATTGAATTGATTTGATTTGAATCGATTTGATTTGAATTGAATTGAATTGATTTGATTTGAGTAGATTTAAATTGAATTGATTATGTTTGAATTGGTTTATTATAGTAATGATAGTGTTGTTTTATTATTTGTGTTTGAATAGATGGTTTAATAAGTTTTAATAAAAAAATTTAAATTAATATGTGATGATTAAATAAAAAGTTTTTTTTTTTTAAAGTATCAATATTTAAATGGTTCATACCTGTGTGATAATTCGAAATCAAAACCACCTCTATTTAAGTGTTCCATTTTGTTTTATGTATCTGTATATATATATATTTAAAAAAAAAAAAAAAAATAAATAATTATGTTGTGAAGAAAAAAAATTAAAAATTTAAATTAAAAAAAAAAAAACAAGTTCACTATTTTTTTTTAAATAAAAATTAAAAAAAAAAAAAAATTAAAAAAAAATTAAAAAAAAAAATAAAAAAAAAAAATAAAAAAAAAAATAAAAGAAATAATTTATAAAATAAATACAAAATCAAATAATGATAAAACCAAACCATTGATAATATTATTTATACTTTTAAAATTTGAATAATACTTTATTTTTGTTTTTTTTTTTATTATTTTTTATTTTTTTTTTATAAATAGTTATATAAATAATAATAATGATGGAATATAATTTTTTTTTTTTTTTTTTTGATAATTTTTTTTTTTTTTTTTTTGATTTTGGGGTTAAAGTTACTTATTGGCCGCACCAACAGAATTGTTTGAAGTACATTGTTGACAAGTTGGTTTGTTATTTTTACCAATTGTAAATGGAGAGCTATGCTTTATAACAACTTGACAGCTTGAGCATTTAAAGCATTTTGGATGGAAATTACCAAAGTTTGGAACAAACATTGAATTACCCAATACAACACCGTTACAGAATGGACATTTATCAACTCTACCACTATATAAGCAGCTGTTGCAGCAATAGTTACTGGATGTAGATGTCATAATTTCTCTGGAAAAGTTTGAGCCTCTTATCAAATCCTTACAAATACTACATTTAAAACAATTATTATGGTATTTTTCTTTATCAATAATAATAACATCTTTTAAAAAAAAAAATTAATAAATAAATATATTATTAAATTAAAACAATAAAATAAAATATAAAATATAAAATTTAATTACTTACTGTCATGTTCAGATAAAAATTTGAAACAGGAGTTACAGAAACCTAAAGAATCTCTATTTTTCTTTTCCCTATCATTTAAAATGATTTGACATTTTGCGCAATAAATTTCATTTGTTTTCGGATCGGTGAAATAAGGATCTTTGATGACGTCTTGACATAATAGACAGTGGAAACATGATGGATGATATGAATCATTAAGATGATTAATTAATGTAACACCAAAGATTTCTAATTTACATGATTTACATTTCATACCAGAGGATTGAATGGTGGTAATGGTTCTTGTAGTTACTTTATCATTTGGGTTACCTACATGGGTTTGATGGGATTGATATTGGGTTTGTTGGTGATGTTGATGGTTGTGTTGATGATGGTTATGTTGATGTTGATGTTGATGTTGGTTGTGTTGATGTTGATGTTGATGTTGGTTATGTTGATGGTTACGTTGATGTTGGTTATGTTGATGAGGATGTTTATTATGATCATTGCTGACATATGATTTGGAAAATTGTCTTATTCCACCAGCATTACTGTTGTCTATATCAGAAATGAAGGCATTGTGTTCAGTTGTGGTATGGTATGATTGTGATTGAGGTTGGGAGTTAGAATGATGATGGTGATGAGATTCTGAATGTGTATGGGTGTGTGGTTGGGAATGAGAGTGATTGTGATGATGATGGTCTTGATCATGTTTTTGAATGTTTTGGTGGTCGTGGTGGTGATGTGGATGATGTTCATGTGAATGGTGGTGATGTGGATGGTTTTCATTTACATGATCTAGTTTTGAAATATTTTCAACCTCGATTTGTGGAGTTTGGACTATATGGACAGCATTGACAATAACTGGTTCGTTTATAATTTGATCTTCAATATTCTTTTGGCACGAATCTACATGTGGTACTGATGACTTGTTATCTTTACCAAAATGTATATCTACATTGAAATTTAAATCTTTTTTTGAATGATCTTGATCATGATCAAGATGATCATGACTGTGGTCATGTTGGGTTGCACCATCATTGTTATCCTTTTTACCAAATGTAAAATCTACATCTAGTTGAATTGCTTTTTTCTTATCTGGGGCTGAGTTACTACTATTTGATGTGGTTAGGGTATTGTTGCTATCATCATTATTGTTACTGTTGTTTTTATTTATTTTTTTTTGCTTTCTTAATTCTCTTCTCTTTTTTCTTTTTGATTCATGGTCAGAGTCATCGCTACTGCTTGAAGAGTCATGAACAGAAATATCACTTTCAGAATCAGATGATGAGTGATCGTGATAGTTTTCACTATTTTCATATCCGAGATTGTTATTGGTACTTGTTTTAATATTATTTCTAGGAGAGGATGATCTGTGGTCACCAATTACAACAGGAGGTTCAGCATTTGAATCAGTATTGTTATTTGGAGAAAGAGTGTTTACATTAGAGTTTGATGGGTATGAAGCTAGGGATGGTTTGGTTGAATGGTAATGATGGTGATGGTGGTGTATATCTTTAGATTGTGGTTTGATATCTTGTGATAAATTGTCACAGTTATTGTTATAATTGTTATTATTGTTATTATTATCATTATTATTGTTATTGGTATTGTTATCAATATTACTGTTGTTGGATTTGTTTTGTAATTGATTAATATTTTTTGGTTCATTTTCATTTTTAGGTTTTGAAACTAAAAATTCCATTGAATTTAAAATATCATCTAAAGAATTATCAAATGAGGTGGATCTATGTTGTTTGTTTTCATTATGGCCATTGTTATTGTTATTGTTATTATTGTTATTGTTATTATATTCAGTGGATGGTTTATCAACAGCTACAAATGAGGCTTTCTGTGGTATTGACGATGAAACAGATATTTGAGCAACGATTGGGTTGTTAACTTGAATGGTTTGTTCTTGAATTGGGGGGTTTTCATCATCTGTTAAATGGTGATGATGGTGATGATGGTGTATATGGACGATTTCTTTTTCTGGTTTTGAATCACTATCTTCAAATTTAATATTTACAATAGGGATTTCATCGGCACCATTTTTGAATGTATCATTACTGGAATTTTTCAATGAAGGATCATTTGATGAAGAGTTGGAATTGGAACCTTGGCTTTTATAAATTGATGATGAGCTATCACTCTTTGGGATATTACCTTTAAATTCATTCTTATCATTTGATGAGCTTATACTTGTATCACTTGTACTCTTTTTAATATTGTTACTATTTTTTAATGAAGCCGAATTGTTATCATTGGAATCGTTTTCATTGTTTTTATTAGAGATGTTATTACCATTGTTGTTAGGGTTATTATTATTGTTGATATTAGTTGGTGGCTTAACTACATTATTATTAGTATTGTTACTACTACCGGTTTCGATATTATTTTTAGATGGCCCATTAAATGTTCTAGCTTGTTTATTTTGAGCGGCTTGTTTGGAGAATGGCTTTTTCTTGAATACTGGTTGGTTTGTTGGATCCCCTGGTCTTGGCTTTTTGTAATCTAGTTCACAATATGGAAGTTTGTTAATTTCGAAATAGACATCTGATAAACTTTTCCCACAGTCAAAACAAACAAAGCAAGTTGGATGATAATGAAAACCAAATACAAAAATAGTTTCACCTTCTACCCTAGTATTACACTTTCTACAAGTAAAAAGCATTTTTTATTTATATTTTTTTTTTAAATATTTTTATTTATTTATTTATATTACAATACAATGTTTTAAAACTAAAAGGATTACAATAAAATAAAAAAAGAAATTTGAAAAGTGAAAAAAAGATAAGGTTTTTTTTTTTTTTTTTTTTTTTTTTTTTTTTTTTTTTAAAAAAAAAAAAAAAAAAAAAAAAAAATTTTTTGGGGAGGGTTTAAAAAAATTTTTTATATTTGTAAGGGGGGGAAAATTTTAACATTTCCAATTGGAAAATTAAAAAAATTTTTTGTTGTTAATATAATCAAAAAAAAAAAAAAAATATTAAAAACAATAAAAAAAAAAAAAATTAAAAATAAAAATATTCACACACAACACACTGGAGTTCAAAAAAAAACAACTCTCACCAAGATTAAACGTATACCCACCTTAACACAATAGAAATATTTACCACTCCAAAAAATATATTTAAGGTTATATATATATTTATATAAAAATATATATATTAAAATAAGTTATAACTAATTATTTTTTAACACCCACAAAAACACACCAAACCCACTAATTTTTTTAAAAAAAAAAAAAAAAAGTTAATTTTGACACCACACTCTAACACACTTAAAAAAAGGTATATTAAAATATTTCTATTATTGTTGTTATGTTTTCAACCTCGCAAAATCTGGATTTGATTCAATATAGTTTTGATCCACATGTAATTATTTATAAAACATTTAAGAAAATTTTTTTTAAAAAAAGAACTCTTAGTAATTTTTTTTTTTTATATGCTTTATTTACATTATTATAATTTATTAAAATAAATTATTTTAAACAACTATACTATATTGGGGGTTATAGATTATTACACATTAATTATAATTATTATTGTTATTTTGTTATTATTTATTATTGTTGAAAATTAAAATATTTAATTATTTATTTGTTTTAGTTTCTTTTTTGATGTTTCTTTTGTTTCATAATCTGATGAGTATTCAGATGATTCGCTTTGTTGTTGTAGATCTGGATCTATATCATCTTGTAAAATTTCTTCTTCTTCTTCTTGTTCATCGTTTGTGGTTATATTTTTATTTTCCTCTTCACTGTTTTGGATATTATCTTCCTCTTCTTCGTCCTCTTCCTCTTCGTCCTCTTCCTCCTCACTACTGACATTTTTGGATGGTCTTCTTCTTTTCTTTGTTGTTGGTTTTCTACTGAATTTTAATTGTTGCTTTTTCATATTCTTTTTGGATGATCCAGTTTCAATATCCATATTTGAAATGGTTTGGAATTCGATTGTATCGTAAATATTCTTTATGATTTCAATATGAATGTAATCGTTTGGGAACACAATTCTCTTTTTTAATATTTCAATTGATGACTTTTCAGAGAGTTTTGAACAAAGGAATTGAATAATTTCTAAAAATTCATCCATTTTATCGACTGTAGGGTTTTTGAGTGCAAAATTTAAAAAGTGTTCAATAGAGTCTTTGAGTGTGTTTTCATTCTTGATGTAGTCATTGATTAAATACTGACAAAGTGATCTAAATCTGGAGAACATATGATGTTGAAGTTCTTTATTTGTTGAAATTTCTTCGCTGATACAGATTTTATGGAAATTTGCAATAACTTCACAAAAAATATCGAGTTCTACTTTTGGATTGCTTTGAGGTTTTTCTTTAATAAATTCTCTAATTAAATCGGTACATGGTTTACTTGATGAAATTGCAATTTGTTCGAGTAATGTTCTTAGTAGAATTTCAGAGGTAAATGAAAATCTAATTGAGTTGCAAATGGTAATAGCAAGCTCCTCCATTCTCTTAGAGTATTTATTATCAAAAACAAAACTATTTACCATTTCAATATCTGATTCTAAAATTTGATGTTCAATAATATTTCCATCAGTATCGGTGTCATCTCTTTCAGAATTTGTTGTTGGAGCAGCTGTAGTATCATCATCGGTAGTAACTGCGGCACCAGTATCACTCTTTTTTGTCTTTAAAGCTGTTAATCTCTTTGATCTATTTTCAATTGCTATTTTCTTTTTCTCTAAATTTGATTGTTGAGTTTTTAAATATTCAACTTTTAATAATTTAATAGAATATTCATTTTCTAGTAAAAAAAAAAAAAATTAGTATAAAATTTTTATATCTATTTTAATATAATAACTATTATCTACATACCTGTTTTAATTAAATCTTCAATTGTTTTTGCTAATAATTTTTCAATTGGTAAGCCAATATTATAGTTATTGAGATTGGTTAAGCTTAAAACTGGTGAAAAAATTGAACGGGTGTCAACCAATGTTGTGTATATCTATTTTAAAAAAAAAGGATATTAATATTTTATATATTTTTAGGAAAAAAAATATTAAATGGATACTTACAAAATGTTTAAGTGTGTGGGTAATATTTGAATTTTTTAAATGTGATATTGATCTTGAAACAAAGAGATAGAATGATTGGATGACATCTAGATCAGTTGGGTTGATATGATATGATTTTTCAGGAATGGCTCTAAAGAATGACCATATTAATAGTTGTGAAGTGATACTGAGTGAGTGCATGATAATATTATCAGAGTCATCTTGAGTTTCAACTTCAATACCATGAATATCACCTCCTGTAAAGCTATGAATAAGACTTGCATACTTTTCATCGCTGAAATAAAAACGTTTACCTAAGCTATCTAGTTTTCTAAGGGTGACAATGACTTGGAAAATTTGATCTTCTTGTTGATTTTGGTCATCAGTACTTGGGATGATTTGAGAGGATTGAGGAGGTCTGATTTTAGCTAAACGTAAAGTATCAACAAGTTCATTGTGTAAACTATGAAGGGCATTCTTTGATGCAGTTTCTAATTGTGATGGGGTTTTACCATTGTTGATAAGATGATCAAGAGTTTCAGAGATTACATTAATTAGTTCGATTCTTGGTTGTGTTAAAAAAATTGAACAGATGGCTTCTAATAATTCTGTATATTTAGATTGGGCTCTTAGAGTAACATAACAATCCAATACAAAGTATTTTGCAATTTCGATTAGACCTTGAGATATGACTGAATCTGCTCTATATTGTGTAATTAATTCTGGTAATATGTTTAAGAAATTGGTGGTTACTTGGTTACAAACTTCTTCATCTAATAATTCTTCAGGGTCAATTTGTTGTTGTGGTTGTTGGTCTTCTGTGATTTCTTCTTCATTTTCACTATCACTTTCATCATCAGATTTTTTTGAAGAGGCTGGTTTTCTACCTGTTTTTCTACCTGGTTTTCCTTTCTTTTTTGGGGTTGGTGGTGCTTGTTGAGTATTTGCTTGTGTTGAAGCAACATCAGTTGTTGTAGCAATTAAATTATTGGTTGGTTTACTTGAACCAAATAATCGATATTTATCTCCAGTTGCAATTCTAATGGATGAGTTTAAAAAGTTTATAATAATACCTAGTTGTTTATCGGATATGTTCTTTGATTCAATTGATTCCAAATAATCTACCCAGAAAGACCAATCTACAAATAAATCTTTAGCTTTAGTTTCCCATAATGCAAGAACTAAATAATAAGGAATGTCAGAGTGAGCAGTCTTTTCTAAAAACTCTAATAGGATATTTAATTGGTTTTCTCTGAGATGAAGAATTTGTGAGCTTGATTTTTCCTCGTCACTTTTTTTTTTCTTGGCACTAATGACCGAATCAATTTTTTCTTGAACACCAGATAAAAATTTATTGAAAATTAATGAACCTGCAGCCTTTGAGATGTCTGGATGATCAATTTGATAAAGTTTGCAAACCTTTAAGACATCAGGTTCGTCCAAGAAGTCATATGGGGACATAGTTGAAACTAAATGTATACCTTCGACGGTAATGGCTGGAATTTTGTCACTAAAAGCAATTTCTATGATTCTATGTTTGAAACGTTGTGAAAAATAGTCAAATTTATTTGCGTTATCACCATCGGCAAAAAGAATTGAAAGGCCACGAACAGCAGCCAAACGAGGTTCAGTTGCAAAATCGTTTAAAGCCCAACCAAAATATTTGAGGCATTCATTGTTTAATAGTTTAAAGGAGTAACGGAGGATCCAAAGTGGCAATGGAACTAAACACATACTACGGATTTCAGGTAAACTATCTTTGAAACGAGTGTGAAATAAATTTTTAAAAAATTCCATTATAAAATCGTCGAGAACTTTGAGTTTTTTTCTAATATTTGTTTGATTTTCTTTTAATTGTTTATGACGATTTGTACTTGATGTTTCTGCACCTAATTGTCTTGAGACTGCATTGAGTTGATTTCTAAGATTAATAGCAATTTCAATCATTGAGGTGGTGATTTGAATAGCAGCCAATGTGGAGGCGTATCTTAATCCACGTCTTTTACCTTGTGCAGTTTCGATGAGCCATAGTACCAACATATTTAATAAATAACCATCAAAAAGTATGGATTCTTGATTCTTAATAATTATTTGTAACCAAAATTCATTAAAGTTCTCCAAGAAATTCTTTGATCTCTTACTGCTTAATGGAAATTGAACAGAGTCTTCTTGATCGCAAACTATTTTGGCTGCTTTATTAATTGGATAGTCTTTAAATTGTTTAAATGTAATAGTTGTAACTGCACCAGCACAATCGAAAATTAATACCAATAAATTCCAAACTGCTTGTTCTGCATCACTTTCATATTCTTGAATCCATTTATCTAAAACTTTATCTATATTTGTTTTTTTTTTAATAGTTTCTATATTTAATTTAATGAATATATTAATAAAAACAGTTGGTTTTTATTTTTTTATTTATTTATTTTTTAATTTTAATTTACCATATAACCCAATTTCACCCTTTTTTCTTCTGACTACTTTTTTTTTTGTTATGGTTGTGTCATCAACGTTTGAATCCGAAGTTGTCGATTTTTTTTTACCTGCCATTTATATACAGATAATTTAAAGATATAATATACAATATAAAATATAAATTAAAATTATAAAAAAAAAATTAAAATAAAATTAAAAATTTTTTTTTTTTTTTTTTAAAAAAAATTAAAACATTTTTTTTTTTTTTTTAGCGCGAAATTGTATATTTCCGGGTAACACACAATTAATTGCATTAAATATCACAATGTTTTATCATTCAACATGTTTTTTCCCTTTATAAAAACTCATAAAAAAATAAATAAAAAGAGTATTTATAAATATATAAATACTTAATAAAAATTCATAAAAAAAAAATAAAAAAAGTATAAATTTATTAATAGGTATTTATAAATATATAAAATATATTATTTATAAATATTTATATATATAAATTTATAAATAAATAAATAACTTATCAAGAAATTATTATGTATCTTTTTTTGTTAAGATTAATATTAAAATTTTAAGACACATTAAAAAAAAAAGTATATTAAATTTAATATGTATAAAATTTATTAATAATTTAAATAATTCCTTAAATAGATTAGTTGTCTATTGAATCATTAGTGTTTTCATAATTTAATATGATTATTATAGATACAAAAAAAATAAAAAAAACATACAATACTTTTTTACAATAACTGTTTTTTATATATATTATATACATTATGTATAAATTTGGTAAATAATTTAAAAAAAATTATTATTTTAAATCCCCACACAAGCTACTCACACAAACACATAGTCCATATAATTTTTAAATAAAATTGTATGAATAAATTAACCCTCTTACATATAAATACCTGTATAACCCCATTTCACACAACATTAATTAATTATTTCACCCCCACATTATTTTTTTCATATATACAGCATTTATAATATCTAACTGCCTTGATATTTATATCAATACCAGCTCTCCACACGACACCCATTATTCCTTTTTTTTTATTTTTATTATTAATTATTAAAAAATTATTTATTTATGGATGGTATCGTATAAATAATAAATTTTTTTTTTTATATTATGTCAATTAATTATAAAATTTATATATATCTTACTTATTAATTAGAATCATATGGAAAATATTTTCAATTATAATAATAATATTATTAGTTTTCTAAATAACAGTTTTTTTAATAATAATAATAATAATAATAATAATAATAATAACAATAACTTTGGGGATAATTTAATAATAAATGAAAATGAAATAGCAAATAATGAACAATTAAATAATAATAATAATCATAATCATAATAACCATAATAACCATAATATTAATCTTAATAATAATAATACTAATTATAATGAAACAAATAGAAATATTATCAATTCTTTAATAGAGTTAGTAGCCTCAAAAGATCCATGGGTAGATTTTTTGTCAATTCAGTTAAACTTTGTTGTTCCAATCGATGTTTCAATTGAAATATTCAATTTCATACACTCGCCAAACTGGAAGCTAAGATACTTTGCCGTTGTATACCATGCACAATATTTTAACTACAAGTTCAATCATAATATTAATCTTAAAGAATATATTGCTTTCATTACCGAATTATTCTTTGATGAAAATGATATTGTCTTTAATAAAATAGAGTGCTACAGGGAAAATCATATTCATCATATTATAAACCCATTATTTTACAGTATTATAAATGACAAAAGAGTAATTATAGATATATTAATTAATAAAACCCCGTAATACTAATATTAATTTTATTTATTTATTTAATATTTAGTTTAGTGAATGGAAGAAATCTAAACATGAAAAATCTTTAAGTTGCTTTAAATTCTTTATAAATAAAAGAACTCCAAAGCTCGTTAAGTTTATTGAAAAGTCTTTAATGGAAGAAATTAATGAAATTGTTACAAAAGATAGTTTAAATTGGTATCAAACCTATTTTTATAACAAATATTTTCAAAATAACTCAGCTCACTACTGCAACGAAGTATGTGATCAAGAATGTAACGAGTCATTAATTAAAGAAATATTTTTATTTGAATTAAATAAACTTTCCAGTAAATTAAATAGAAAAAATCAAACACATATTAATAATAGTAATATTAGTATAGGTAATAATAGTAATGACAGTAATAATAAAAACATACCAGTATTCAATGATTACATTTTAAAAGTAATAATAGAGCAATTAATAATTATAAATCATATTAATGATTACAAGTTAAGTGATCATATTTCAGTCTGTAAAATGAACTTTGTTCCAGTTGCTTTAGTGTCCAAGAAATTCTTTAAAATATTATCAAATGTATTATCAAACACCGAGTTCTTATGGTATAAACAAATCGATTACAAAAGTGAATTTAGTATTGTAAAAGAGCCACCATTATTTATGGATTATGATTCCATTAAATTAATTGACTATAAAAATATCGAAGATCAGTTTTCCAAAGTGAAACATTTTTATATACAAACTCAAACTACAACCGATGGCTGTTCAGTCTCAAACATGTATCCAAATTATTTCCACAGCTGTAAATACCCAGGGCCAAGATGTAATGAAAACCACGGTCGTAGAGAAGTAGAGTATTTAATATTCCCAGCCAAAATGCCACAGTTAAAAAAGTTAACATTAAACGGTTTCTTAAAATACGACAATGTTCAATTACTCGTTAACCATATTTCTTGCTGGTCCATGACTCCATCAACTCTAGAGTATTTAGAATTCACTATCAAGGATAGCTTTGGTTGTTGCTCCACTAAATCATCCCAAAACTATAACTTTTTATCAAATATATTAAAGAATCATTCAAGTTCACTCAAAAAAATTGTAATTAACTATGAAAGCAATTTTTTTTATCAAGATATGCTCAATTTCTTCAATATAGTTGAACCATTTATCAGCTCAATACAAATCGTTCTAAATATAGTTAATTTAAGATACATCAATTGTTTAGTATCCAATATTATTCAAGAAAATGACAGGCTTGTATTAAAAATCTCAAATAGTGCAAATCATGAATTAATGGGACTTTTTTCAAAAATCAATTCCTACATATATACCAATAATTTTATAATTAAAAAAATGGTTAAATAAAATCTTTTTCTTATTTTTATTTATTTTATTACAAACCTCATCCCATAATTTTACCACATTGCTATTTTTTTTTAATTTTACTTTTTATTTTTATAATATTTTTTTCAATATTTATTTAATAGAGATATTTTTAAAAATAGATGCAGGGTTTATTAATTAGTTTTTAAATAAAGATGAAATAAATAATAGACAAAATTATTGGAAGAATTGATAGCATTGAAATCATTGATAATGAATTTAGTGCTGATGAATTTGGTGAATTAAATACTACTAAATTGTATACACTTGAAAAACCTTTTGCTTTTCTTTGTACAACAATTGCTAAACTTGTTTGAACTCTTGGGTTTAGACCTGTAAAAGTGGCACTTGCTTCATTGTCACCATTATTTTCAATACGTTGTTTATTTTCACTTGCAAAATATTTAACACCACATGCTGAAAATGGGAAAATACCTTCTGGTCTTTCACCATCATAGGTATAAATAGTGTATATATCATTTGGATTACCAGTTTTATAAAAACTAATTGTACCTGATTTACCTCCATTAGTTAGTTTGACGTCAACTGCGCCTTCCCTTGCTGGAACTGGGTAGTAAGGTGTTACAACTATATAAAATTATAATTAGTATTTGGTTTTATTTATAACAAATAAGGTAGTATAACTTACTTCTTTCTTCATCGGAGCTAATTAAAATAGAATATTCTGTCGATAAAGGGTTGTTTTTAAATTTATAATCTTCTATTCCTTTAATTGCAACATATCTAAAATTGTATAAGTATATTAAAATAATCAATAATTATTAAGTTTAAAACTTACATGATTGTTCCTGGTGGGAAAGCTTTGATATTTGTTCCTAATGCCTTTACAGATGGGTTCCATTGGCCATAATAATTTGATTTTTTAGGATCGATAATCAGTTCATTTATACTAATGTAAATATCAAATGCACCGAAACATGATGTTACTGTAATACCTGTTGCGGTTTCATTTTTTAAAACGAAATAATGTACAGTTGCATTATCTGTTGATTTTTCTATGTGTCCATATACTTCAACTGAATCTGGTACCTCTATTCCTTCAATCTTCTTATCTTGACAATAACAAAGATTTATTGAAATTATAAACAATAAAAATATAGAAACAAAAAGTTTCATTATTAATTCTCTTTAACAGAAAAATTATGATTAATTAAAATAGGAATTAAAATTTTATTTTTATATTTTTAATTATATATTTTTATTTTAAATTTTCTAATTTCTTTTTTTCTTTTTTCTATTTTATTATATTATTTAAATCTTATTAAAAAAAATTTTATTATAAAATTAAAAATTAGATTTTGATTAAAATTTTAACAAAATCCAATTATTTTTTATTTATTTTTAAAATATTTATTTATTAATAAAAATAAATTATAGTAAACTTTTATTATTTATAAAAATATTCACTCTTTAAAAAATAACTCATCAAATTTAAAATTAATTTTTATCTATGTAATTTAATTAAATTTTTTTTATTTTTTAAATTTATATCTTTAATCATGATTTATACATTTGTTTTTTTATAAAATATTGATTTTGATACAAAAAAAAAATTAAATTGGTGAAAAATGGGGTGGGATATTAAAAATGGGGAGTTAGAAAAAAAAAAATAAAAATTAAAAAAGGGTGGTAAAGTGATTTTTTTTTCGAAAAATATATATTTTATTTTATTCTTATTTTTTTTTTTTTTAAAAATAAATCGTAGACTAAAGTATTAATGTATATGGTTTTTTATAAAAAAAAATAAATAATTATAAATTATAAATTTATTTTTTTGGTTTTTTAAATCAATAAATGTAATAGAATCAAATTAAAATTATTAGTGTTCTTTTTCTCTTTTTTTTTTATATTTTTGAAAGTTTTCGAAAATCATTTAATCGTTTTTGGAATATATTTATATGGGATAGTTATCTTTTAAAATCAAATTAATATTATAAAATTAATAAAAAAATAATAAAAAGACATCACTACCATCATCATTTATTTGTTATGATAAAAGAGGAAGAACTATAATGATTTTTTTAATTGAATTTAATTTGTAAAAAAAAACTTATTTGTAAAAATTAAACAAAAGAAAATAAAATTATTTTGTGATTTAATAGATATTAGGAAGTGTGTGTTAAAAGATAACAATATTGGATTTTTTTAGATCTAAGATTCCATTTATATGTATTGGAAAAATAGTTTTTAAAATTACCACACTTAATGTATTTAAAAATTACATTTTTTGTATTTTTTGATAAAACATTTCATAAATTCAATTAATGTAATATTAGATATTAATAGTTTTGATGTTATCTCTTCACTTTTAGAGGATTATGATTTTTTACAATAATAAATATAAGAAATTATAAAATAAAGAATTTTTTTTTTTTTATTTTTATTTTTATTTATTTTTAAAAGATGATGGTTTTATATATAATGTAGTTTTTAATTATAAATACATTATTGTTTAATTTATAATATAATTTATTTATGATCTGTTTTTTTTTTTTTTTTTTTTACCACTATTATCGAATTTATGATTATTATTTGTTAAAATTAGTATTTTTTAAACTTTTTGAACAACTATTTATTTCTTTTCATCTGATAGATTAACAGACATATTTAATTGGTCAATAAGATTTCCTAATGTACTATCTAAAGTTGTATTGTTGCTGATATTTGTATTACTAGTTATATCTATATTAAATTTATGAATTTTTGAAAATCCAACATATTTGATTAAATGATTATATGCTAAAGACATTCTCTTATTATCAAAGATTGATTCGTCTGGGAAGAAAAGTTTTGAAGACACTATAAGAATAAATCTCTTTTTTGAACGAGTAAAACCAACATTTAAACGATTGAGGTCAAAGCTAAATTCCGATATACGATTAATTTCATCAAAACCATTGTAACATAAAACCACATTTTCAAATTCTTTACCTTGTGTGACTTCGACAGTGTTGACAATGGGACTAACTTCGGTACCCAAATTAAATTCTTTTGATTGCACGTTGTGAATGATTGGGATGATTGTATTTCTTTGAATGTGAAGAGGGGTAATAACACCAAGAATTAAATCTTTTCTCCAAAAATTGGTTTCTAAATCTTCCTCTGATATTGGAATACTGCCATCAAATACTGTTTTTTCGGTGGTTGGTCTATTATTGTAATCATTTCTAAGGAATTTATAAATTTGTTTAACAATTTGTGCTTCTAAATCTCTATTTCCAAACTGTGAATCGTCTAAAAGAATGGTATGACATGAATCGTTGCTATTGAAAATTGACTGAATTAATTCATTACCTGCATTATCACTATTGTTAATTGTAACTAAAGGTTTGATTTGTTCTTGGTCTTCTTTGAAGCATTTGTAATCTTGGCCGTATAGGTTTTGTGAGAATTCGCATAATTGTTTATTCATTCTAAAGTTTTCATAGAGTGAAAGATATGGATCCTTTATATTATATTTTACCAAGAGTGATTTGATACATGAAAATATTGATTTTTGGAGTTTTGGATCATATGGCTCTGATCTACAACTGAGTTTATTTCTTGAAGGGTATCTATCCATAAGGACTGGACCCAATTGTTTGTTATCACCACAGACAATAACTCTACCTGTATCTTTGTTTAAACGTGAGAATGGAATTGCACCAATATAACTGCTTAACTGAGAAGCTTCGTCAATAATTAAAAGGTCAAAATTTTCATAATCCATATTCGATAACGACCAACTTGTAGCACCTACACAAAAATGTTCTCTTTCAAACTCTTTTTTATCAAACAATTGAATTTTGTTAAGCTTTAAATCTTCGCTAAGCTTTGTTTGTTTCTTAAACAATGGGAAATTGATATCTTGACCTACAGAAGTTGAATACTCTTTCTTTAAAGAGGCTATTCTAATTAATAAATTGTCAATTGCATTATGGGTAAACGAGGTAATGGCAATTCTAAATGGTTTTCCTAATCTCTTATAACTTTCCATAAATATTAAAACGATTAAAGCTAAAAAGTGGGTTTTTCCAGTACCAGGTGGACCTCTAACTAATTGTAAACGTCTTTTAATAATTGAATTAAAAATGTTCTCTTGGGAAGGTGTCATAGTTAATTTGGTTTTATCATTAAAAGTACTTATTTCTCTAAAAGAATCTACAACCTCTCTTGCTAATCTTTCAAAATCCTCATTATTGTTTTCTTTGCACCATTCGATTGGATTATCTAAAATATTTAAAAATACTGATGATTTTTGCATATTTTCATATGAATTTAATAAACCTTTGTGCATTGCAAAAAAACCTAAATCAAAAACTTCGAACAATATAAATTCATTTCCACTATTAAAAAAATAAAATGAATTAGGATAAACTATTTAAATAAAATTTTAATTATAGAAATATTTACATTTTATCATTAAAGTTTTTATCTGATGAAACTTGAAGTTCTAAAGAGATATCAATATAATCACCTTCAATTTGATAAGACTGACCCTTGAATGAAACATCGTCAATATATTTACTATATAATTTGGTTTGTAAAATATCATTATGATTTAATAATTCTAAATAACTATTTGTATTGATGATACCAAATGTTGAAAATGTTTTATCTATCATCGATTGGAATCTTGAAATATTTTGAATATTGATTTTAGTTGATAATTTAAGTATAAATTTATTTTTGTTTGGTTCGCTATGAAAAAAAAAAAAAAAATTAGATAAATTTAATATTTTGTATATATATAAAAAAAAAAATTTACTTACATTGAATTTAATTTTAATAAATAAAATAAACCTTCCAATAAATTAACAGCTAATGGATTTGAACGATAAGATTTCAATTTTTTATAAGATGAAAAACATTCGTGTTGATAACAAAAGTATAATTTTGCTAAGTTTTTGTTATCATTATATGAAGATGGAGCTCTAATTATAAATGGTGGTGATTTCTTATCTTGAGTTGATTTAAATACTTCTTTTTTAAGGATTGAAACCATTTCATATTGGTAATGAAGTTTATTTTCTATAATTGCATAATTATCTTTTGATTGTATAATATTGTCAAAGATTTCATTCTTTTCTCTATTGATTTTATCAATGATTTCTTTTTTTTGGTCTTGATCCTTTGTTGTATCTTTTTTGAGAATTAATTTTTCGATAATATTTTCAAAGGTGTAGAATGGTTTAACATTGATAGCAAAAGAGGTTGTTATTAAGTCGTGAACAACTAAGAAGGATGAATCATCTTGTCTGAGTGATAAATCTTTAAATCTTGGTACGTGCAATTGTGGATAATGCCCAATATTGAAATTAATCCACTCATTACTATTTAATAAAACTCTAAGGACCAACAATAATGATTCTTTGAATGTAATATCTTTTGGATCATTGGAGCCAAGGTCTTCGATTTCTTTAAGTTTTTTAAAACACTCTCTAAAGAAAACTGATTTTTGAAAGCTGTCGAAAATGTAGGTTTGAAGAGATGCAACCTTTTCATTCTGTTGGAAAAGTACTGAAAGACCTTCGATAAGCTCGCTAAAGCTATCTCCTTTTGCAAATGATGGGTTCTCTTTCTTTGAGTCAACAATTAAAACCCCCCATTGATAAATTGATTGTGAAAGTGGATTATTAATAATTTCTAAATAAATTTGAATATCTTCATATGATGATAGTCTTGAATCAAAGAACCCAGTTGGGACTACTTGATCAGTTAAAATAGCTTGAATCATTGGCTTTGATTTCATATAGTCAACTTTTAATGATGGATGGTTAATTTGATCAATGCTTACCTCTTTGAGGAGATACTCTAAATCATTTATATCTGAGTCTTTATTGTTTGGGATTAGTGATTTAAGTGATGATTTTATATTAACTGCTGTATTTAAAGTGTGTTCTTTTTCGAGTTGATTGGTACAATGGTCGATAAATTCACAGCCATCACATCTTTCGCTTAAGATCCATGGTGAATCGACTTTTGGAACTGATAAAATATCTAAAAGATAAGACTGCTTCTTTATTTGATCTCCAAAAAGAAAACTTGATAAAATTCTTACTGGATCTTTAAGTGAAAAAGGCTCGACTTCGTAAATTCCCTTTAAATAAATACCTGCTTTATTTGAAACTTTTAAATCTTGGATACCTTGTTCCTTGATGATATCGTTTAAAAGGAGTTTGTAGAAAGCTAATTGAACCTTTTGGTGGAAAGCAATTGTGGTGGTTGATTTAGCATCTAAAATTATAATCTTTCTTTTGCCATCTTTAGTTGGGACAATATGAAGGAAATCTGGTTTTGAATAAGAGAATTTAATAGATTCAGGTAAGTGCTTTCTAAAGGTTTTTGGTGGTTCTAATGTGGATTGGACCATATAAAAATCACCTTTTTCTTCTTTTAAGATTCTAATAGTTTCTTCAATGGTAATGTCTGCAGCTTCACCCTTTGGTTTAAATACTCTAAAGCTTTTTTCCTCATTCGATTTTTCTTCTAAATATTGCAAAAGCTCAGCCTCCCATTCAAAACCTTCATCAATAAGCTTTTGTTGAACTGTAGAAATTGGACTTTGAATTGATTTTATTGGATCATTTTCTTTTTTTGTAACTCTAGTTGAAAATGATAAATACCTTTCGCAGCCAAAATGAAAGAATCTGCCAATACCTGATGGTTTGATAATTGCTGTTTCAATACTTGATAACTGTTGATCTTCATATTTGATTTCGACTGGTTCTTTTTTTAATGTAAATTTATAATCATCTTTGTCAATGTCTTTAAAATAACCTCTTTTATTTGTTTCTGGAATTGTTGTTTTTCTTTCGCCATATGGAGATCTATCAATACCTGGTGTTTCCAAGACATCATTAATGTTGGTAGTTGAAATTGGTGTGGAGTTGCTATCATTGTTAGTTGATAATCTTGGCTTTCTCTTTATTTGTTTTGGGGTTGCATTTGGAGATGGTGATGGAGAAGGTTTGATATCATCAAATGAATAATCGTCAATTCTTTTGTCATTAATAAACACATAATAATTTCCTTTAATTACTTTGACATCTTTTAAAAAAGACTTCAATAAAGTAGTTGCACTTTGCTCAATTATAAATTCGCCTGCACTCTCTGGTTTCTCTACTTTGAAATAAGGTTCATCATTTTGAATAATTAATTTAACCTCTTTTTTAATATCTTTATATTTTATAAAACATGATGATTTTTCTATATCAATTAATTGATATTTTACTAAATTTTTTAATTCTTTTTTTGGCTTTTCTGTGGTGGTAGCTGGTGTAACTATTGGTGTTTCTGTTGCTGCTGAAAGAATATTATTAATTGAAGTTGATACAACTGTTGAGGAATTTACTTTTAACTCTGTGTTTCCAATTGTTTCTGATGTGGAAATTTCAGTTTTATTTACAACTGTTGTAGTGTTTATTGTTGTTGAAATATTTAGATCATTATTTTTATTATTATTTATTTCCATTGTGAAATTTTAATAATAAATAAAAAAAAAAATTAAAAATTCAGAAAAAATTAAAAATTATAATTTAAAAAAAAAAAAAGATTTTTTTAGGTGGAAAGACACCAGCCCAAATAATTTCTTATAAAAAACTTATTTTAAAAAAAAAAGTTTGTTTTAGTATGTTAAAATTAGCAAAACAATAATGAAAAACTTATAAATAAATCCCTTTTATAAAAAGAAAAGATGATAAACGGGCTTTATATAATATGGGTTTTTTTTTTTTTTTTTTTCTTTTTAAACAAATAACCTAATAAAGTTATTTTATTTTATTTACTATATTGTATTTAAATCGAACATAAATTTGTATATATATATATCAATTAATTTTTTCCCAAAATATAAGATATTTTACCAACAATTTCATCTAAAAGATAAAAAAAAAAAAATTAATATTTATTTTTATTTTTCTAAAATTATTAATATACATACTGGCAATTGAAGTAGTTCTAGCTTCATAGATATAAGATTTGCCATCATTATATTCAATTGTAAAATATTTTGGTTTTTCCAAAAGAGCAATTTTTGAAATATCTTTGATTAATCTAGCAGGCTATAGTATTAAAAAAAAACATATGTTAATAATTTATAAAAAAAAAATAAAAATATTTATAAATATTATAAATACTCTTTTAGTTTCAGCATCTTTTGGTGACATATTTGTTATTCTTTCTTTATCAATACCAATAATTCTTTCTTGTTTTGATGAATATTTTTTAAGTTTTGTAACTTCATAAGTTTTGTATTGCCAAGCAAGAGCATCGTACCAAAAGATTTCTTGTTGTAAATCAGAACCATTTGAATCTGTATCGGAAGGAGATAAGGTAGTTACCTCGATAGGACGTTTTGAGACGAGAATAAGATCAGCACCACCCAATTTTTCCATTGGTAAAATACCCTCACAAATTCTACCATTCTCCAATGTAAAGTAGTGATCGGATACTAAAAGTTTTCTCTTTTTACAGGTGCTCTCTAAAAGATCTTTAAGGAGCATAGTTTTTTGGAATACTACTTTAGTTATACTACTATCTGGTAAAGTAATTTTTACGACCAATGGCGCATCTGGGCCTGAACTTACACTTCTATGGTGTGTTCTATAATTATGATGATGATGACCACCGCCACCGCCTTCTGATGTTTGTTGTGGTTGTAACTGTGCTTGTGAATTTTGTTGTTGTAATTGAGCTTGTGAATTTTGTTGTAATTGGGCCTGTGAATTATGATGCTGTAATTGTTGCTGTGATTGTTGTTGTTGGCTATTATTCATTCCACCTGTGCTTGCTTTAAGATTATTATTTACATTTGAGCCATTTGATGAAGTTGATGAACTAGTTGATGAACCTGGAGGTGGTTGAATTCCACCACTAATTGATAAGGAAGAACCACTCTTCTTTAAGTCAAATTTAGGATTGAGACAAAGTAATAAGGTTTCATCTTTAAATTTACTAATATAACCATTTAAATCTAACGGAGGGAAATCTTGATCGACCTTACCATTTGAATCTGCAATCCTAATGTGATAAGCTTTTGGATCTGATGATGGAAGACCTACACCTCCACTTGAATGAAAAGCACGTAAAGTTGCTACAATAGTTTGAAGAATAGTGGCTTTTTCTACTACTTTTATGCTAACTGCTTGATTGAGGTTTGCAATAAAAATTTTTAAACTCATACCTGGACCTAATGGTGGTGGAATGATATCACCATAGTCATGAGATTCGTCATGATTTGGTCTAACTAATCTAGTTAACAATGATTCTGTAGTTTGTACTGGTGCTTTAACAACTTTTTCTTTAACAAATACAAATACTGGTTCATTGGTTTTATCTGGTTGTTGTGGTGTATTGGTTGCTGCTGGTGAAGAAATATTTGTTGCAGTTGTTGTTTTGTCAGGTACTATATTTGTTTTATTATCTTTTGGATTAATTGGTTTATTTAATTTTACAGATGTACCAGTGAAAGTTACTATTTTACATTTTTTAGGCGATGTTGATGGTTGAGAATTATTTTGTTGTGGCTGTTGTTGTTGTGGTGCTTGTTGGGGTGCTTGTTGTTGAGAATTTGAAGATTGTTGATTATTTTGTTGTACAGGTTGTTGTGAAAATGCAGAAGATGAAGCAGATGCATCAGTTGAAGTTAATGATGACATTGTTGAAGAGTTTGTTGAGGTAACAGTTGTTGATGACGAAGATGATGAAGTTGTTTGGGTAGTACCACTGGTACAACTACTTGCAGAGGTAGTAGCAGGTGATGTTACAGTTGAAGCTGTTGTAGCAGTGGTTGGTTTATTATTTTGTTGTGCTTGGGGTTGTTGGGATGGCTGTTGCTGTGGTGGTGATAAAGCACTTGTGGGTGTATTTACACCCGGTGTAACAGCACTTGGTGTTGAAGATTGTGATATAATTGGTTTGTATAAAATTGAGTAATCTTTATCTAAACTTTTACTATATTGAACATCTGGATCAATATCTGATGAACTTTCATTTGAAAAATTATATATTTGCTCTGCTATGCTATCTCTTTTAAATGTTTCATAAAAAATTTGAGTTTTATATCTAATCTGATGGATTACATCATTTAATTCACAATAAACCGACATTTTTTTATTATTTTATTTAATTATAAAAAAACTATTTATTTTTTTTTGTTATTTAATATTATATAAATAAATTTATTATTATTATTATTATTATTTATTTATTTAAAAAAAATATTAATATTGATTAAAAAAAAAAAATAATTATTATTATTTTTATTATTGGATGATTGTGTGTTAGAAGGTGTGATGATAAAATATAATTATTATAATATTATTTTTTACAAAATAAATGGCTGTTTTTCTTTATTTATTAAAAAAAAAAAAATATACAAAAAACACAAAAAAAATTTTATATGTGTGTTAGAATTATAGTTGGTGTGTCCCTTTGTTTTTAATTGTTGTGTGTATCTAGTGTGTTGATTTTTTAATTTCTTATTTTGGTTTTAAAACATATGTTATTTTTTAGACTATATATATTGTTATTATTTATTATTAGTTATAATATTTTATAGTTATTTATAAATTAATAAAATAATTATAAAAGATTCTAAAAAATTGATTTTCTAATATTACAAGTTATAAAATAAATAAGTTTGGGCTAAATAGATATTTTATAGAAAAATGTATATATATATTAAACAAAATGTTTATAAGTACATAAACAATTGTTATACTGAGATATATATAATTTTAAATATATGATAAATATCCTATTTATAAAAATAAAAAGTGTACAAATTTTATAAAATTTGAAACAATAAAAAAAATAAAAAAAGTTATTAAACACAATAAGAATTATTATTATTTATTAAAATTTTTTATTTGATTTTAGTAATAAATAAAATTAAAAAAAAAATTAAAAAAAAAAAAAAATTAAAAAAAAAATAAATTATTTTTTAAAAAAGAAAAAAATTTAAAAAAAAATAATAAAATATAAAAAAAAAAAAAAAAAAGATATTTATATATACTTTTAGTGTGTAGGGGTATTTTTGTTTTGGTGTGTGTATTTGGTTTGTTTGTCCTTTTGTTTTTTTTGCTCAAGAGAGTTACCTGTGTGCACCACACATATATAACAAAAAGTAAAGATTTATTTCTTTTTTGAAATAAAAAAAAACATTAAAAAATATAAAATAAAAATGATTGTTGTTTTAATTTTTTATTATATTATAACTAAATCATTCATTCATAAGATTTTTTAAAATCAGTAAAGATCCAAATGATATTATTTCTTTTTTTCTTTTTGATCAAAAATCTAAATTTCTAGAATTTTTTTTTTTATTTGTAAATTTATTATCCTTATATCACAAAATTTAAAATAAAAAAGAGTCTCAAAAAATGGCCAAAAAAAAATGTAAAGTATCCATTATTTGTAAAATTGAAAAAAAAAATAAAAAAATAAGCAATATCGAGAAAAAAAGGTGGTTTTGTGTGGTGGGGTGTCTCTTTTCATATTTTTCTATTTTAATTTTTAAATTTAATTTATTATAATGAAAACAATTAAGAAAAAAAAAATATATTATTTTATAAATCTGTGATGATAATGATGAATTTGATTATAATAATCTAAATAATATTATTGTTATTTAAATTAAAATATTTTATTTTAATTGTTTTTTTTATGGTTTTAAAATTTTACTTAATTGATAACATAAATAACAAATGAGTTTATCTAATAAAGAACGATTATTGACATCTTTGAGTGTAATTTCTTTACAGCCCACTAAATCATTTTTAAATTGTTGCTCGAGAATATTTACAAGTTGGGGTGAGAGAAAAGCAATGTTGGCCTCTAAATTCTTTTTGCTCCAAGTATCTAGATTGAAAGAACCAATGGTACCATAGACACCATCGATGGAGAGTGTTTTGGCATGTAAGGTAGATGATAACATTTCATAAATACGAATTTTATCGTGTTTAAGGAATTTTTGGTAAATATGTCTACTGGCATGTCTAAACCATGGTACATCACTCTTACCAGCAGTAATAATTCTGACGTCGACACCACGTAATGCTGCAGAAATGATGGCTCTTCTTAATCGTATTGGTGGTAAAAAGTATGGGGTAGTTATATAGCAACGTTCTCTTGCACCATTTAGCGATATGATTAAACTCTTTTGAATATCTCTCTTTTTTCTAAATTGGTTCGACTCTTGAACTTGAACCACTGTGTTTTCGACTTTGACAGATGCCATAATAATTTTATTTGGTTTGCTATTGAACGGATTGCTTCCTACTGATTTAATAAGTGGAAAAATTGAATTTGGTGGTGGATTTGGGTTTCCTGTGTTGGCTTTGGAATCCATATTATTTAGTTTTTCAAGATTACCGAGATTACTGTCGTCTAAAATATAATTATTTAAATTGTTTAAATTGTGTAATGATTGAAAATCGTTGGTGAAGGTGACAAACTCTTTAAAATCATCATCATCGATATCGTAATCATCTTCTGTCAAATCCAATTGATCCATTTTCTGTTTTTCAATTTGAGACTTCTCTATATTAGCTAAGCTGTATAGTGAGGTGTCAAATGAGCTTTCATCTTCGTCATCATATAAATTACTGTACTCTATATAATTGTAATTACTATCCAAATCGGAGATTGATGCGTTTCTTGATTGATAAATATTTTCAAGCTCGTTGGTTGATTTTTCTTTATTTTGAGATCCTTCAAGCTCGTCATATGCGTTTAATGCTGCTCCAACAGCACCTGATTTGATATATGAACCTACTGGATAGCCATGTATTGATTTAAAATAAGATGTAACTTGGTTTGTTTTCTTTGATCTATCTTTGATTGAATTGTAAAATACTTCACTTAACTTTTCAACGGCAGGTCCTTCTATCATACAATGTGTATCCCTAAAATAATCTTTACCGCCTTCAAAACTTGATGATGCATATTTACCAGATATATTCATACCACCACAAAAACCATATTTACTGTCTATAACCATAATCTTTCTGTGATTTCTAAGTGTATATGGTAAATTTGGAACTAGTTTAATAGGATTAAATTGAAAAATTTCGGCACCTTTAATTTTCATTTCGTATATATCAAAATCTGATAATGATGAACTACCAATTGCATCATATGCAAAACTAACTTTAACACCTCTTTCTTGTGCTTCTTTTAATAACTCTATCGTTCTATTACCAATTATATCAGGTTCGATTGTATAGGTTTCAACTAAAACTGTTTCTTTTGCCTGGTTTAAAAAAATATATATTTTATAAGTATAAATGTAAAGAAATCGAATGAACGATTATTTGATTGGTAGGTGGTTTATTGATACGCGTAAAAGTAATAATTTTAAAAACAATAATAATAATAATCTTTACATTTCTAATTTTATTCCACATTTCACTAAACATTTCATCTCCAGTGAAAAACATTGTTACATTGTTCCCTTTGGTAGTCTCTTCAATTTGTGTCAATGCTTTGGACGCTCTTCTCCAGCTGCTTTTAACCTTTTCATATATAGTAAGGTTATTATTTAAATTTTTTTGGAACTGAAAATTAAATGATCTAGATTTAAATATTCTTGCTAAATTTGAAGACATTGTTTAATTATTTATATATTTATTGCATAAATATGAAATTTTGATTTTTAAAGATTCATGAAATTATTATTATATTTTTTGTATATGACAATGATTTATATTGGTGTAGGTATGTGTCTCGTTGAATGACTGGGTGTTTACGTAAATTAAAAATGAAGAAAATAAAATTTAAATTTTTTAAAAAAAAAAAAAAAATTTTATTTTTTTTATTTTATTTTTTATTTTTAAATTATTTTTTTTTTATTTGAAAATGAATATCCAAACATGGAATTTCCTTCTAAAATTGAACAAATAATGATTATTTTTTCAAAAAAACTATCTTTATCTTTACAAACACTTCGATTTCTCTTTCAAAATTTAAATTGATTTTAGCTTTAATAATATCTTTTACACCTCGAACCACACTTTTTTTCATTTTTATGCAAATTTATTTTTTTACATATTTATGCAATTTTATGCAAAAAAATGAAAAAATATGATAAAATATGAAATCAAAAAAAGTTTTCCTTTTTTATTTTATAAATAGAAATATTTGATAATCTAAAAAAAAACTATTATTTTATAAATAATAAATATTTGGTGACTAGAAAAAGAGATAAATATTTTTAAATTCATAATTTTGTTAATATTTTTTAAATTTTTATTGTTTTTTTTATAAAAAAAAAAAATTACTTTTTTTATATTAATTACATAATGATAATTATATTTTTTATGTTTCTTTTTTAAGAATCAAGACATAAAAAAAAAAAATAATAAATTAATCAATAATTTAAATAATAAATAATTTAAAAATATGATTATTATTCACAAAAAAGGAATTATCATTTTATTCCTTACATTGAATGAAAAAGGATCAAATAAAGAAATTTTTGGGTAATGTAAATTATAATGATTTTTAAATTAGTATGGATCTTTATAAATATATTACTCTTTTAATTTTACTATTGTTAAAATTTCTAAAGTATACTTTTTTTCTTTCTTTGTCATAATCAAAAATCTTTTGATCATTTTGTTTCATTATTATTAAAAAATTTTGAACTTCATTTAAAAACTGTGTGTGGTTATAACCCCCATTAAAAAAGATTCATTTCTTTTTGTGGTAAATTTCATTTTTTTTATAATTTTTTTTATAATTTTTTTTAAATTTTAATATTTCAATTTTTTAATTTTTAATTTTTTTTTTTTTAATTTTCATTTTTTTTAATTGAAAGAAACAATTTTTTTTTTTTTCTTTATTATTTTATAAAAATACAAATAATTATATACATTAATTTATTTATTTATTTATTATAATATTCTATTCAATAATAAATTTTATAATCATCAATAATTATTTATTTTAATAATATAATTTTCAACACCACAACAAATCAACATTCACCTTCTTATATACATTTTAATATAATAATGGATATTTTAAATTTTAGTTTTTTCTTTTTTCTTGTAGTCATTAGTTTATTAGTAGGTTTTTTATACAAATGTTTAGCCCAAATTGAAGATTTAAAAAAACAACAACATCAAGAAGGCCAAAAAGATTTAGACAATGACTATTCATTAACAATTCTCAAATTGAATAATGAACTTAAAAGATTAGAAATTGAAAAAAGGGTCCATAATAATCATCTTTCAACTACTTCAAAGAAACAAGAGGTCATCGACCAAAAAAATAAAAGTGAATTTGAAAAATTAACAAATGTTAAAAATATTCAATTACTTGAAATAAAACAATATCAAAGTTTAGCAAACCAACAAGGACAACAACTTCAAGACTTTGATACTAAACAATCCAAATTGGTCGAAGAAAAGGACACTCTTAGTGCTAAATTAGAAAGACAATTTAGCAAATCTAATCAATTAAATGAACAATTATTAGAGAAAGATGAAACCATCCAAATGCTTGAGAAAAAGCTCCAATCAGAACAATTAGCTATTTTCCAACTCGTATCCGAGCATAATCAAACATTGGATAGATTAAAGTCAAGATAATAATGGACCAGATCGATACATTGCTAGCCATATGGATATTGATTCATATTGAATTCGATAACGATAGTTTAATATCTTCTTTCGAAGTTTCATTTATGAAATCGAAGAAGACTAAATTATTAATTATATCGTTTAATTCTAAGTTCAATTTATGATTTCGATAAAGTTGAAAACAGTTAGCAAGTGTATCATCAATAAAATAATCAAATCTTTATCTATATTTTAAGTAAGAAACTATGCATTACAGAAAAAACTCAAAAAAAGTATATATTATAAAAGAAAAAAATATTTAGGTAACTATAAATATTATAACTACATAACTATAATTATCTTTGAATATAATAGAAACTAATATTTTATTTTAATACTTATTTAGTCCAATTCATTATTTTAAGGTTCGACATGTTTCAAATCAAGTTTTTCAATTATAAGTTCACAATCTTTTCACCACCAGCACCACTTAGGGGTTTCAATTCCAGTCTTTTTATAACAGGATCCCATTCAGGCTTTTCATTTAAAAGCTCACAATTCACCACCACTACAATCCAATCTTATTAGATCAAAAATTATAATTTAAATTTAATAATAAAAATATTACTTTTTACCGATTATTGTTATCGTATTCATTTTTTTAACAAAAATTATCTTTTTTTAGCTTTTTTTTAAAAAAATTATTCATTTTATAAAATTTGCACCCACAATTTTTTTCTTTCAGCCATTTTTTTTTTAATTTTTTCTATTTTTTAACAATTTTTTTTAATAAATAACATTTTTTTTTTCTTTTTAAATTTTTTATTTTTAAATTTTTTTTGAATAACATTATTAAATCAAAAAATATAATAAATAATATAATTAAAATTAAAAATATAATTAAATAAATATTATGATTGTTATGCGCAATATTTAAATTTAAAAATAAATTTAACAAAAAATATTTTTAATTATATATTAATAACATTAAAGATTTATTAATTTAAAAGCAGAGACCATTACTCAACGCTCTGGAAATGAAAAAAGATTCTAGAAAGAGATGAACGCCCGATATGTTTCAAATTTTTGAATGGTTGAGATGAAGATCTAGGGTAGGTTTTTATTTACTTTATAGTTTGTTTATTTATTTATATTTTTGTTAACAGTTTTCTTATCGATAATTTTAGAGCCAAATATCAGCATTTGAAACCAATATTAGATATTTAGGGAGTACTTTAGCAATGTACGATTTAACAGACGAGCAAGTTTATTTAAATAAAGCAGTTGAATTTGGGGATTTATTAATGTATGCTTTTTCAGATAAATATCCTTTTCCTGCACGTTTTATAAACACTGTTGGTAGAGATACAGGAGATATTATTATATGCATTTCATTAGCGCCACTAGGAACATTCTCTTTGGAATTTGCTCGTCTTTCAGATTTAACAGGTGATAACAAATATATAAAAAAAATCAATATTGCAATAGATACACTTAATCAAATGAAAACAACTTATGATGGTTTGTTCCCATGTTCAATTTCAAGAGATGCAAAAAGATTTTGTAGTTCATTAATATCAATTGGTCGTCAAGGTGACTCTTATTATGAATATCTTTTAAAAATGTGGATCTATACAGATGGCGAAGAGGAAAAGTATTCAAGATATTTCGAAACCTCAGCAGATTTAATAATCGAACACCTATATAGAGTAACTATAGCTGGATATGGCTTTTTTTGGTACTCTTAAGGACAATGTATTGTTGGTAAACGAGGATCATCTTACCTGTTTTGTTGATGGTATGTTTGCATTGGCAGCTGCTGTCAATATTACTGGGAATGACCAAAAGAATGAAATCTATATGGAAGTCGGTAGAGAAGAATAAAAATGTATCAAGATTGGGGTTGGGCTAATTTGAAGCTATTGAAAAGTACTGTAGAATATCCAATGGTTGTATAGGTTATAGAGATTTTTTAACTGGTTCCAAAAATACAGTCCAACAAAGTTTTTTATGGCAGAAACATTAAAATACCTCTATCTATTATACAGCGATTCAAACACAATTCCATTAGATAAATATGTATTTAATACCGAAGCACACCCATTATTAATCAAATATAGTAAATTATAAATATTACAAAAATAAAAAATCAAGAATATTATTTATTTTAAATTAAAAAAATACCTCGAGTTTTATTTTTTTTTTTTAATATTTAGGTTTTTATTTATTTTATCTTTTTTTTTAATGAATAAAAATAGACCTCATTATTGAGGATCCATTATAGTATTAGAAATTTGAATCACTAATATTATTTTGGTATATTATAATAATAGAATGACATTTTTACATTTTTTAATTAAATTTTAAAAGAGTGAATTGGATAAAATGGTGTTATTTTTTTTATTATTATTAATAATAATATGGTAATTTTATAATAACCATGATTATATTCATCTGTTTTGATTATTTTAACTTAAACTTAAAATATAATTACTTTATACTTTTATAGAGTATTAAAAAAAAAAAAAATTTTAATTATAAAAAAAAATTAAAATTAATAATTTTAAAAAAAATTTTCTTGCCTTTTTTATATAAATTTTTTTATAAATATATATTGCATATCTTTATAATTTTATTTTTATACATCTTTATATTTTAATCATTTTTTATAATTATCGTTTATTTATATATATCACACACTTTTTATAATTTTTATATATTACACTTATTTTACATACATATTTTATTTTTAATTTTATATTATAAAAATGAAATTAACACCAGAAAAAATACTCAAGTTATTAGAGGACATGTTAGTCCAAATTTTATATGCCAGAGGCGAAAATAGATCATTTTTTGATGAAGGTATTAGAACCGCAGAGAAAATGATAAAAAAATTACAAATATACCAATTACCAATGCAACCAACTACTTTGGTTGTAAATTTTTTTAATGTTCACCAACAACAAGAAGATGAACAACAAATAGATAATCAACAGGATCAACAGGTAGAGAATCAAACTTTAGAACCAAATGAACAAGAAGATCAAGAAGAAATCGATAGTGACAATAACTACGATTATGAATGGAGATGTTACCAAGATCCTAACTCACCACCACCAACACCAAAATCACCAGCTCAAGATCAACATGAGCATGAAGAGTTTGACCATGAACAAGTAGATGACCAGGAACCAGAAGAAAATCAACATAGAGAATTAACAGTATCACAACAAAACGAAGCAAATATTTTTCAAGATTTTTTAAATAATTATCAGCCACCTGAACCAATAGTCCTTGGTTTAACTGTCGAGTATCACCCAGTAGACAGTGATGAAGAATTCAATAATATTAATATTAGTTACCAATTACCAAACACCCCACCAGTACCATCATCACCAAATTCACCAGTTATGGAGCAAGAGGAAAACAATAAAAAAAGTAATCAAGAACAACAAGAAAATCAATATCCTCTTTTAAATCAAGAACAACAAGAACAATATGAATCATCTGAGGATAGTGATGATGAGTATGATTATAATTGGAAATGTTACCAAGATCCAAACTCACCACCACCAACCCCAAAATCACCAGCTCAAGATCAACATGAACAAGTAGATGACCAGGAACCAGAAGATAATCAACATAGAGAATTAACAGCATCACAACAAAATGAAGCAGACAATTTACAAGAATTTATTAATAATTATCAACCACCAGAACCAATAGTCCTTGGTTTAACTGTCGAGTATCACCCAGTAGACAGTGATGAAGAGTTCAATAATAATAATGTCACTTACCAATTACCAAATACCCCACCAATATTGTCATCCCAAGTAACCAATCAACAAGAAAACAGTTCAGTTGAGGAAAATAATCACCCAGATGAAAGCAATCAAGAAAATCAAAACACTCTTTTAAATCAAGAACAACAAGAACAATATGCATCATCTGAAGATAGTTATGACGGCAACAGAAATCAAGATTTACGTCTTTCCTTAACCCTTGAGCATCATAAGATTGATAGTGACGATGACTATGATTATAATTGGAAATGTTACCAAAATCCAAACTCACCACCACCAACACCAAAATCACCAGCTCAAGATCAACATGAGCATGAAGAGTTTGATCATGAACAAGTAGATGACCAGGAACCAGAAGAAAACCAACATAGAGAATTAACAGCATCACAACAAATTGAAGCCAATAATTTACAAGAATTTATCAATAATTATCAACCACCTGAACCAATAGTCCTTGGTTTAACTGTCGAGTATCACCCAGTAGACAGTGATGAAGAGTTCAATAATAATAATGTTGTTTACCAATTACCAAATACCCCATTATCGTCATCCCCAAAAACTAATCAACAAGAAAACAGTTCAGCTCAAGAAATCAACCAAAATAAAGTTCAAGAAAATCAAGATGATCAACAAAATCAATAAGTAGAACAAAATCAAGTCGAACAACAATCAACAGTACAGTAATAATAATAATAATAATAATAATAATAATAATAATAATAATAATAATAATAATAATAAATAATAAAAAAAAAAAAAAAAAAAAATCTAATGTAAAGCCATCAAATGTACCAGTAGTCGAGTCCGTGTCCGTAGTAGCCGCTAAAAAACTGGATAGTGCCAGGTATTTCCTTAATTGGGGGTATCTGGCATTATCTAAGTTTCCTCATCCAGGGAGGGTGAGGTTTTGCCATTTTTTTTATAAAAAACGATAGAGGGAACAATTATCTATCTGCTGATACCTGAATCAGATCGTCTTACCCAAACCATCAAAAGTTATATTGGTTTAAAGTTTTTTTTTTCTATGCGGCCTCATATAAAAATTTTTAAAAAAACCCTTAAAAATCCCCAAATTTTTTTAAAAAAAAAAATGCGAATTTTCCAAATTTGTTTTAAAAAAATTAAAAAATAATTTAAAAAAAATTTTTTTTTAAAAGTATTTAAATTATTTTTTTTTATTTTTTTTTTTTTTTGATCTTATATTTAGAACAACCATCATTTATTAAACTTTTAATATCCAATTTTAAATCAAACACTATGATATAAAATAATTAAATCAAATTATAGGTAAGTTTTAATTTTTTTATTTATTTTTTTTATTTAGGAAACAATATCAAAAAACCACTTAATAAAGAATTTCATCATCATAATGGAAGCTCATAGATTAAACACCAGCATGTTTAGGGATAAAGAACAGCTGAAGCAATTGGAATAGTCACACAATTAAAGCCAAATACTATTGGAAAAAGAAAAATAGTTGAAAGATTTTAGAAAATTATTGTATATTTTGGATGGCCCAGTTATTTTGCTCCTTATTACATATGTGTAACAATTGGATGAATCTAAAAAAATAAGGAGAGGACAACTTATACAATTAGTTTTCATATACCACCAAAATAAGTACAAAAAATCAACATCTACATCAAAACAACAGCAATATGCTTTTAAGTTAAAAAATAATAAAAACCTTAAACTTTTATATTCTTTATAAATATAATTGTTTATATTCTTAATTAATTAAAATTTTTTAACAATTTAAATCTTAATTTAAAATATTTTTTATTTACCAATTTAAACTTATTTATATAAATTTCTAATACCACATACCGAATGAAATAATACTAAATATTATTAAATAACCAATTATAGGAAATTTGGCAAAAAATGTTTTGATGAAATATATCACAAATGAAATTAATAACACAAAAAATATAACTGCAATGAAATGTAGTATAGATCAAGAACTCAAAGTCATTCAATCCCTCCGAACAACTTTGTAAACCAAGGCACTCCATCATACCTCTTGGCTTCAAAAAATAATAATAATAAAATTAATAAAACTATAAAATTATTAAAATTAAACCTTTAAAATTAAATAAATGATTTAATTAAATCATTTGACCATAATCAGAATATTCAAATTGAATCATAATGATAATGGATACATTTAAAACAAAAAACATACGCATAAAAAAACATATATGAGCACATACATGAACGTGGACATACTGATACACATACTTATACAGTACATATTAACATGAAAATGTACATGCACACCCACATACACATACAGATACAAATGCACATGCACATGCACATGCACATACACATACACATACACATACACATATACATATACATATACATAAACATGCTGATACTCATTCACATATTCATGCATGCACATCCACACGTACATATGCATATACACATGCATATACATACATATACACATACATGCTCATACATATACCCTTTGCACATGTACATGCATATAAATAACATATGCACATTCACATAAGCATACACATACATCACATACATATATACATTCATATGCACATGCACATGCACATGCACATGTATACATAATCACCTGCTCATTCTCATACTCACATACTTACATATGCACATGCATTCACATATCATATGCATACACATTCATATAGGCATGGAAATACTGATAACCATTCTCCTACTAGTACACAAGAAATTATAATAACACTTTTTTCCGGACATGCTATATTTTGGTATGCATACTCTCCTTTAAAAATTGAGTACCATACAAAAAATATCCCTTTTCATATAATATAACTATACTGTTATAAAAAGTCAAGTATAATTGACAATTAAATTAAATAAACTTCCTAATAAAATAAATAATTGAAAGATAATAATATTTTATAATTTAAAAAGTTAATTAAAATAGAAACTATATTTATTAAAATTTGTTACTATTCTTTACGATTCTATTTATTTAATTTTTTATCTTCCTAACTCTTCTTTGCTGTAATTACTCTTCTATGGATACCCCAATAATTACCCAATTCATATAGACCCGAGATTCTCTTATTTAACTATGTGATGTTCTTTACTACAATACTTAAATAATTAAGCTATATATGGATTAATGTAATTAAATGTTAAAAGATCGCACTCTAATAAAATTTATACAGATTTATAATTTATTTAATCTACAAGAACTAATAAGCTTGTTCCTTATTTTAAAACCATAAAAGTTATCCCAAACCATAATATCTGTATTGCAATTATTTCTATTGTATAAAACTTCTGTTTAACCCAAAGAAGCAGGTATTTTATGATGGTAATAAACATTTAAATCTTAACAACTCCTGCACCATTGATTGTGAATTAAATAATAGAAACTAATGCATCGGAATTGGCGCTTTATTAATTCAAAATAACAATATTGTTGCTGTATTTTCAGAAGCTTTAAATGATACTCAAACTAGGTACACTATTACAGAAAAAGAATGTTCAGCTTTTGTCCAAGCTATTAAGAAATTTTGAGGTTATATTAATGGACGTAAAATTAGAATAGTAATCGATCATCAACCTTTAGTACAAGTATAGTAGAGAAAGAAAGTCAAGAAAATTATTATTATAGCAAGAAATGGTGAATATAAAGAATAAAAACAATAATGTGGCATATAATAGAAAATAAAAGTATTCATAATAATAGTAATGATGCAGATACTTTAATCCGTTTTGGTTGCAAAAGAGAAAATGAAAAAAAAAAAATTAAAAATTAAATAATTTGAAAAAATTAAATTAATTTAAAAGTTAAAAATAGAAAAAAAATACAACTGATAATTTTTTTTGAACTGTTGCTTTCAGTTATAAAATTTATTTATTTTTTAAATGTTAACAAGTTTAAGAGAACTTAGATAGAACGAAATAAAATAGAGGTATTTTTGAAAAAATTAAAAAAAAAAAAAAATTTTTTAAGATATTTTGTGAAGTGATTGAAAAAAAGCCATTTTTAAAAATTTATAAGAAAATTTTTTTTTGAAGATATTTTGTGAAGTGATCCAAAAAAAAGCCATTTTTAAAAATTTATAAAAAAATTTTTTTATTTTTTTTTTTTTTGAAATTTTTATATGGGAAATGTTAAATTTTTATTTAAATTTCCCAAATTAAAATTTTTTTTTTTTTTTTTTTCAAAAGTGTTAAAATGGCATTAGTTGGAAGACTTCAAAAAAGCGCAGGCAGAAAGATGTTGTGTTGAATAATAAATAAGGGTGTTGGGCGGTGAGTAATACTTGAATACCCAATTCTCGCTAATATGCCACTTTTTTGGATTTATTCTTTATACACACCATTT